CATGGGCCAAGATGGGGGTAAAGTACTTCGTAAAGGAGAGGGCAGAGGGAATCATCAACCCCGCGCCGTGGGAGGTCCGCCACCCGAACTAGACCCCCCCGTCCGAGAATCCCGAGGATGGTCCAGAAGGCAGGCCCTCCTGGGGGGGGTCCTTTATCCGGCCGAGCCGAATATCCCGCGGGACAGCTTGCTGATAGGGAGAATGTCGGACTGTATGCTCTCTCCCCCTTCTGGTAATGCTTGCATCTCACGATAGTTTCTGTAGTATGACGATAGATCTGGGGTTTGTGTTCCCTGTGCGATCCGTTCCTTATCCCACACCCCGGGAAAATGACGAAATCCCCATGCTCGCTCACAAAGAACTCTGCCGTGTGTTGTATTTACCCCAGGTTTGACAATGACCTCATCGGCTGGCCGGTTGACGAATAAGTGCTCAATACTCACCCTAAGCCATATTCGCGGGATCCTCTTCACGTAAGTTGTAGCTTGAATATAGGTACAGGATCTTGACACACAAGCCAACAAAGACGTCAGATATAGGGCGGTGAGCGTGATGGTCTTGACGTGACTTATTTCGAGGCCCTTTTCCCCTTGAAGCCGTTGCGTGCTATCCAATATCAAGGGTCCTAAGGGTCTCGGTCTGTACTCTTTGACTCGTCCGAATATAGACTAGAAGCATGCACCCGTAGATTGACTGCATAACCTAGTGACTATGGCTCTGCGACTACACGATCGTGGGACGGAGCACCCTGAGGGAAACCCTCGTGGACAATCAATTGGGTAATAGATGCTACCTTTGCAGAAAGCTTGTTGGAAGAGGTTAAGGACTCTCTCGTAGAGTTGAGGTCCATCAGTAGGACTTTGACTATGTGTCGTACAGAAAGTCAGAGATGCCGTCATATAGACGTGCGATTGCTCACTTTCCCCGCCGTTGTGAGAGCTGACGGAAAGTTGTGGCTTGCAGCTCACACACACACACACACATTATGCCCGGCACACCGGATCTCGCGTTGACTTCTAGCCGCGTTTGCGGTTTTGGAGTTTGCGATACTTGAAAGTGATGGCATTTGAGGAAACGCATGCTCGATATTGCTGCAAAAGCACGTGTGATTGCGTGATGGCTTGGTCTTGGCAATGTCGTGCTTGAAGCTCGGCCACCGATTCCTTCATGTCTATGGCTACGATGCTTGGCTTTGGACATGAGAAGACGTAATCGACCTCATTACTTGAGAATTATTTCATCATCATTTCAAACTTCTACTCGGGATTCTACATGCTGGTTGCCTGCAAGCAATGCCATCGCCAGTGAGACTATGTCCTCACTTACAAGCTTGCAAGAGTGTAGATCCATCATATCTGTCCTACCATACTCTACACCCAGTTGAGAGAGATGTCAAACACGTCAAAGCGTTGCCTGAGCTATGGTATAGTGTTGGAATTTCGACGACCTGTTGATATTTTCCGCTCGGTATTTCCACGCACACATGTACACGTCGATACATGGCACATGCTCTGAACTTGTGTAAGACTCGTAGGTGCTATGACGGAGACCAATAACCCGGTATAGAAGTAAGCAGTCTTGGGAATCAGTCCACCAAGAGTTGTGTGTCAAATATTGCTCACAGCTCGACCTCCTGGTAGGCAAAATGTCATAATATGCTTGTACAATAGCATCATGGCCGAGAACGCTTGGCCGATAAGATCTCATGGTCGTCACCGCTGGGCGGGCTGCTAATGGTAATTTATTCCATTTGAATCTGTGTCTTCGCATTGCCGCAGCAAAAGTCAATGGCAGGGTCGCCAGATAGTTCTGCGGCATGTGGGTGGCTCAAATAAAGCTTGCAACCTCGTCCTTGAGCCAGCCTTACGTTCACAATTCTGGAGACTTCAACGGCTTTATGCTGACTTCCATCTTTGGAGTTATATTCTATATTCAAATCAGCCATATTGCTTCAAAAGTAATTGTCAACTCAAGTCTGTTTCGTGTTTCGCGCCGCGCTATCAAGGACAGTCCGCTCACCCGCAGACATGGTAATGCGCAAGCTTCGTCATTCGAACACTGGAGACAGATGAGCTTTTAAACACTATAGACCGTGCTCAACTACAAACCCTGCTGGAAGTGCCTACAGCTCGTTTAACTGCACAGTTCTCGGAAAACCCCGCAGTCGAATCTCTGGACAAAGATCTAATTTGCAAGTGTTATAATATAGGTACATTGGGCAGGCTGGAAATGGGATATTCTCACCTATAACTTGGTGCTGGCAATACGTTTTATTATAGTGGCCACTTTGTATCCATATGTAGGGCAGCCTATTCCAAAATGGTTATTTTGAATTGCTATAACTCATTGCCTTCTATATATACTGTTGTTCCAAAAGCTGGTATTGATTTTATTGCAGCCTTGTGCATCGGGTAAGTGTAATAGATCTGGTTCGCCTTGCTATAATAGCTGCACGATATTGTGCTGCTCCATAGCGATTCGCAAGTGATATCAGGTTTTATCCACTGGCTGTGGAATCACCGCATTGATTGGCGACTCACGGCTCTTGGCTATATAATCTTCATTTTGTCCGTGGCCACAGACCCTGCAGCTCATCAGGCATATAGACTGCCAAGTTGTGGTTCAGAATCCAACAAAATACGTCGCGATAATGTTTTCATTTTAAGAGGCGGTAAATTGTACAAGTCATACGATGAAGTGAAATCAATTTGGGATATTGATGACAATGAAAAGCGGGACATCTTGGTCAGATAATGCCATCGAAGTCGACTGCTTTGCAGGAAACTATACCCTTTCGGGAGTATACAGCACTCTTGACTTTCATAAATTGTGATCATGGCTCATAAATTTCAATCATTCGAAGTCGCCAAACAGGGCATTTTCGTCAATGCCACAATTGCAGACAAAGGTTGACTATCACCGATATTCATGATTCATTTCATCGCTGGGAACTTGGAGATCGGAATCTTCGGACCGTCGCGTAGATATAGGAACGAGAAAGAGATACATGACGGTGCTGGCGCGGTTGACTTGGATAATTGGCGGTGTGAATAATTTGGTACGGTGACTGGTCTTGTATCACCTCGTATTCGAATATACAACGCAACAGTCAGTAACGGCCATCTGGTTTAGAATCTTCTCGAGGATTCAGGGGGCCTGCATTGGGGGGCGAACCCCGGAGGATGGAGACTTGCTTTGTTGGATGCTGACCGTCTTGCCCCCGAGGGAAAAGTTCTTGCGTGTGAGCAAGAAATCCACATCGATCTAGCGAACTTTGGATTCCACTCGGCAATCTCACTCTGCCGGAAAGTATGAATATAGGGAATGGATAGCAGAGAATTCTAAGCTTGGCAACATAGCTACTCGATAGCTAGTGCTTTTACTATCCATGGAACATATAACATTCCCTTGCGGCCCAATCCCAAGGCAGCATTCGCAATTATAGCATTGCTTTCGATGGCGAGCTTTTCGATTTTCGGGAAGATTCAGTTACAAACAATCTTTAGAACAATGGACATACAGACATGGAACACATGAACGCTGTGATGTCAAGACATCTCTTGATCCTGGACCCAATACATACGGATGAACGGCACCCAAATTACTCGGCAGGCGCTCTTGGCCAGCTTCATCAATACACGACAGATATTGAAGTACAATGGTACTGGATCATCCGTGGGTACAAACCACATGGGCAGATTCTGGGTCTTGTGCGAAAGTCCACCCTTTCTGATCTGGCAGAAACATCGAAGCAGACAGTCATATCCGTGACGTAGGAATTTGTAGGCAAAGACCACATTACATTTGGGGTAGATTGAGATTGCAGGTATGATGACAGCAGAAATGAATAATTTAAAGACTCATCTTGTTTAGGAAGTAACGAGCCTTGGTAACAACAGCTTCTATATCAGGCAGCAAGTATCTACCAGTACACACATGTATCTGTACTTGCCGTTAGCAAGTCCCTACATTGGATTTGTGTTTCTAGAAGATCTAGGATCAAGGTTGGTCAACAATGACTCAAAAAGTTGCGCGGCGATCGCTAAAATCGTGGGTATAGGTATCCATAGTCACCGCTCGTGGAGGTACCAATTCAATAGTTTTGACACGCCTTGGAAAGGCGCCGATACCGGCAATCGAAGAAATATTTGTCGCTTCAGTATTGTTGTTCTCTTACGGAGACTTTAATGATCCAATGGCGATCGGTATCCCTGGCAAAACTTTCTCGATCTGAGCAGGTTCAAGGTTTATTCGGACTTCAGCGAGAAAGTGATCGGCATGAAAATGGAGTTTTAAAAAATGCTCCATTTTCTCAAGCTCGGAATTTGGGAGTCACTCGGCCTAGGAACATGGGAATATTTTCTTTTATCATTACAATTCCAATAACTTAGATGATGTCATTTTTGAATGCTGCTTGAATATATTTATTTAATGAATGTGAAGTATATTTGCACCCCTTTTGTCATACTCCCCAAGTTGAGCGAGGGCATTGACCAAAATTGAATTATTGAACAATCACAATGCTAGTCGATTACATACTCAAGCTCAAGAAAGCATTGGGAATAGTAAAATGGACTGATTAAGGGATGACAGAAGACAAAATTAGAAACTGAGAATAAATCTACGGAGAACCATGACGATGCATATAAAAATATATGATATATGATCACAAGCTATCTTGGCAAGCTTAGGAAGCCACTATAGTTTGGGGCGCAACGTCCAAGGCTGTAATATAGATGTGGCTGTGCTCTAGCATTAGCTACATCATCGCTGGCGCGGTGCTAGCAAGCGAGTTCCCGTACAAGGGTCAATTAAAAAAAGTTCCCCAACGCGACTCACAGCTAGTGCGCGACCCGCAGCCGCAAGCAGCTCATCGACACATTACCAAAGTGATTTTACACGGCACGCGATCGTTTTACTGATCTTATTGACGAGACAAAATACCTTCGCTACCCATGACGAGCTTTTAGATACCTGTGAAGCATCGACAGGCTTTGCGATGGCGGCCGAAGGGGACGAACAGCGCATGGAGCTGGACCAGCAGGAAGAAAAGAACGAGCCACCAACCAGTAGCAGCAGCAGCAGCTCGGACGCTTCCGACAATGAGGACACGGAAGAAGCACCACAGGTCGAATGGCTTGCGACGAGCCGATCCAAGCGTTCGACGGCCGGAAACCGCATGAAGTCCATGCTGGCTGCGGAGGAGCCTGACGACGAACTCGAACTACTCTTTGCCGAAGATGCAGACGATGCCGGTTTCGAGGATGTCGACGAGGCTGATTCGGATGCGCAGATGGACTCGTCGTCCGACGATGAAGATGCACAGGCACAAGGCGACGAGGATGAGGGCGAAAAGGAACTGGAGAAACAGGCTCGCGAACGAAAGCTGGCAGCGCGCAAGCGCAAGGCCCAGGAAGCGATTCCAGTAAAATTCAGAAAGAAGGTCAGAGTCGACCCAACAGCCACGCCGGGCTCTTCCTCCACAGCCACGCCCGCGCCAAGGCCAAAGAAGAAGTCGGAGAGGGCGAGCTGGCTACCAACACCTGCGGACATGCCTACAAGAGCTTCGAAGCGAGAGACCACCATGTTGAGCAAGGAGGCGCTGCATCAGCAAATGGTCGAAAGGGAGGCAAAGCGCCTGAAGCTTATGGAGGCTATGGAGCGCAAGGCCAAGAGAATGGAAGCAATGAAGAAACCACCCATGACGCAAGCCGAGCGGCTGGCAGAGGCGGCCATTGTCGAGCAACGAAACTCGAAGAGTCTGAACCGCTGGGAAGAGGCCGAAAAGCAGCGCGAAGAAGAGCGCAAGGCAAAACTGGCAGCGCTCAACAATAGGCAACTCAGTGGTCCAGTGGTGACTTTCTGGAGTGGCATGGGCGAATGGGTTGATGGCAAGCTCAAATACCTTGGAAAGACAGTCACAATTGAGGAAAAGGAGAAGCCTGTCAAAAAACGTCCCTCTACAGCTGGGACAAAGGCCTCAGATGAGTCTGGGAAAGGGGAAGAGAGTAAAAAGCAGGACTCCAACAAGAGCGAGCAATCCAAGGATCAGAGCGCATCGACAGAGCAACCGCCTGCCACAGGATCATCTGCTCAAGGCGACAAGGAGAAATCAGACGACGCAATAAAAGATACGGGAGCTTCAACTCGCAAGGACTCGCTAGCAGCGGAAACTCCAAATGCGACGGTCGATCCACCTTCAGCGAAACAAGAGAATGCCCCAACAGAACCAATTGCTCCCCAGAGAACAGAGACTCACCCTCATGACTCTAATCATCCAAAACCTGGCCCAGAAGTCTCCGGATCGACAAATTTGGAACCTGAGCCAACAGAAACCCTAATATCGCAGCCAGTAGCTCCTGAGCCAAAAGCCCCGGAGTCTACCATTGCTGATACTGATGAAAGCAAACCTTTGCAGGCACCACAAGCACCACAGACAACACAACCCTCTCAACCTCCTCAAGCATCTCAGCCTCCCCAAGCATTTCAACCGCCTGAAGCATCTCTACCACCACAAGCGCCACAGGCATCACAAGCACCACCACCACCACCACCACCACCATCGAGACCTCCTGAATTGGCGCCACCAAATCTCCAGGCTCCCAATCCAGCGCCTTACACCACGAGTATTTTTGCACCTCCAATGCAATCACCAGGCCCAGTCATGAAGCCTCCCGAGATGAAACCACTATCCAACAGCTTTCTGGCGCCTCCACCGGGTGTTACAAAGAGCGGCCTCTCCATGCCCATGGTCGGTTATTCGCCCCCAGCTAGCCAGTCTTCAAATGTGCTGGCAGCACCAAATGCGGGTCAAAGGGCGTCGCCGCTGTCTATGCCGCAGACGAACGCTCGCCCACCTCCACCGGCGCCCGTATCCGCGCCGGCGCCGACGCCACCCCGAGTAGCACGACCTCCACACCCGGCACCACTACAGGCGCAACCGCAACCCCAACCGCAACAGCGCCCACAGTCCAAGGCAGGAGGAGGTCCCAGTTCCAAAGGACAAACATCAGCACATTCATCAACTAAGCCCCCGGGAAGTCAGAAGGCATCTCACAACAATGCTTCCAAGAAAGCAAAAGAACCGGCGGGTGTGCCCGATCTACCACCAACTCCTCGGCCACCACCTCCGCCAAATATGAAGGCAACTTGTAACTCTATCATCCTGCAAAACTTTGACGAAGATGCCATTGAGCAGAAAGGCGTACAGCAGCACATCCTGTTTGGCAAAGAAATGGCCAAACTCGCAAGTATGTGATCCGGTGTTATACGTAAAGACGATTTGCAGATTTAGCTAACCATATCACAGAGCCAGCACCGCCGCCAAAGTGCATAGTTACAAACAAAACGGCGCGGTACAAGGATCCCAAGACAGGTCTGCCATATTATGATTCGAGAGCCTACAAGGAAATCCAGAAGCTGCAAAGCGGCGACTACAAATGGAGTCGCTTGGTGGGTGCTTGGGTTGGTACTGCGTCATTTGCCGCCCAAGGAGTTCCGGCTCGGTTTCTTGATCCCGATGCTCCAGCACCGCCGAAACCATCACCACCGCCACCAGTCGTCAAGCAAGAGCCTGGTGTAGCAATTCAGGACCAACCTGCCTCGACACCAGCACCAACGGTAGAACCAACACCGACGACGGCAGCACCATCATCGGCAGCACTGACTCCAGTAAATAACGGGGCATTGCCAGCCACGCCTATTAATAATACTGTTCAAAGAGCTCAACCCGCATCTCATGCGCCACCGATCACCAATGCGCCTACAAATCAAACCGCTGCACCAACCCCAATAGCAGCTCCGCCATCAACAGAAACAAAACCGGCAGAGATCCCCCCTTCTGTGGCAGCACCGACTGCTCCAAACGCATCTCCTCCAGCTTCACATGGCGCAGTCGCGACGGTGCCTGCTAATGCTGCACCTGTCGCCTAGCAGAATTGAGCGTAGACCTTCACACAGCTGCGCAGTGTACATTAATATGTAGTCATGATTATGAGGAACGTCTCATTGTATGAAAGTAGACAGCCCGGAATGAGGGCCAAGTCGTCAAGCAGAACGACGCAACAAATACAAATGGTACCAGATCTTCTCTTTTGACGCCAGAAACTCCTGGGAATGCCCTATAAATACTCGAATATGTTATGAACCGCTTTCAACTTCTGCCATCTACCTCTTCTTGGTCTTCTTTCGGTCGCTGTACTTGGGGAAGACAATCTTGGAAGGCTTCTTCCGCTTGGCAATGCGGTTCTTGGAGTTGCGAGTGTTGGATGAAGGCTTGTCGACATCCATAGTGGCTGCGCAAGGAGAATTAGCTACATATCCAAGTACGATCACTTGTGCATTGCTTGGTTTAACTGTCGAGATTTTTCTTACCATCGTCCTGATCAGCCTTGGCCTCTGCTTCGTCGTCCACAATCTTCATCTCGTTCTCGGCCTCGGGCTTCTCGGGCTTGGGCGCAGCAGCGACTTCCAAAAGTTTCGCCGACAGACGCTCCATGCGAGCCTGTTCCACCGGGCCAAAGACCTTGGCCTTGAGGCGCTGGTTGTTGGTCTTGACAGTGCTGGCACGCGAACTCTTGGCCATTGCGACGTCTATTTGTTTATAATGTTGTTTTTGAGGGGGGTTTGGGTGTAGTTTGAAATCGCACCTGGATGTGTACGGGCAGAAAGACAAAAGACGTGCAACTTTTTGGTGGGGCGTCTCCCATTAGCGGCCGTGATTCTGGGTGCTGCTCTGATACAGTGGAAAATGTAAAAAAAAAAAAAATTAAGGCAAGTCGTTATCGGATAAGCTATCCTAGGTCCCCTTGTCTTTGCCCAGAGTCCCAGACATGCACTTCCGTTACCCATGCCCAGCCATGCCCCCTTCAATGGAATTGAGGGACCCAGCGCTAAACAAGTGAGGGACAAGGGCGACGGATCCCTTTAAAGTGTTCACTAAGACTGGCAGGCGGTGAATATTGTCCGCCGCCCGACATGGTAGACAGCCTGCCCGGTCCTCCTACCTACCTGGACAGGGACGACGGCAAGGTCGTTGTTTCGTTTCAATCAGGCTCGAGCAGCATAAGATTTATTTAGTCTTCTTTCCATCATCGACTTGGCTTCATTATTTTGTATTCATTACCTTTTTATCACATCGACCCGTCGCCGACTATTACCGAAAGTATCACAAGTATCTTGATACTGTCTGGATTACCTCCGTCATCGCCCATCTTAGCACTGCATACTTGGGATACCAGAAGCGAATCCTCTTACCTTTGTGATCGCGAGCAATTATTTGCTCAGCTGATCCGCTTATTAGAGACGACAATCTGCTAAGCTTGCACAGCCGACGGACGGCCATCTTCAAAACTCCTCGTGCCGTTCAGGTGTTGACCCTGCGCATAACTCTAAAGTCCTCCCGATTATCGAGCCTTCCTCATGCGGTTCCCAACATTGCAACCTGATTGCCTTGCCAGTCGGTAGCAGCCGCAGGCCTCGAGATCTCCAACAAGAAGGTCAAGGATCTTCCGCGCATTTCCTGGGGAAACTTTGACGACTAGCCATGTCTTCCTCCAGCAACCCGCATCGTGCCGAGATCGAACAGTTCCGGCAGAAAGTCAGCCTCTTGCTTGTTAAGCAGCTGCAGAACGTATGCTCGATTGCTGGTCTGAGGACAAGCGGTATCAAGGCCGAACTGCAAAGGCGTATCATGTACGGTAAGGGCGCCCTCTTATTGCTTTGCGCGCAAGGCATTGGAACACGAAGAGATGGAAGTTTGGGTTGATTGGTGGCCTTGCGGGATCGAATGGAAGCAAGAACAAACAGGCAACGATTTATCGGTGGTTTCTGTTTTCGCGTTCCTTCCATTTATCTCAACACGTCGCTGGTGGACCGATTAGTTGAAACGCGCTGCCAAGGGAACCACTTTCCAACTCGATCCCTCAGGCCTTCCTCTTCTTTTTTTTCTTTCCCACTCCATCCCATCTGATTACTTCTCTCGTCCCCAATCAGGAGTTTTCTTTCTTTCTTATTAATGCAAACACCTGCTAACACTCTTCGTTTCTCTGCGCAACCAGCTCTGAACGAAAGTTCTCTGACCGACCCAGCACAATACGCACTTATCAAGGAAACAATCAACAGCATCATGGCGGGCGCAAGTCGCCGGGGCCAATACCCTCAGGGTTCCTCCTCAGCCACGGGCTATGCACGAGGATCTGAAGCGTACAACGTCAATGGCAGTAATGCCAGTACCAACAACCACAACCCCGCCCCCAACCCCGCCCTCGGAGTGTATTCTCAGCATAATCTTAACTCAGGCTATGCCAACTCTCACTCTCAGACGCGATGGGGCGCATCGCCTGCTTCTGTGCCCCAAAGGCCTGGTATGATGCCCTTCCAGGAGTCTTTTGGCTACAACCGACAAGGGCTAATTAGTCGACCAGCCCTCCAGTTCAAGCCGAGTCCTTTCTACCGCGTGGATCAGTTGATCGGGAGCGTGAGAACTCTCGAAAGTACGTTGGATCCCATCCTCTCAGACGGTACGGTTAAATGCCATCGCAAAGTTCGCGACTTGGCCTCAACTTAACGCGCATCCCACTGACTTTATTGAGTTTGGCAAATGCGCAAACAGACCCGCGTTTTTCCGTTCAAGATTAGTTGCTAATACGTTGACAGTCATGACTCAGCATCGTAACTCTAACACAATCACGCTCAAGACGAGTGAACATCCCGCGCTACACAATTGTGTGGCCGAAAAGACTATGCGTGTCATGGTCTTTTGCGCTGCCGATGACCGAGGTCTGCAAGATATTGCCTTTCCGCATCAGTCGGAGCTCAAGGTCAATGGCGGCGAGATCAAGGCCAATCTCCGAGGTCTGAAGGGCAAGGCAGGGTCTACTAGGCCCGTGGACATCACAGATGCCTTGCGTCTTGATAAGACCTCATATGTGAACAACATCGAGTTTACATATGCCTTGACGAATAAGGTGAAGAAACACCACAATCAAGAGCCATTAGTGAGCATATATATCTTCCTGGATCCTTCTCCAAGCAGTGATTATGCTCATAAAACCTGACTTCTTGATTTAAATACCATTGAGTGTTGTACCTGCTAACTGTTTGCATAGAAATTCTACCTCGCACTTTTCTTGTGCAAGCTTTCACCCGTCGAAGACCTGGTCACAAAGATCAAGACCAAGAAGATCCCCAAGGCCTCGGTCCTTAAGGAGCGCGCCAAGGCTGCCAACGATCCTGACGTAGTCGCAACATCAGAAGTTCTGTCACTCAAGTGCCCCCTAACGTACGGAAGACTGAAGGACCCTTGTCGTTCGACTACCTGCAGCCACATCCAGTGTTTTGATGTCACGTCATATCTCTACCTGCAAGAACAGGGTCCTCAGTGGTTATGTCCCATCTGCAACAAGCCCGCAGCGTTTGAGAATCTTGCCATTGATGAGTACGTCAAGGACATTCTAGACAGAACTCACGAGGACACTGAGCAGGTAACCATTGAGCCCAACGGAGAGTGGCGAACAGAGGGTCGGTCAGAGCCTGAGCCAAAGCGAGCAAGACACTCGGGTGCACACACAATCGCCAGCATTAAGGTAGATGACGATGATGATGTAGTGGCACTAGACGACTACAGCCCACCGGCCAACCAACGCATAAAGACACCTTCTCAGTCCATGAACGGCACCCCCTCAAACAATGCACACGCCAATGGATCGACATCAACACCTAGTGGCTCTCGGAAGAGAACGGCCGAGGTTATTGACCTGACTCTGAGCAGTGACGACGACGAGCCGATTAGACCGCAACCGAAGCGCCAGAATCAGAACACAGGCGGCATGTCTACGGCGGTACCAGACTGGGCCTATCCCCCTTTTCACACTTGAGTATCACGATGGCCATATGGAAAATGTGTAAATCATGCATGGGCACGGCGTTGGCGGAAGATTTTGATTTGAGGGCTTTTGGTAAAACCGGATATACCACCACAAGGGCTCTTCTGAAGAAGAGATATTAAGCATGAGAAAGAAGCGTTCTTGTGTATAATGATAGGCTTGATCGAGCGAGCGAGCGAACGAACGAGCGAACTAGCGAACGAGTGCGGCTATTGCATATGTGGCCATTGGTATGTCTACATTACCAAACAACAGTTTCGTTTGTGGATTGAAGTGAGGAGACGGAACCCGTCGGTTGCGCGTGAACATCTCTGGAAACAGGAATCGGGGCGCTTGCAATATGTGATGATGAGCATGTAAGGAGCGCTGAGAAATCGATTTGCTATAGACATCAGGCATGGTTCTGCTCTAGAGGGGGGACCCGAGGTTCGAGCAGCCTGTAGACCCATTCATAATGCAAACGAAGTCACGATAATGATCCATGGTGCTTTTATTTGTTAAATTTGTAAAAACTACAGTGCTTTTTGCCCGAGGTGGTTGAGCACAAAGGTAATAATGTATTCATGATTATCAAGTCTTCCAGGTCCCCCCGCGTAAATTACCTAGGCAAGGTACATAGTGTATGGACGTACCACTACATTTACTGCCACCCCCACACTAAAAGCCAATTGGCCCCTCACAACTTTCAAGTGCTCCAGCAGGGGTTGAGCTTGAGCTAGTCCAGTACGTACAGGCTGTCGTCTGTCTGGTCCTACGTTCATCGACTTACCGCAACCCTTCTCGTGCTGAAGATTGCCGAACAACACGACGAACTACCACACAACCATTTCTCCTTGGGAAGCAGCTACCCTTGTCACAGATGCACAGGAAGTGAACATTACTCAAAGAAGACGGCCCATACCCGAGCGCATTCTCATACTTTGGGGTGTCATTTTCGAGCGCTTTGGAACAGGTCAACCTTTACCGAAAGGGTAGAGCGCCAAGGAAGAGCGCGTAATCTCACAGACGGAGGAGCAGCAAGGAAGGGGAAAGGAAATTCTAAAGCAAAGAATTGAAGACTCTCTTCTGCTTCTTTTCAGAAGCGACGGCGCAATCTCGCCTGCGCGCGCAAACAGAACCCCTCGATTCGCTCGGCGCAACACCTCCAAGGGGGACCTGAAGTAGACGGGCGCAAAATCTCGGCCTCCCTTGAACGGCACATGCGCCGGTTCTGTCTTTCCAGTACGAGATATACGACATAAGCAGGAAACAAACTACAGACAGTCCGAGACGACGGCGACGACCTCGGGAGAGACTGTGTTCTTGGAAGACAAGGAGCGAGAATAGACTACCCCTTACAAGAGTCCGGGGAAATACAAAGACGGAGAGGAATATAGACAGACGACACTATTACACAGAGGGGGGAAAACACACAAAAGGTCGCCCAACATGTCCAACTTTGATCAACCCCTCCCACCCTTCAACGCCTCGGACCCGTCGGCCACATTTCTCAACTCATCATGTCTCGATCTCCTGCTGATAGAGATTGTGCCCATGGCGTACCGACTCGTCAATGAGCTAGAAGCTGCCGACGCGGCAACGGCAGACCGAAGTGCGGGCGGCGGCGGCGGCGGCGGCGGCAGCAGCACGGCGAACAATCAAAATACCAGCAATAGCCAGGACGGTACTGGCAGCGTCGCGACGGCATCGGCAACGGGCACGGCAGCGACGGGGACGAGGAAACTCGATGACGAGGAGGAGAGAGATGCTGTATTTTATCGCCTCGAGACTCTGGGATATCGAGTTGGACTGGGCTTGGTGGAGCGGTAAGTCATAACCTCTCCTCCCTCTCCTTTGGCCGAGGACTTTTTGGCGCGAAACCCGCCTCAGAAATGTCTAGAAGGCCCTGCATTTTGTTCTGCGATTTTTTCCCTTCTTTTTTATTTTTTTCTAACCCGTTTTCTTGCTACAACGCAGATTCTCACGCGATCGCCCCCGCTTCAACGATACCCTCGATGTGATCAAGTTTCTCTGCAAGGATCTATGGACTCTCGTCTTCAAGAAGCAAATCGACAATCTCAAGACCAACCACCGCGGTGTCTACGTCTTGACCGATAACATGTTCCGCCCTCTTTCGCGCATGAGTACCGATGCTGGTGGCCAGGCTGTCGTAAGAGCTCAGCCTGTGAGTTTTTTCTTTTCTCTATTCCTGTTTCGTCTTTCCCACTCCCGTCTGATTCCATGGGACGAATTTACTAATCAGCATATTTCATCTCTAGTTTCTTTGGTTTCCATGTGGCATAGTAAGAGGAGCTCTGGCAGCATTGGGCGTTAATGCCACAGTGCAGGCCGAGTCGAGCGAATTGCCCGGCGCCGTATTTCAGATCAAGACCATAACCGCCAAATCATGATGATACTAGACCTCTTACTACTTACCATGATATGAGAATGAAGTAATTATAGCATGTCAAATCATGCTGGGAAAACAATCTGGGGAGGCCAGAATGAAAATGAACAGAAGAAAAGATTTACTAGTGCAAAAGAATTCACGAGATTCTCATATTAGATGCATATACAGGAGCACGGCGTTTGTGGCGTTTTTTCGCATCTATTAATAATATCCAGTCTTCTTATGTACTGCTGTTCTCAATATTCACGTCCTGCCATCATTCCATGCTCCAATCCGCTTGCTCGCTCGCTCGGTCAGGAATCCCATCCATGGAAGCCTCATCGCTTATGTCGCATCCGATTCTTAATAAGGAGGGAGGTGCTCGTCGAGATCGTGGTGGGAAGAGGAACGAGGGGGGTTTGGGTTGTCCATTCATCGTGGATTCATTACTTCCTAGATAAGAAAATCACATTACAGCCTGGGAAGAAACCTTTCATCAGTCACATGGTCTCATTGATCGCTAGATCGCTTTTTTAGTTTGTCTACACACGACGCCGTTTATAGGGCAAATCCTTCGTGTAACCCATCCTTCCATCGAAGAAATGAACAGGCGCAAACATTGACGCATTCTTTGCGTGCTCCAAACAGCAAGCTTCAGGGGGGTTGGGTTGGATTTACTTTTGGGGAGGGTTGTGGGCAAAGCTGATGCCCTTCTCAATGTTGCCCTTGAGTCCCTCAATGGCCTTCTGCAGGTATGCGTTCTCATCGCTGGTGAGGTTGGTCAGAGGGTTGACAGCCTTCTCGGCACCGTTGGGCTATTGTTTGATTAGTTTCGATTCATAGACAGAAAGAGGAGAATATTTTGTTTGTAACTTACGCCCAGCTCAATGGGGACGGAGAAGAAGTCGACACCAGTCTTCTCAGCAATCTCCTTACCACCGGGAACACCGGGAAGGTAGACGTAGCTGGGCTCGACAAGACCCTTCTCGCCCTTGATGGCCTTGAGAACCTTCTCGGCAAATCTATACAATGGTCAGTCGGGCAAATTTGACTAAACAATGTTCAATCTTGATGCCTACCTGAAACCGGCGAAAGCCATGGACAGAGTAGCTGAGCCAGCACCGTCCTTGGCCTTGACGACCTCATCACCACCAAACTGAACGCGGTTGACGAGGTCCTTATACTTGTCACTGGGAATAGTGACGTTGGGCTGGACAGCACTGAAGATGGGGACAATGGTCTCGCCAGAGTGTCCTCCAATGACGGGAACTGTGAGCTCAGAGCCAGTCTTCTTGCCAGTAATCTCGGCAACAAAGGTCTCGGCACGGACGATATCCAGAGTGGTGACACCAAAGAGTCTCTGGGGGTTGAAGACGCCCTTGGCCTTGAGGACCTCGGCGGCGATGGGAACGGTCGAGTTGACGGGGTTGGAAATGACCAGGATGTAAGCCTTGGGGGCAACCTCGGCGGCAATCTCAATCAGGCCCTTGACAATGCCAGCGTTGATGTTGAACAAGTCATCACGGGTCATGCCAGGCTTGCCTGTAAGACGATGATTAGTCGGTGAAGAAGATGGAGTATGTTATGAGAGAAATAGTACATACGGGGAATACCAGCGGGAATGACAATAATGTCGGCATCCTTGAAGGCAGCCTTGCCGCCATCCTCCTTGGGGAGGTAGCCAGTGACTTTCTGTTAAGCACTCTTGTTAGTATGATGTTGTCGGTGCTCGGAGTAATACACAAACTACTCACAGCAGTCGAGGAGATGTGGGACAGATCAGTGGCGACACCAGGAGTGTTGACAACATCGTAGAGGGCGAGCTCGTCGACGAGGGGAGAGAGCTTGAGGAGGAGCGACAGAGGCTGGACAGTGTTAGTCGACGCTCAGGTAGGCTGATGAGTTCTTGTTGAGGTTTGACAGACCTGGCCAATGCCACCAGAGGCTCCAGCAACGACTGTGGGTAGCCAACTTGTTAGTAATGCTCGCGAGAGAGAGATGGGTATCCGCAAACGGTATGGTTTCTACGTTACTCACCTGCCTTGACCATTGTGAAGGATCTACTTTGTTGGATTGGTCTTGCTTGGATGTCTTGTTGTGATTGAAGAAGAGGAGTGAGTGACAAAAAAGTCGAGGAGTTGCTGAGATCTAAACGCGGGGTTGTAAGTCAGCGGTCGGGAAGCTTTTATATGGGAAAGGTGGTGTGTGACAAGGTGTTGTTGGGAAGGAGAGTGTGAGCTGCAGACAGAGCAATATTACCCCGCCAAATGAGAAGGAGACGATGATCTTATACCTTGGAGAGCAGCAAGAACAGAAAAAGAATATATCAAGGGACGTGGATTCAGTGATGGGATAGACCGGAATGGAAGTTGAGAGCGAGACTCACCCTTTTATTTGCGCCGATAGTGTTCACTTGAGCTCCTTTGATTGTTTGCGAGGGGGGTGGGAGAGAGAAACGCGATTATGTAGAACCCTGCTGGGGATGGCGGGGCAGAGCGGTTTCTGGTGGTGAGCGGCCATTGGAAACGGCGCGCAGCTCGGGCGGGATCCTCACAAGCTCAGGGACTGTTTGAGCTTAGTGGGCTGGGGTCTGGGCCAGTTACCCCGCCATCCCGTCGTAACCTGGGTACCTTGACCTTATTTTACTGTGGTGTTCCTGAGGTTAGGGAGGTGCTACGGTTAGAAGGAACATTGAACAGGCGTTAAAAAACGACCGTCTCTTATTTCCCCTTCTGACTATTGGTCTAAATTTCCATGACGGCTTCTTTGGGTAACAAAGCCCGGAGATAATAGTAGGTAGGTATCTAACTTGATGACATAAGGCACCACGGCATGAACATCACCCAACCTCTGACGGCCCGCCAAGCGTCTGGGTGTCGTGGTTGGCGGCACATCCAAACGTTCTAAGTTGTGCATTGTCTATCTTTTGTTTCTTCTTATTACCGGACAACAAGTCACACATGCGTCTCAACTATGGATACTTGATTCTTTTCCGCTGCTGAACACATGACGCAAATTATTCGCCCTGTCGGCCTGGTCGGCTTGGGATAAGCGAGCACGACGTGAGCTCTACTATAGATTGCCGAATTAGCAGCCCGACTATCGTGAGCTTCCGAGGCTTTCAGCTGTCGCTGTCTTCCCGGTCGGGCAAGACCGGACTCTGCGTAGCTCCATTCTCGATCAACCTCCCTCGATGCTAGGAATAGTCGTCTTTTGACTGCCCTATACATTTTCGTATTTCCCATGCTTATTGATTCCGCAGATCTATACCTGGCCGGGGGATTCCGTTGTATCACCCAGGCTCCTCGGATGCCGAATGAGACAGCCAAGATGGCATGCTCATTTCAGCCAAGTGTTTTCTAGTTCTCAAGGTCACGTCATCTGGTCCATGACGATGCCATAGGCACCCGAAGCCTACCGGAGTACACAGCATCACGGAAACGGTACGGAATACTCGATCAACGGGGCCCCGCCAATCCAAGTATCAATCACAAGTCACATGCCAGATGTTTGCGCAGGTATGCATTGGCCAAGTATCAATCCGACGACTTTGCTTTCCGTGGACAAGTAGCGGCGGGTCACACACGGTTGCGCCCCGGGGCTTTCACTTCACGCACGTATTGCAATAATATTTTGAGGTTGAATCAATTGTATTCACAAGCTGCCGTGGATCTTCTTCGGATCCTTTTCTAGCTGCAGAGATACGCCATTTTCGCCAACCTAGCCTCCCTTAGACCATGTCATCCATCATATTATATCACACAACTGGAAAGACATTTACGACGACTCCTCGGCGGCAGCGGCCTTCTTGGCCTTGGCACCACGGGGCTTGCTCTCGGGGGTAGGCTTGGGCTCGCGCTGGGAGCGGCGGACGGCAGAGACACGCTGGACAGCGGCCTCACGGAGGTCGGCACGGTAGCCGTTCTTGGCAGCCTGGTTGGCAACAGCCTTGTAGGAGCTTTAGGGACGAGACAAGTCAGCATATCAAATCCTTATACTGCAGCGGTTCTAGGGGAAAGCTCGTGACATACCTGCGGGCAGACTTGCCACCGTGGTAGGTGGTGGTGTGGGTGCCGGAAGCGGGCTTCTGGGCAGAGCCGGTCTTCTTGGTCAGGACCTGGACACCACCCTTCTCGTTGTGGCCAACGCTGATAGCCTAGAAGTCATGCGTGTTAATTGTGTCCGGTTGAATCCTTCATGTGTCCGTGTCGCGTACCTTCTCGTTGACGAAACCAGCGTGCTATAAAGGTGTTAGCCGAATGATACTCCCACAAACTCGAAATTGTCCAAAAGGAAGCTTACCTTGCGGGAGTGCTTGTTGGTCAGGTTGAAGGGGTCGCGAGAGAACTGAACACCGCCGGACTCCTTGCGCTTGACAAGGAAGGCGTTGTTGGAGCCTGTTCAAGATATCATTCCATCAGCCCTCATGTCTCCCACCAATAATCATGCAGTCTTTCTCCCATGCTCGCTCGCCCAAATTTCCCATCTTCTTCAATTCGTTCGAGTCGAGCCGGGAGAGAAAATAAAATTAAAAGGTCCTGGGTGAGACTTACGGACGATCTCCCAGATCAGGTCCGACGAAACGTTGCTGGCAGGCATTGTGAATGTGTGGTTTGGAGGCTTCGAAATTGCTGAATCTCTTGATCTCGAAATTTCGTCTACCAAAACCGATTTCTCGCACACAACTCGGGTCGGTCGCTCTGATTGTGGGATTCGCTTAGGTTTCCTGATGCGAATTAGCGCCACTTTTCGCTGGGCTTTTGCGTGAGCGGGCGGAAGAGGTAATGTGGCTGTGCTTTCCCCTTCTCTTTCCTTCATCTCCACTTCAGCTGTCAAAACGCCACATTGGCCCAACCCATCCACTTAACGCGGGTGCAATCACGCATAAATGATCCAAGCTCGCCAAGATGCACATGGACCCACACTGATTATGCTGTCGGCGTCGTCACCCTTTGAATTTGATAATATCAGAGCTGTTGGCGCATCGCGAGGCCTGTCATCTTTTCTTCCTCCAGCGCAGTCTCAAAACTCCCCAACTTCAACCCCATTGAATTATTTTGGCCTTTCATGGCCTGACGGCGACTGTCTGGTGCGATCTACAAATCTGCCAAGCCAGCCTTTTTCTTTTCCTTTTCATCTCGTCTCTACGTTCCTTTTGTGTCTGTCTTCCGCCCCCTCTCCGGGCTTCCGCCATCAGCACCCGATACTCCCCTAGTAGTGGGATTACACAGCCATTCATCGCCGACCACGACATCCGAATACATCACCCACCATCTAGTCTCTCCTTTTTCTTCGCTTTGATTAAATTTCTTCCGAAACAAAAACCTTCCAACGGCTTGGGAAAACGAAACCGAAAGAATATATAAAACACTACCGACAAGAAACGAACCACGCGACGATGCCGTACCTCCTCCCATCACTCGTCCTGCTGGTGCTCGTCACCGGCACGGTCCTCTACGTGACGCGCAACTCGTGGCTGCACCTGGTGCCCGAGTCCGTGGCGCACCCGGGCTCGTACCTGTACGCGCGGCTGCCGTCGACGTTTGCGGGCGACGTCGAGGCGGGCCTGAGCAGCGACACGTTTGACCTGGCGGGCAACATTGCCGACGGCGACGCCCGCGCAGGGCTAGACGACGCCGCCAAGCGCGAGATCCTTTCCATCATGAAGAAGCGCCGCATGAAGTTTGACCAGGCCCGCAAGGTCTACATGGAGCAGCGGTTCAGCGCCAATGGCATTGGGCCTGATGGTCGCCCCAGAGATCCCAAGTTTGTCAGCTTCTCGTAGAGAAGGGGGGGAGAAAGCTTGGCCGATCCCGCGAACACTTGAATTCACCAAGATCTCCATTTACCTGAATGCGATATACGAACTCGATTATACCCAACAGTGGACGGGATCACTGTATTGACTACCGTTCTTGATTCGTCGCAAGAGGGCCATGGAGTTCCATGATGGAATTCTAATTCTTACTCAACAAGCCGCCATACGGCAGTATTCTTTTCTTTCTCTTTTTTACCTCTTTTTGTGTTTTCAGCGTCATGGCGTTTTGGGGGCGATTTCAGATGGGAATGCTAGCGACATTCCTAGATTCGATGCGATAGCGTCTGGTTGGCCTCGTCAGGCCTTGATTTTCATAGTAATTCTTCTCGTGCTTTTCCCGCTTGAAATAAGAAAACATGAAAATCACAAGAGTCCGTTGTGACGGAGCAATGTGATCTATATACTTTGTACCATAATTTCAGCACTACATTTGAAAACTGAAAGTGTAAAACAACAAGATCAATCCTACAACGGGGTCAATTCAAGTTTATTTGTTTTCGCCAGGCCGAATCGTGCTAAATCGAACAAGGTTCCCCAGGCTGCTCTCAATTATAGGACAAGTTATGTATTATATCATTAATCTTATCTTGGTCTCGGTATTAAAAGTCTATAAGCAAACTGCCCGTCGCATTTCTTTCCAGAAGGCGACCAGGCCAGACCCTTTCATGAGTTCCTTTGTAGAACAAGGTCGATTCTAATAGTAGAAAAAATTGCCCATCTTAGGCATTGGCATAAGCCATAAGTCGATGGTCGCCCCCAAACCATGACTTTGTATGTACAGTTCATGCCCTCTCTTTTCGAGTCAAAGCGAGAATTTTGGCATCGACTTCCGACTCTTTAAAGGCGTGACATGACGACCTTTAACATCAAAGGCACGAGTGCCACCGTTCAGAAGAGGACATGTAATTCGCCGGGAGAAAGTGATGTCCTCGGTCGAGGTTCTCTCTTTCTGTGATGATGGACCGACAGCTCTGCAGAGTGGCAAAAGAAGGTTGAGACACCTCTCACTGGCTCTTCTTGCTCTCAACGGGATCGTATTGCCTGTCATCCTCGCCCTCAACCTCGCGGACCATCTTCTCCATCTCCTTGGTCTGTCGACTCCACTCCTTTTGGCTAAACTTGGTCTCGCGGGCAAACAACTCGTCATTGGGCTTGCGGTAGCTACCGCCGAGGCGATCCCAAACCGTCGTGTACTGGCCATAGTTGTAGTTGAAATAGAGATGGTGCATGGTGTGACAAGCCGCGCCGTTGATGACGGGGCTGTTGGCCACGTACTCGCCGTCGTGGATGAGAATGGTCCAGAAGTTGACAAAGACGAATAATCCGACATACGCCAGCTTTTGCAGAGGGAACAGCAGAGGGAAGATATGGTACGGCAGCGCCTGCGCCCAGCCGTCGACGGGGTGAAAGGCGTGCGAGGCATACGGTGTGGGCATGATCCACTTGTGGTGAGGCTTGTGCAATGTCTTGTATACGGCTGGATGATGCAGGCCGCGATGAATCCAGTAGATGCAAAAATCGGTAAAGACGAGAAAGAGCGGAAACTGCAGCCAGTTGTAACCCGCAAACGGCGCCGCGTCGAGGCCGTCGTAGCATTTGGTGTGGCCGCGCACCTCGGCGAGGAAAAAGGGCAGCGTCAGAACCGACATGATGGGCATGGAGATCATGGTCTGACGAATTTCTAGGCGGATTTGGTTCTTGAGATACTTTGGGTGCTGGAAAGTGCCCTTGTCAAAGACGAAAATGTACGACAGACTTGCGAACAAGAAGTAAACGAGCAGTCCAAAAATCCTAGGGCCTCGTGTTAGTCCCGGGATCGGTATTTTGGAAGCAGTCGGATACGGCGATTTACCAAGTGATTAGAAAAAGGTTGAGCGACTGCCTGTAAATATTGTCTCTGGCCCACGAGCTCATGTAGGCATACTGGCTCGGCTCGAGTGAGAAGTACTTGGTGGCAGGCTCATACTGCCATGACGAAAAGGCCCGAGCCTCGCCCGTCGCATTGGTTGGATTAGGGAAGTCATAAAGAGCCGGCTTCAATGGCATGAGTTTAGCATAGGCATAATCGCCCATAAAGGTATCGAAGATTTCATTCACGATATCCATGGCGGGCAAAACAGCAGGAAAACTGGTTGCCGGGGGGTCTGTGATATTTTCCTAGGCAGTTTTCTGGTGGGTCGTGTTGCAAAATCCAAGGTCTGTGTCTGTTATTAAAGTCGCGGTCGCCGACCAAAGTGGCGGAAGGAAGGACTGTAGGAAACGAGGAGGAAAACAGAAGCAACAAGGAAAGAGAATGTGGTAGCCAGCCGCAGCCGTCAGAACGACAAGTAATGAATGCAGAGGCGGTCGGAGTTTCGAGATTCGCGGGAAATTCGCAGCAATGTAAATTATTACGCGAACCAGCAGCCGGGTGGTGCGCAGGGTCGTACCGTTCGTGCTAGGTACTATGCATGTGCTGGCGCTAAAGACGGAAGTTTGTTTGAATCGAAGGGGGTCAATGATTAGCGGGCAGACGGGCAGAAGAAACGTCCCGAGGCGCTGGGTATAAAAAGTGTAGAGGTGAATCAAACTGAACTCTTAGGTAGCAGCGAGTATATATTAGGCTGTGTTCCGACGTTGAGTCTTGTAGCATACAACAATGACTCTTGTTGAAACAGATGGAAATAATGCGCAAGACAAACAAATGGTCAAGCCAAAGTAGCAGCAACTCGACGTCTTGTTGGTCTTTTGGTTGATTCTCCAAAGGAAATTGCCATCACGTCCTCAAGCGCAAGATCACGGATATATCGAATGTTCATGTCCCCATTCCCCAGTTTCAACGACTGACATCAGCTCAGCCCAGCTCGCGCCTTGGTAATTGGAAGACACCCATGTCCAATTGGTTGGGTTAGCTCTCTCGTGGAGCAACATTTTGGATATCCACTACTTCTAGGCAGTAAAAGTAAATTATCCTTGCGAACATATGAGCAATCGGGTTGCCTTTGCCAGTACCTATTGACATTCCGCTACTTTGGCGAAAATGTCTCGAAAATTGTGAGACCTGCAGAACGAATAAGAATGCAGATGGTGCCAAACCCGTTTCGCAAACTATAACTTTCAGCGTAGCAAGCAGTATAAGAGCCAGTAGAGTTTGAATGAGACACAAGTCTGCAGCATGGTTGAAGCTGATTGGACAATCCAATAAATGGTCGCAATCATCCAACATGCCACTTGGCTCACCGACAGATTCCACCTTACATTAGACTGGGATGATGTGCAGCGGTAGCAACGAGCTATCCGATTCGTTGTCCCCAGACCATCAGCTCACTGGAAACTTGAGGATCCGATGCCTTGGATGCTAGAATGTTTCTCTCGTGCAGAATTTGTGGGGAAGCGAAACTTCAGGGTCCTTTATCCAATTGAGTCACTGAACGTCAGCCCAGCGGATAACGACTGTCACAGCTCACTTGGACCACAGCTCGTGAAATGTTGGTCACACACTACCCATCCAGGATGATTTCATAGATGAAAATGAGGTGGAGCTCAATCGGCTAGGCATGTTCCCTCTATTCATACCAGGCGGCACTACAGAAGCGGAATTGGGTATTTATATGTAGTCTGTCGTCGTCGTCTTGTGCGAGAATAGTCAGAAACATCAAAAAACATTCATCGCGGCCTATTGTCCCTGAAAACGAGGGAAACGAGGATAGAACAAATCAAAATCTTAGTAGTTTCAGGCATGGAATCACATATTTAATAAAGCAGTCTGCAAGGTTTTACAAACAAACAACACCCAGGCGACCGCCGGGCATGGAAACAGAAAAAGAAGAGTTACAGGGAACTGAATGAAAATACTAGAGAAGGGCGAACCCAATCAAAAAGAGAAGATAGAGGGAAAGAGAGAGAGAGAGAAAGAGAGTTAATAATACAAAATTCCTAGGAGCAGAGCGTAACCACTAAACCACTGTGACATGTGGCTTCATACATTAGACTGTTGAAAGAGAACAGTTTGTTTTGTTTTATGTAAAGGGCCGAGTCGTCGAAGATATTGACGAAATTGAACCTTCACAAATCTTTTGAAGGAGGCAACCAGCCCGTAAATATGGTTCGGAAAGCCTTGGCCATGAAAATCAACCTGTGTTCAGCCATATAAGCCCAGGGCTTGTATCTCGAGGAATGTGGCTCCATTCATTTAGTGACGGCTACAGTCAATGGATTAACTTGTTGCACTGGCGAACATAGTATCGCCGACCCCTCAATCTAGAGTGTGAAAGTTTCCGATCAAGTGCACTTAGGTATGTTTAGGCGTACTCTGTAACATTTCGTCGTTGCCATTGTTCCGCAGAACGAGACGATTCGCTCGAGTAGACCAAGATCTGACTTAGGTGGAACGCTCACGAATCAGTGCGGCAAACACGTCATACCTCACGGGTGATGGTGCTTGGTACAAAGGCACAGTGGTTGAATGACCCGACACCGAGAAGCTACCGTGGATGGCTATGAGTAACGTGGCACAGGCCGGAAGGGGTACTCTATTCATTTCCCAACTACATCCCGAGTATGTATACTTTGCCCCCAACTTTTTGTTTTCTGGCGTGACTGAAATGACTTGAATCTAACAATCTCAGTTGAAGGGAGGTCTCAGATCTGAGATGTAAAATCGCCAACTTAGCAGCTTGTCCGGTAAATTGGTTCAACTACCGACGTCTATTTGAAACGTGATACCACGCATAACAAAGAGCCGGTTGTGTTGCTCGGCATTTGTACATGTGTTGAGCAATGATGTAAAATGGCCCGACATCCAAGACAAGAAAGAACACACATATTACATGCCACTGTGGGAAATAAGATGGTCAAGTATGCTCCATGGTCTAGTGTGCTCTCCAGTATACCAAGTTGAAATGGGAGTGGCAACAAGAAAATGTCAATATCGGTTGAGATGGGTAAGTATCATAACATTTAACCTTTTTCAAGATTCTTTTGCCATTGAGTGACCGCGACAGAGCTTTTGGAAAGTCTGTGGCACATAAACACAAAACCACTGAACGAGGACGCCTTGATGCTCTAGTCTCTGATACCAAGAGATTCGTGTATAAATCTCTAAGAGTATCCTCTTTCATCCATCAGACTACTTTTACTCTACCTTTGTTCATCATACCAGCGCCCCAACCGTTCCATCTCCCAACTCAAATAACTTCAACCCAGACAAATCATCTTGTCCCTGCTAACCATGGAAGAGATTCGAGCAGCACAAAAGGCTGGGATTGTCATAGGTCTTTCAAAGGCCGGAGGTTTCCTGCCTCGGATTGATATTGACCAAATGATTGTCAATCAGCCCGACACCTTCAATCTGTTTTGTCTCGCCATGGTTGAACTCAAGTCAGCACCTCCATCAGACTGGATGGGCTACTATCAGATTGCCGGCATCCATGGACTTCCAACCCAGGTCTGGGACAATGAGACTGGGGTCGATAAGAAGGGACAGGCCTCAAATGGCCAAGGTTATTGTCCCCACGGGGATGAGAAATTCCCCACTTGGCACCGTCCTTATATTGCAATGCTTGAGCAGACTGTCTACCTGAAGATGCTTGACATCGCCGAGCAGTTTCCTGCCTCGGTCCGGGATACCTACGTCAAGGCGGCTGAGGCCTTTCGTTTCCCCTACTGGGATTGGCACCGTCCCCGTGGACTCGAAGCGTCATTTCCCGGTGTCACTCAAGAGGACAACACGACCATGTCGCCCTACGACTTCAAGGTGCCCAGAGTCTTCACAGAGCGTTATATCATGGTCAAGCAACAGTCGGACAATCAGCTTGTCCAGATCAACAACCCTTTTGCCTACTTTGAGTTTCCAAGGGGCGGCATGAGTGGCACTGATTTTGACATCCGCAAGGACCTTGCCCGTGATCGGACCAAGCGCTATCCCGTCTTCTCAAACGAGAGCCTAGCTGTACAAGCTCTGAATCTGACTCTCAACATGGCGCGAGAGTCTAAAGTCCAGAATATTGTTGACATGATCACTGGTCCCGGTTACGACACGTTTGCTGCTTTTGGGTGGACCAAACCCCCCACAGATACTCGGAAAAGATATGAAGATATCCAACCTTCAGGATCCCTTGAGTGTAGTGAGTAGCAGTTTCCATTTTGTTGTGATTCATATTCTGTTTTCCAGTACATGTTGACCAGCTACCTAGTCCACGGTAGCTACCATGTTTGTTCTGGTGGGACCCAGGGACACATGTCAGAAGTCCTGCTCGCTGCATTTGATCCCATCTTCTGGTTCCATCATTGGTATGTAACCATTCCGATATGAAGTTGCGAGCCAAGAACAATTGCTTCTATATCTGAAAATTAACTCCTGCCTTTTCAAAAGTAATGTCGACAGACTGTTCGCCGTGTGGCAGTCTATATATCCCGACTCATGGATGCAAAATGAGAATGTTGATCTTCTGCCGTTCCGTGCCCCTGCGACCAACGGCTCATCAAAGTACTGGACTTCTCAAACCGCCAGGACTACCGAGAGATTCGGTTACGTTTACAGCGATGCCCAAGGCGCGGCGAAGGATGTGCAGCAGCAATTCAAGAACCGCTACGGCTGGTCCCTGCGGGGCGCAAATGCTTCCGGGAAGCCCCCGTCAGACATGGCACCGCTTAACGAAAAGGTTGATGCAGCACAAGTATTCCAATTCCAGTATCATACACTTCCAGCTTCCATCTCCAAGACTTTGACATTGATTCCGGATGTTTTGACAACGTCGGAAGTCTTTCCACCATTCGCAAAGACTAAAGTCATTCAAGTTCAAGACAAGTCTTCTCAGAAGCCACTGATCCAACCATCCTCTGAAAAGAAGCAGATCGCCCAGCAGAGGACGCTCATCCAGGCGGACCACGATATGCCCATGGGAACTGCCCCTAATATAGACGAGTCCAAGGTCGATCGTCAATGGTACATAGACAGCGTCGTTCAGAGGTACGTCAATTTTGGGATCTAGCGATCTTCCACCGCTGACTTCTTGCTCAATCGCTTAGACTCGCTCTCAATGGTACCTTTACAATCTATTTCTTCATTGGAGGTGTCCCAGGCAATGATGTCGCGCCGGCGCATTATTGCCTGTGTCCCACCCTCGCAGGCGACATGCACATCTTTGCGGCACCCGTCGAGGCCTGCGACAACTGCGGACAACACCGCGACGCTGCGCAGCTGGAGAGCGGCACCGTTCCAATCAACCCGATCCTGTTGGACTACAAGATCACTGGTCATCTCACAGACCTGTCGCCAGACCGCGTTCGGCCGTTTTTACTTGATAACCTTCGCTGGAGGGTAGTCAATGTTTGTGCATCCCTCTCAATCATGAGGGAACATGAGCTAACTGAATCAACTCAAAACAGGGAGCCGGGAATCTTGTTGACCCGCGACATGTTACAGATTTCCAGATTGGGGTCACTTCCAAGGCGACTGCGCTTGATGGCAGTGGCCAAATTACGGTGGAGGATCATGCTCAAGTGATCCAGCAGATCATTGAACAATCTCCTTAGGCTGTCTAGGTTAGGTTCATTGATCTAGAGCCTGGTTAATGCTGCTGAAAGCCAGTGCAAGATATATTTTGGTGGAGGGTTTCTCTAATTCATGGTTCCCTACAAGAATAGCTTTGCAATACCAAAAGGCCTACCGTTGCGCATACCTTGCCCTTACATCTTGGCAGCAATTTTCAATTAGGTAACCCGTGCTTTATCGGTCTTGCCTTCTTTGGAGTCTCCGAATAATTGTTGAAGCATAATATGCACCAATAAGATGCAAAATGATATGATTCAACATGAGTCAACCGGTAAGTCTTGTGCATATGCATCCCGTTAAGAGCAGTTATGCCGATCACTTTGCTAGTGTCACATATTCAGCACCAATGCTGCTGAGCTTTGCGCCCTCGGTTAATATCGACTGTCTCTTTCTTTTTTCAAAGTACAAGTCGCTCGAATAGCATCTATCTGTGTAAACATCGTGATGAGCGTTGTAGCAATGGCACTCAACAATCAGGAAAAGATCATCTTGGAGAGACAGATTAATGGCCTTGCGGCCCAGCGACCGGGAAAAGGAAGCCTCTTGAGCTATTCAACAACGCTCGACAAGGTCATTCTTCTCATTAGCTTCACCTGTGCTATACTCGGCGGCATATTGAATCCCCTGATAGCGGTATTATAATACTCTGAGGGGGTTACAAGACGTACCGAGACAGCACTGATCGTGAATTAGGTCATTTACGGCCAAACCGTGGGAATCTTTGGCAGCTATTCAGGCTCTTCTCTCTCCCATGCCGACGCGCGACGCCAAATCGTCACCTATTCACTCTACTGGGTCTATCTGTCGGTGGCGATTTTTGTCCTCATCTATACAGCCACGGTCGGCTTCTACTACGTCGGGGAGCGCACAGCACGAGCTCTGCGCAATGCCTATCTCAAGTCCATCATCCGGCAAAACATGGCCTTTTTCGACACCCACGAGCCCGGGCAAGTCTCGACGCGCATCATGTCCGACATGACGCACGTGCAGGAGGGCATCACGAGCAAGCTGTCCATTGCCGTGACCGCCATGGCCTGCTTCTCGTCCTCGTTTGTGATTGCCCTCATTGTCCACTGGAAGACGGCGCTGGTGCTGAGCCCGGCGTTTGTCATCATGACGCTCGTCGGGTCCCTCGCTGGTGCGCGCATCGTCAAGTACCACAAGGAGGCCAAACTCGCGAATGAAAAGGCGTCTAGCCTAGCCCAGGAAGCCATTGCCTCGGTGCGGCACGTCTACGCTCTTGGGATCCAGCGCCATCTCGCCGAAAGATACCAGTCCTTCTTGGACAACGCGGGAAAACATAATCGCAAGGCGCTGTATATCATGTCCGTGGTAATTGCCTGGTCGCAGGCAGTCCCTCCTCTGGTGCACGCGCTGACGTTCTGGGCTGGTTCGCAGTTTCTCGTGCAAGGGAACATGACGGTGGGACAGATTACCACCATTGCTCTCGTTGTCGTGATAGGCGTCTTTGCCATTGTGCGGATATCACCGGCCGCCCAGGCGTTGGCCAACACCGTCTCCAGCGCCAGTGTGATCCTGGGCGAAATGGCCCGCCGCTCGCCCCAGGACCCGTTTGACGCTTCTGGTGGGACCGTGGATGACTTTCGAGGAAGCGTCGAGCTTTGCGGAGTCAATCTCGTATATCCCAAGAGGCCCGATGCTAGGGTGATGAAGGATGTGTCCTTTCGCTGTCCCGCCCTCAAGACGACGGCAATAGTAGGGGCTTCAGGTAGTGGCAAGAGCAGTATTATCAATCTGCTACAGCGCTTCTATGAGCCAACTGGTGGGCAGATATGTCAGTCTTCTGCAAGATACTATATCAATGTTGTAAATACTGACGTTTGGAGGATACAGTGGTTGATGGTGCCGATATTCAATCATTGAACATTCGCTGGTTACGTAGTCAGATGGGGCTGGTAAAACAACAACCAGTTTTATTCGACACGACGATATTCGAAAACATCACATATGGTAGAGTGAACTCACCCGGACAAGCTTCGAAGAATTGCTTAATCAACAAGTCATTGCTGTCGCAAAGATGGCGAATGCCCATGACTTTATATCCGCCTTGCCGGACGGGTATCAGACACGGGTGGGAGAAAATGCGACACAACTGTCTGGGGGTCAAAAGCAGCGCATCGCCATCGCGCGGGCCTTGATGCGAGATCCAAAGATCCTTTTGCTGGATGAGGCCACCTCGGCTCTGGACACGGGGTCCGAGGCGGCGGTGCAATTGGCGCTGAGCAAAGCGGCACATGACCGAACCACAATCGTCATTGCCCATCGCCTGAGCACTATCCGCCATGCAGACAATATTGTCGTCATGTCCGAGGGTTGTGTTGTAGAACAAGGGACGCATGCTAATCTCATCGCTCGCGACGGCCACTATGCGCGTCTCGTCCATGCTCAACAGGTTGAGGGCGAGCTTGGGGTCCAGGATGACGATCTTGAAGATGAGATTGCCACAGAGTCCGTGGTTGGCCCTATTTTGGAAGACGAAGTGCTCCCCACCTCGAAAACAGAATCTCGCGGGGATCAACATATTCCGATTGTTACTATCACTGAAGAGATTAAGCCAAATGGTTGGGGCCTGGGCAAGACCTTGGCCCTCATAATTCAATGGAACAAGGCCGAGCGCTGGATGTTGTTGCTTGGACTGGTTTGCTCCATATTCGCCGGCTTAGCATTGCCTGGGTGAGTATTCTCAGCCCATCCATCCTTTGATCTTCTTTCAGACGAGTCCAGTATATCTTACCCAGATGACAGTCAATCAGTAGTCTTTGCAAAGGCTCTCGATGTCTTGTCACTTACCGCTTCGGACTATGGAACACTTCGTAGTCAGGTGAATCTCCTTGCCGGTATCTACTTAGTTGTGGCCTTTGTCACATTTCTCCTCTGGGTCGGCGTTGGTCACGCGTGCGCCTACACCGCAGACAGACTGGCGCAAAGTGTTCGAAATGGCTGTTTCCGATCAATCATGTCGCAAGACGTCGAGTACTTTGACCAAAAAGCACACTCAACCGGATCCCTCTTGTCCACCCTCTCCACCAGCATAGACGCCCTCATCGGCCTGAGCAGCCCCGTCATGGGAGGTAGCTTGACATTTATCTGCACCATACTCGGTGGTATAGTCATCGCCGTGGCTTTGGGCTGGAAGCTGGCTCTGGCTTGCACCGCGACGTTACCACTAGTCGTTGCGTGTGGCTGGGTGCGCCTACAGATGCTGGCCATATTTGACGCACACACGCGGCAAAACGGCATCGACGCCGCATCCTACGCGGCCGAGATTGTCAAGTCGGTCAGCACCGTGGCGAGTCTCGGCCTGGAGGAGTTTGTCCTGGGCCGCTACGACGGGTTCCTCGCCAAGCAGTCGGAAAAGTCGTTCCGGTCCATCTTGTTGGCGTCGAGCCTGTACGCCGCGTCCCAGTCGGTCGTGTACCTTGCCAGTGCGCTGGCCTTTTGGTACGGCGGGACGCTGCTGCTCGAGGGAGAATACTCATTATTTCAAATCTATGTTTGCTATACCACGCTGATATCTGGCGCGCAGATTGCCGGGTCCGTCTTTTCGTTTGCGCCCGATGCGAGCAAGGCCATACACGCCAGCTGGGAAATTGACAGTATTCTGAAAATAGGAAATAACTCCATCTCGCGAGAAGAGACTGACGAGGAGAGGGACAAGAGTGCTGAAAAATCGCCCAAACATGTCGCCAAGTATACCCACATTGAGTTCCAAAATGTCAGCTTCTCCTATCCGACACGCAAGACGCGTCTTGCCCTGGATAACTTTAGCCTCAAGATTGGTTCAGGGCAATTTGTCGCCTTGGTCGGCCCAAGCGGGTGCGGCAAGAGCACGGCCTTGTCACTTGTTGAGCGCTTCTACCGGCCAGACGCCGGCACGGTCTTGATCGAGGGTCGAGATCTCGCCTTGTGTGATATTGACGAGCACCGGAGATCCATCTCGCTCGTCAGCCAGGAAGCGGCCATGTTTTCCACCTCCATTAGAGAGAATGTCGCCATGGGGTTGCCGGGAGAGGAAGTTTCGGATCAAGATATTTGGAATGCTTGCCGACAGGCTAATATTGAAACATTTATCAAGTCACTCCCGTAAGTACCACCCACTATTCGATCTAGCTTTCCCTTGTTTTGCGGCGTCACGGGTCAAATCGACCATGAAGCCTCCTAGTAACAAAAGCCATAGTGACGGTCTCTCCACCCTCGTCGGGCCCGGGGGGTGCATGCTGAGCGGTGGTCAGAAACAACGGGTCGAGATTGCGCGGGCCCTGCTGCGCGACCCGCGAATCCTGCTCCTGGACGAGGCCACGTCGGCCCTCGACGCCGAGTCCGAGGCCGCGGTGCAGGAGGCGCTCGAGCTGGCGTCGAGACACCGGACCACTGTTGCCGTGGCGCACCGGCTCAGCACCATCCGGAACGCCGACCTGATTTGCGTCCTGGATCGCGGCAGAATTGTCGAGTCGGGCTCGCATGAGGACTTGGTTAGGAAGAAGGGGAGGTATGCGGCGCTCCTGGAGTTGCAAGATTTGCGGTGATTTTAGCTGGCTTCACTCATTTAAAAAGCCGGCTATTTGTGCTTTTGCATACAGGTCAGATAGTGGTCTGAAGTAGGGAGTAGCAAAAAGCAATATGTCGAATGTCATGCAGTGAGAACAAGAGTCACGGGGTTGAACACGATTTGAGATCAGGTGAGTTTATCGTCGAGCTTGTATATTTATGATGGACAATAAATCGAATAGATGAACCAAATATACATGACTTCCGGGCACTCACGGAAGTGAATCAAAGTTCCAAGTGCTCCAAGGCAACCTGTAACATCTCAACTTTTCTCCATATTTCTCCCGTGCAAAATTGATCAATCTTTACCGGCCGCTCCATTCGCTCAACAGCTAGCATGATGCGTTGCGCATTCTCGTGAGCCTCTTTCAATGAATCCAGGTCCTCCTGAATCCGCGCCAGAACATCTACAAGCACACGCGTACATAAGATGAAGTCTCGTATCATAAAGCCAGAGGATAACATACCGGCTTCCCGCCGTATATATCGGCGCAACTTATTGACGCATCGCAAGCAGTATTCTTCAGATACCTTCTCTATCAATTGGCCAAACTGGGTGACCTCGGGCATATGAACCGAGGTATCGATAGCAGTCTTCTGCGAGAGACACTTATCAAGGATCTCATCTATAATTTATCAGACAGAGTAAACTAGTGGGCGTATATGGGTTCATACCGGGAACCAAGCCCAGAGGTACATTTGCGAATTCCAGGTCTTCCATCCGTCGAGGATAAAGACCAAGCAGACTGGCGAACATCACAACCTTCCACTTTCCGTCGAATACGTCCACTATCTTCCGTATGGGAGTGATGTCTTTCTCGCTAATAGGTCGAGCCTTACCCGGGGAATAAAAAGGTTCGCGAAGTTGCAGGACAGCTTTGGCCCATAACGAAGTCTGGTATGTCATGTTGGCTTTGAGAGCCGGGATCATATTTAAGAGATCTTTTGTGATGATCTTGTCGCACGACTCAACAAATGAGCGGTTCTCGATGCAAAGCTGTCCTTGAGCAAGATACTCGCCAAAGTAATAAGTTCCTGCATAATCCTTGGACTTCAAGCCGCGCAAAAAAAGCATGTTAGGGAGCCCGCCGGAGCTCCAAGGTTCACTGCCTTGAGATATTATAATCACAGTATCATCTTTGATTCTTCCTTGGAATTCCCTCATTAGCACCAAATCTTGTAGAAAAGTTCCATTGGGAAAATCTGTTGTATCGATTACACAGAATTGAATCTTGTTCATCGGTTCTCCCATGAATTTGTGCTTATATATGGCGTATTGTAGAGCGACAGCCAAAGAAGTCGTCCACGAGATAAACGGACTGGGAGGTAATAGCGAGTGATGTCCCCGTACGTGGTCGTTCAGCGCAATGGCAATGTCGTCGCCATCTCTGTCGAATGTATCCGTCAGATTGCCTTTCGTTGCACCTAGGGACTTCATCCATTGTCTGTCATTTTGTCCTGTGCTTTTGTCCGAGAACACGCGGAACAGATATCGAGGAATACCTAATTGGCTTGCAGGAGTACCATCATAGGGTCCAAAAGGTACCTCAAGTTGTGTTTCAAGGTTGGCTGGGAGGTTTTTGAGCCCAGCATTTATGGTTTCCATATCATGGTCCATAATTACTGAAGACTAGAGCTTAAGAAGTAAGAAGTTCGGTGATGAAGGGTCTATTGTGCTGGCAGATGTTGTCCACGTACGTCAATATATTGAACCTATATTCAATTTTGCAGCCTACGTCACCAGATCTGTGTATGCCTACGCTTGCACAAAAGAAGCGACTTTGCGAATCGTGACGTGAACTGGTGAACTTTGGTGCATATTTTCTCGAATGCTAATCGACCCCAATATATGGGCGAAACTTTCACATTAGGTGTGACCGAGGTGACTGTTAAGAAGAATAGGTAAGGTTTCGTAGCGCATAGCCGCTCCGATCCTAGGCAGATCAGTCCCTGCTTGATGATCCTCGTAATCATGCGTGCAAATATGACAGTCTATTAAATCGATGAGTGACGTGATTATCGTAGATCTTATGATCATGCGATTTGCATCTTGCCAAGTCTCAGTAACCCAGGTTTTATTTGATTCGTCCAAAGCTGACCTTGTATGATATTCATATTATATGATGCGTGCAATAATACAATCGCCTGCTCCGCCATCCAACTACTAGGGTACGTAGCTTGTGAAATCTATGCAATGGTCCGTGAAGCCTTACATTAGTATTTGACTTTTGGCCGTTGATGGGTGCCTTATAAGGTAAATGCAAGATTCGGTCCGAAGCGTCTTGTGCCTGCGTTGTCCGGCAATTCTGACTTGGCACCGGTTCGGTAGATGGATCTTGACCAAGGTTATTTTTTTTTTGCAACACTTGCACTGACTAGGCCGAGTCCGCGCTCAGGTTGAACGCATATGGACTGGTCCATATCCAGCCCTAATGTCTAATTCTCGCATCATGACCACTGGCATTGTTGCCTTTAATTGAATCATTTCTGAAGCCAATCCCGGTATGCTCAGTGATCAGGTTCTCCAGGCGTGTGTGGAACTCCATGCTCGATGGCCCAATTTCTGACACTCTCATAGTTGCGGCACACGTGGGGGGTGGTGTAGTCCGGCCAGGGGTCATTGTCACCAAAGGGGTATCTGAAAGCAAAGACATTGACATCGGCTTGGCACATGACGAACTGGCGCAACGCGTCGATGCAGTGGTCCATGTGGCCAGACAGGTCGTGAGGCTCGGCTGAGGTGTCACCACCTTGCGCCGCATAGTGCGCCTTGTAGTTGTTCTGTCGCATCAGGTTCAGGCAGTGCAGTTGGTGAAAGACCTCGATGGCTACACGGTAGCCATGCTTGCCCGTCCTGGGATCGGTAATCTCGAGCGCTCCCTCGGGGTCGAGTCCAATCTTGATCATTTCCTCTCGGCTGATCATGGTGTCGGGAACTATTTGGCTTCATAAGTCACACATTCAGGGTGTTTTAATGTATTGGAAGACTCACTGCCGTCTGTTATGTACTCCCACATGGCGTCTACATCATCTCCTTTTCCAACAAATGGTCCTTCCGGGACTGGCGGTAGATCAAAGTGCTGTATTTCGTATTTAATTGCCCCAAGTGCCGGTGCTAGATTTCTCGTATTAGTATTGCATGAATCCATGGATTCGGGTTGCTGCAAACACCTACAATATGTCTCTGGTAATCGGTCTAAACCCGGATGTTTTGCTGACTTGACGCAAAAGGATAGAGCAAAAAACGTCAAAGACAAGGACAATAGTACAGCGTGTGCGAACCACGCCCAGTGCGGACTTATGTCGTTGAGCCTGTCTAGTATCGTCTTCTTTTGCGTCCTCCACATCAACTTCTCGTCGACGTCGCTGCCAACACCTGTGAGAGGCTCTTCCTCCTCTTCAATAGGACCAAGCCGGTATGTTTTCGACATGATGATGTTCAAGATGATGAAACAAGAAGAATGAACAAGTAAACAATCACAATAGAAAAAAAAAGACACACCAGGTGTCAAGGAGAATTGAAATGTCAATTAGAAGGTGTGCCGCTTGTGGAAAGTCAAAAGAGAGAAAGATTACACAAGAAGAGAAAGTTGAGACGAAGATTTCCGCATCTTTGGAAAATCCTCCCTCAGATGCTCTTCGGCAGGAGTTTCTGCAAATTCATACCAAGAAAAGGATCTGGCGGCATGGTCTGTCACTCTGATTGTCGAATAGGTAGAGATGCCGCCCTGATGCCACTGCAACTGTCATGAAAGCGGCCGGGGTTTTCGAGGGAAAGCCACCGACTATACGGGAGGCGACGAGAGAAAACAGTCTAGCGTCAAACGCTATCGAGACGTCTCAAACCCTCCTCCTTGGGGTGGATGCAGCGCTAAAGAATAAGAGCCTCCAGGGGGGTCATTGGGCAATTGGAGGCTACTGCCAACATAACATAACGGTTATTGGTGGGAGGGGCGCTTGGGGCTCTTCCTAATGTTCGGTTCCAGTTCAGCCGCTCAACCCCGGTCCCCTGGATCTCAACCTCCACAGCGACAGACGACAAGTGCAAACTGGTCAAAAAGCAGTGATGCATTCAACAAACTCATCTGGTCTCCGGAAATAAAGTAAATGGTCGAAACTCGGGCTGTTCAAGATATTTGCCTGCCAACTATCACCATCTTTCCCGGCTAAATGCTGAAGCTTGGCATCGAAACAGGACCCAAAACCTGACATCAAACCCGAACAGTACAGACGGCATACGCATTATTGGCAATGGCTTCGTTTTTCTTTCTTTGTTGGATCCTCCACCCGACTTCAGCTCGACTACAACGTCACAATTCAGGTTTCCCCGTACTTGAGACCTTAGTCATCTCATGTTGCAGGCAAGCGCTCTGATGTAGGATTGTGTGCTTTTGATCCCAGTGTCGCATCGCTTCTGGCCCGCGGCACCGTGATCGTCTGTCTCTTCTTGGCGGTCAGTAGTTTCAGACAGGGGGTCCGAGACAACAACCCAGGGACCATATCGCCCTTGCGCCCAGCCACGGGGGATAAATCGATCTTTGGGCGGTACCAGAGAGATCACAAAGCCAATCGACCACCAACGATCTCCCTAATTGCTCGGATTTTTATCCGATATCCCAAGACCTTGGTGTCGAAAGCCAAGTCTTGACGGCCTATCATGACGGGTAGAGATCAACGCCGCCAATGTTGAGGCTCTGCGATCGCCCTTTCTTGGCCATGGCTCGGCTTTCCCTAAAGGAATACAACCTCGCGGTATTCTCACACAAGAGGTTTTCTCTGATCTCAGCTGAATCACTTACAAGCGTAGGCAGTCCTATAAACAGCTCGGGCCTCTTCTGCTCCGGTTGCCTTTTGTACCATTCAACAGTTTTATTTGCGTGAAATAGTTGCCATAGTCGAAACTGTCGCATGCAAAACTCGTCCCTTGCCATGGCGGGCCATCCCTGGCATCCCCCATGTTTCCACACTCACGATGCCGGTAAATGGCCGCTGCAATGATGCCCAGGATGCCTGTTGCCGATCAGGGAATTAGCTAGTATAGATATACTTATGCGACTTGGCTGGCCTAGGCGTTTTTAACTCATCTGGTGTTTAGTAATACCGCAAACGTCCGCATTCAGGTAGCTGCCTTGGATGGATACATGCCTTGAGACGTTCGAGAAGACGAGACAAGCCCCGGCTTCGAACCAAGTTTGAGCCTCTTCTCTAGTCCGTGTCTGGTCAAGACGGCAATGCACCAAAATCCATCTTGTGAAGCAATCACCTTGGAAGATGACAAAGACGCAAGGGGTAAGTAGGATGCCAGAAAGAGAGGGACTATGGACTTACAGGCTCGGGTTTTGTAGGCGTCTGGCCTGCCGCCAAGTCCTTGATATAAACCTCTCAAACTTTCTCTCTCTCTCACCGAAGAAAAAAAACTCTCTCATTCAGTATTCACCTGCATTAGTCTCACGGTTTGATACCATTCGCTTCTCGTATAGTCATTCATTCTAGCTGCCGGCCAGTACCATTCCTTACAAACATTTTTTTTTTGCTCATATATAAACCCCACTCTATTCAAAATGCACGCTCCTTCAATCATCCAGCTCGCCGTCACCGGCCTCCTCGCTGCCTCGGCTGCCAGCGGATTCCAGGTCACTGGTCCCCGCGACCTGGCCCGCCCTCTTGCCGGCGCCCTCGTCGCCTACGCCCTCCCGGCTCTGGCCTCTGCTGAGTCCATCGAAGCTCGCGAGCCTCACCACAAGGGCCGCGGCAAGAAGGCCGGAGCCAAGCGGGACGAAGCTGCTGAGCTCGAGACCCGTGAGCCCCACCACAAGGGTCGCGGAAAGAAGGCCGGTGCCAAGCGAGCTGAAGACGAGACCGCCGACGATGTCGTGGAGGACGACGTCGACGTCGAGGATGAGGTCGACGACGAGGTTGACGATGAGGAGGAGGCTGGCGCCGAGATTGAGGCTCGTGCCCCTCACCACAAGGGCCGCGGCAAGAAGGCTGGCGCCCGTCGTGAGATTGCCGCTCGTCACCACAAGTAAGTTATTTAGAATTCTCATTATACTCCTCCTTCTCGTGTCATGGGTTATGATATAAGAATGCTTACTAACATGTCATCAGGGGTCGCGGCAAGCAGGGCAACTAAATAGCCTCAATTTCAAATTTCTCGGATAGATTGTGACTATCAATCGATCCAAGGTGCAACTCCGGATATCTGTCGAAAACCTCTCTCTCGGTCGTTCGGCCGCGCTTGACCAGAGCGTACAAGCAGCAGACTTTTATGACTGTGAAACAAGAGTCCATTGGGGGAAAGAGATCAGATATTGTATGCACATAATACGAGAGGCGATATATCTTGGTTCAAGCTACGCTACGACAGCTTATCATATATATAACCCTTTCATCTTGATTTGTAGAGAGGATTAGAAAGAGCGCTTTTGATTAATGTATTGAGTTTACTGGTATTTGTTCAGACAAGATGATGACGTTTGTGATTGCCATAAGATGAACCTAGCCAAGAGGAGATCATACTCTCTGGGTAGATCATATCATTGTGCATAAGCGTACGAGATCTACCCCACGTGGTCGCGTGTCCAAGAGTCGCAAATAAACCTTTGCGCCGAATATTTGAGTTTCAGTATACTCTAATCCGAAAGTGTAAGCTCATTCTCAACAACAACCCAACAATCTACCCCTCTTTATCAAAAGTCATAGTTGTGTGGAGTGGAGCTGAAAATTATGGTCACAGAAGTAAATACTTTACGGACAACACTTTCACAATGACCATACCTGCTGAGATGAACGAGGTTATGGGTAAGTCAAGTGATTGATTAGTTGGTTGGGTATCTGTACGTATCTACGGGAGTAGTGGAAGGTATATGCATGTAGTCTATAGTGGAGCATGAAGCCCGAAATGAAGGAAGCTGGGCTTATATTTCAACAATACTCACCGTTGTGGCACGTGTCTTGATGTATTCCACCGCCAACTTTCATTCTTTATTAACTGTCGACCGGTCAACGTACGTTATAAGCTGAACATTATAGGTATTGCTCATTATCATTATCGGCAACAGGATTTCTCCTGCTGTGTAGTGTTTGTACTCCGCCAAGGCAATGACACAGTAGTGTGTGTAATAATATAACAATGAATAACAATTGAGATAATCATGGCCTATAACATGAATGGACAACCTTGATCGTTATTTTCACCTGATCCGTCGCACAGATCGATGTCACCAACTCAGCCGTTTGTTTATTATTTCCGAGTTTTTGCCGTTCCAAGATGGTTTGGCTTGTCCTCTAGATCCAAAGAATTTTTTCTTCAAAACAACCTAGACCCTCCTTGCAAGATACTCAATGGGAGTCCATCTTTTCCCCTGCAGTATGAGGAGGCAAGGCCTGAATCCGACGCCCGTTTGGCACGTGGCTTTTGAGAGATCGGCGTGTTGAAAGGTGCGATTCTAGCAGCCAGAGAGGGGTACAAATTAGAGCTATCAGGGCACCATAGGGAAATCTTCCTTGCTCTCATCATCAATAAACCTACACCACCTCTTTCTTAGAATTCTCTGTCCACTTCCCGTTCCTCCAGTTCTTCTCGGCAGTATGGAACTACTCAGGAAGGTGCCAATTCAGTTTATTATCAGTTCAAATAGCAGTCATCCGACAGGTGAAGCTCAAGATCTAGACGTTGTGGAGACTGCAATGCCAAGATGATCTTTTCATCATTCGCTGCCATATTTTGCAGAGGAATCAATGATATATCTTGGTGTGTACTTGGACAATGGGCAATCAGCATGTAGATATATTAGGTGCGCTAATAGGGTTGCAGTATCTTCTGTAGAGACGCTTTCTAAACTCCTGCAAATTCCCCAGGCATGTTTCCGTCGTCACGGATACTTTTGGCCTTTGCGGCAGCAGAATTCTTTGATAGTCCGGTATCTTAGTGTGTATACATCACGGGTATCTCGAGCCTTTGCTGAACACTGCGGTCCGCTCTCAGTTTTTAAATCGTGATCGCCTGGGTCAGAGAGTCGAAGTCGTACGAGTACATAAGGCTTGCCACAAAACTGATTCTTGTGGCCCTTGAAGGGAAGTACAAATTATAACTGGAACACAAGAGGGCCTGTATGCCGTAGCAGACGTCAGTCAGCTTACCCCTCAAAGTGTACAGAAAGGACGATGCATTCGCAAGGAAACCCCCCACGAACGAAGGGGAGTAGACAAAAGAAGAAGAAGAGAGAGGAGACAAGAGCTCCCGATCCCGAGACAAGGCCCGTGTTTGTCGCCTGCTTCTAGGCGGTAGCATGTTCAAGCTGCACGTTGATGGGGATTCCATGTCTAGGTAGGCAGGTATTGAAGCAAGTCAAGGTATGCATATGCAAAGCCCCTCTTTACGTGCTGCCTTGCAGACATGTACTCTGTTGGTCTTTTTTTTTTTTCTCTTTTCGATAGGTCTGTATACTTGCTGCTTGCGGGGGTCGCAATACAAAAAATCTTTTGCTTGCTGCACACGAGGTACTTTGTGATAAGTACTCTCTTCTGGTCGGCAATACTGCCGCAAGCCGGTGGAATGTATAGGGGATACGGAAAACAAAGCTGATGATGGGTTACACGACGTTCTCCCGTGTGGAAATGGTGGCTGTGTACGCAAGCCATGGCTGTGCTGAAAATAAATAGAAAGTTCCGAAAAGGATGAGACGTCGTGTATGTACAAGAATCCCTTCATTATTGGCGTGGCATGACACAGGCATTTGCCAATTGAGTGTCGGGATTTATACCCGTATAGGTTCATAACTATCACGCCATGGTTAGGCTGGTGTATATGACCGTGTAGATAAGAGCAGCCTCGTATAAGATATCCGCAGGATTGATTGAGTTTGAAAATTCTATAGAGACACTTTGTTTCTAAGGATGTATTTTGTTCTATCGTCTTTTTTTGCCAACATTGGCCAAGTGGCAAGTGTGGGTTAGGTGATTTCTGTGTAAAGTCAATCATGGCGTGTCAGGGTGAAGCTTGGACGAATAGGAGTATGCACTGTACTGTCTAGGGATTCCGGGACAAAAAAAAACCAGGGCTGGCATTTCTCATCGTAGCAGAGTGGTACGAGTCATTGGAGGGTAAAAGTATTACACAGGATAAACGCCGACTGGTTCAACCCCCACAAGGTCTCAAGGGAATGAATCAGCGTGGCACTGCCCACCAGTTGCTTCAGCTCATTGGATCTAAGCTGACCCCAGGCCGTGTCCTAGGAGCTTGCTATCTCCGAGGCCCCGATAAACTCCTTTGACTCTCAACCCAAAGAAATGACCAGTCCAATTTTTTTTTTCCCTTCAACTCCGGCTGCCAAGGTCGCCCAGCCGCTCGTGCCCCCAAAATCCCCTTGCTTCGTTTCTTTGTTCTGAAAAGTGGGAGGAGGGTCTCGGAAAGTCAACGGTGGCTGGCCATTTGCCATCCATTTGCCATCAGCTTGATCGGGTCTGCTCGTTTTATCCCGCGTCCTTCAGCTCTGCAGCCTGCTTCAGAGACAGACCATACATATGTATACAAGGCTTGACCGAAACTCGTTCCCGTCTGACATGTTGAGGGCATCGATAAGGGATCACGTCCATTTCTCCACGGCTCGAGGTTCCAAGTTCCCGTACCGTCTCCTCCGCCCCTCCTAATGACATGCATAATCTCTACGGTACGTCTGCGCGCCCGCGGGAAGACGTACGTACACAGAAGAAAAGCAACCGCGAACCTGAATGACCATTGTCCACACCTGGACAATAGCCAAGGTTCGTGTTTAAAAGTGATTTATTGGACCCCTGCCAAACACAACCGCCGTCTCGATTGTGTCATTATATTGCCCACCACACAGGTGACACCTTACCCTGCGCTCAACGTATGTAAGTGTTTATATTTAAGCATCTGCGGCTATTGCAAAGGGGTTGCATTCGCTTGCGTCCAGATCAATTATCATTGATGGTGTCGATAATATTTGGCGTAGCAGGCGTAGCATCCACTGCGCACGCGACGCATGTAGTCTATGGCTCAGTGCGCACCGAAGAGATGCCCGATTCAGACTATATTCACCTATGCAGACACCCCCAAGGCGCCGGCTGTTGTGGGTGTGGCAATTATATGTAGGCAGGTCCAAAAAGAAGGAAAATGAAGGCGTCTGCTGCGACGTCCGCGCAACATTACCTTGCCTACCCCAGTCTCTCAACTCCAGTACGTTTGATCGTGCAGACTCGAGCTTCCATATGCGAGTGGGCCGATTCCTACCAATACCAATGTGAGCTGCCTGCATAGTCGCCGGCACCTTCAATGAACAAAATGCACATACTTTGTATGCCGCGCCGCCGTTACTGCAGTTGGACCTCTGCAGGCGAATAATTCCGTACGTGTACAACATAGAAGAAATAACGTCATGACTTTTCACCGCCGCAGTTCAGTGGGAATCTCAGGGTAGTATTTCGCTATCTGGTGTCTGCATACGATCTCATGGAGACTGTTGCAATTGTAGTAATGTGTGCATTTCTCCTCAGCCATGGAAGCAGCATCGAGTATACGCGAATCGGTGGTATGAGCCGTAGAAAGCCTGGTCCCGAATTCCAAATCTACCAAACAGATCCGCCCGATTGTCCCCTTTCCTAGTAGCATTTGATTTAATGCAGCCCATTTACGTGCCTAGAGATATTCTCACGTGTTTCCTCACGACTAGTATGTGTATGTACACCTTATTGTCAAGAGTGGTTGCCGTTCTCAATTTTACGCGCGCACGGTAGATATGAGCACGACCACTCCTAACGGGAGACATGGACCAGAGGTGCTATGAACCTCGAATCCCAGCAAGTCCTTCTTTGAGTGGATTGCCATAATACTACGTATGTTGGCAGTACGGTACGTGCAGGTAGTAGTCGAGGTGACCAGACTCTCTCTCAACAAGAGACCGTAAAATGCTGGAGCCTTCCGGTACATGGACTTTCATATTCATCGGACGGTACAAAGGTTTGCCACCCTAACCCACGCGGGCGTTCCGCCCCAAGAAGGGGGCTTGCGCATAAGTTGATACACAGATGCTCACCTTTTTCGCTGCAGTACACAATACCCTGATGATCCGCAGGCCGTCTAGTTCAGCCCACATCCGTACCCTCCCCCTTACGCATCCGTACACTCCCTGGTCGGTTTTTACATACAAAAAACGGCCGTGCACTGCACCAGCCGCAGCCCCGCCACACTGTACTAGAGCGAAAGCCACGCAAAAAGATACATGTCCTCAAAACACCATCAATCCAAGATTTCTCAACCAAGAAAAATAGGAAAAATGCGCAGATACATTAGGACTAGTTATTAGGATTTAGTTACTAGTATTAGGGTTTTTAGGGTTAGCCGGGAGTTCAAGGGGCGGTGTGAGCCCTTCGCTATCTGGTATATGGTAATCTGGTTATGTGCGTGTGTACTTGTAGAAGGGGGAGTGTACGGATGCGTAAGGGGGAGGGTACGGATGTGGGCTGGTCTAGTTCGGTTAGGTAGGGGCTACATACTAGCATCCATTCGTCTTTTTCCCTCTCTTTCCTTTTCTTTTCTTTTCTTCCTACCGGGTGGAGACTTTGGGCCCTCACTAACGCAAGCTACTGCATGCTCTAACTGGGGCTTCACTCTAGCGTTTACTGGAGCATGGCATCCTCTGATTCTCGCCGGGCTTGCCAGGCACCTACCGATAGGTAGCTAACCCTGCCGACAAGCCTCTCAATCCGTCCGGCGCGTGTAAACGAACTGGGATGCATGGACCACTCCGCTACAGGTACCCAGCCTGGCCCGCCCTCACAATGCACGGGGCAACAGCAAGACACCTACTGGAGATGTCCTATGTCACGGTAATAGCAGATTTGTCTGTCCCTTCTAGGCCCCTGCCACTCCAGGCTACACGGTACTTTAGGGAGATATCTCTGTAGCGCTGCTGAGGCTCCCTGCACGCACGGGATGCATAGCGAGTTGAGGCCAGCGGCCAGCCTTTCACACTAGAGGTACTCACGAGAAGTCAGGTAGCTACGTATCTGCGGAATACAGGGGGCCGTGCTCTACGTTAGCTGCTACCTCACACATGGTACGTACACTACAATAGCGGACAGGGGCGCTGCTTCTGCTGCTGCTGCTGGGCGGCGACCGGTGCTGTGTGGGCGGGCACGCATGTATGCAGGCAGATACCTTATGTACCTTGCTGAGTACCTTGGACTCAAAGGCCAGCTCCCCCAGCCCACACTAGCAGGAGCGACTTTGAAGCTGTCTTGGCTGGCCGAGCAAGGGTAAAACTCCTCTTCTTACCAGTGCTCCCCAACTGCTTGTTTTTCCCACGATTCCACCTTTTTCCCATCGGCAGCCGGATCGTCGCGAACTCTCATAATATTTCTACCCGCCGCCATTCCAACTCGACCATCATCAGAGGCATTGTTGGAATCGTCGGTCTGTCGGTAATCAATTCTACTTTCGATATTTCAACTGCGCAACATCTTCCACCGCCATATAAACCCCCCTCGGCATGCTCTTTGCCGTCTGAAGGGGCTTGACATCACCGAGACAGACAGCCTTACCCGCGTTGTGTGTCCGTAGCTGTGCAGCCCCTCTGCTCCTACCCAGTCCTTTCCTCCCGCCACGCGATCGATTTCCATCCGAACACGCGAATCTGCTCTCGGTGTATCGAGTGCTTGTCTTGAGACGCGACAACATTTTTCTGCGCGGCTTTGGTGCTTGGCGAAACGTCGTGTCGCAATCAATACTTGCGTCGCAAACATCAATCGCCCACGTCACCAGGAAACTCAGCTGCTCTTGACGACACTTGACGTGGTGTCTTGCAACTTCATTGTTGTGATTTGACCGTACAATTCGCTCGGAAATTCGTGTCCAACAGCCTGACCAAGATGTCGATGTATCCGCAGCATCGGGGTCTGCCCCAGAATGCAAGCCGTCTCAATGAACTCCTCGATCAAATTCGCGCCGAGTTTGACAACCACGTGAGACTGAATGAAGGCTATGAGCAACAGAGTAAGTGTTGAAGCGCTCTCGCAGAAAGTCAACTCGGCTCTACTCTCCCCCTCGCGAGCAGATCCTCCCACCATGATTTCATGGCTAACATATACTCAGTTCAGCAACAAGTGCAGGAGGCACAGATCGTCCGTGAGAAGGTGTACCAGCTGGAACAAACCCACATGACACTCAAGGCCAAGTAAGCTTGATCAGTCCCAAGCCCACTTGCTGCAAGAGGCGCAGCAGACTAATACAGCATGTGTTCCAGGTATGAGGAAGAGGTTATTTTGCTCCGCCGTCAGCTCGAGGCCGCCAGATCAGGCGCGCCTCAGCAGGGTATGCCTGGCCCTCCCCAACATGGAGGACCTTCCAACGTCCCGCCGCCCTCCATTGGTATGGGCAACAACCTGTTCCAAGGAATCATGACCGGACAGGGTGGCCAAGCTGGTCTGCCGCCGCAGCCCCCACCTCAGGAGCAGGGTCCCGGTCCTCAGCATCAGATGCCTCAACCGCCGCCGGGGCTTCAAGGTCCTCCCCCGCCTCAGCCTCCGCCATCGCAACAACCTCCGTTCCAGCCTCCATACCAGCAAGGCCCTGGTCCCAACGGCTTCCCCGGACAGCCACCCCAGAGCACCGCTAGCCCCGGACCTGGCAGCAAGCGTATCGGCAGACCTCCAACCGGCCCTGCGACGCCCCAGATCAACAACCCCATGCCTTACCCACCGGGCCCTGGCGCATCTCCTCAGGTTCACCACCAGCCCACTCCTGACCACAGAGGCCCGATGCCTCCCCACCCTGGTGCCCCCGGCCCTCTTGTCAACAATGCTCTGGGGGACTTGGATCCCGACCGCCTCCCGGCTCATACCAAGAAGACCAGAGACGACTGGTTCGTGATTTTCAACCAGGCGGTTCCTCGCATGCTAGACGTTGAGCTCGTACACACTCTGTCCCACGAGAGCGTTGTTTGCTGTGTGCGCTTTAGCCACGACGGCAAGTATGTTGCGACTGGTTGCAACAGGTCCGCTCAAATTTACGACGTTCAGACTGGTGAAAAGGTCTGTGTCCTAACTGACGAAAACGTTGATATCACTGGCGACCTTTACATCAGAAGCGTTTGCTTCAGTCCCGATGGCAAGTACCTGGCAACGGGTGCTGAGGACAAGCTCATCCGTGTCTGGGATATCGCCCAAAGGACCATTCGCAATACCTTTTCTGGTCACGAACAGGATATCTACTCGCTGGATTTCGCCCGTGATGGCCGCACGATAGCGTCCGGCAGTGGAGACAGAACCGTCCGACTCTGGGACATTGAAACCGGCAATGCCATGCTGACGCTCACCATAGAGGATGGAGTTACCACCGTTGCCATTTCTCCTGACACGAAATATGTTGCTGCCGGTTCGCTTGATAAGAGTGTCCGTGTCTGGGATATTTCTCAGGGCTACTTGGTGGAGAGATTGGAGGGACCAGATGGCCACAAGGATAGTGTATACAGTGTTGCATTCTCGCCCAACGGCCGTGACTTGGTCAGTGGCAGTTTGGACAAGACTATCAAGATGTGGGAACTGTCATCCCCCCGAGGAATGAACAACCCGCCCCCCAAGGGCGGACGATGCGTCAAGACGTTCGAAGGTCACAGAGTAAGTTCCTTGTATCCGGACTAGAGAAGATATCGTGGTTTTCTTGTACTAATGTTTCTCTTGCAGGACTTTGTACTGTCTGTCGCCTTGACTCCGGATGCCAACTGGGTCATGTCTGGCTCAAAGGACAGGGGCGTACAGTTCTGGGATCCACGAACGGGCCACACACAACTCATGTTGCAGGGACATAAGAATTCCGTCATCTCTGTTGCCCCCAGCCCTGCTGGTAGTTACTTTGCTACCGGATCTGGCGACATGCGCGCCCGTATCTGGTCGTACCGCAACGTATAGTAGACTGGACCGCTCACGAGTGTGCCGCGTTGTAAGAAGGGGGTTCCTCGACATGAGCAAAGCATGTCAAAAGTCTTGGCTCAAGAACAAACATGGAGGTCTGGCGTGTCCGTCAGAGGCCTGGACTTTTAATCAAGTGCGCCGGCAGTACTAAAGTGGTACGCGGCCTCGAAGACGTGGCGGACCCTGGGGCCTTGGCTCGGTGTCGAGATGAGATTGAAGCGGTGACTATTGTTTTTGTTTCTGTTGCTTTTCTGCACGATTTTGAGCTTGGACAGAACCGGGTGCAGTGTGTATATTTAATGTATGCGATGCATTCATGACTATTCCAAGTTATGAGTAGGCATAAATGGTACACGACTAGGCACAGGATTGGCGCTATTTAGGACAAGATAAGATGAGCTAGGTAGCAAAAGATCCTTGGCTAAGCGAATTTATGACTGTTCAATTCAATTTGTTTACAAGAATATTTACTATTTTGTGTCGTAGCGTCGAGCACTTGGCGTGAATTGTATGTGCCTTGCGCCAACAAGGCATTTCAAACCCACACCGTACATATCGCCAGTGAACGATGAACTTTGTGTGTGTGTTGTGCTCGGATGATTTGTAGCAATTTATTGAACCTAGACTAGTGAGCTAAACAGAGCGTCAAACTCGTCGCCCTTGGTCTTTTTCTTTTTCTTCTTGATCTTGTCCCCCTTTGCAACTTTACCGTCCGACTGTTTTTCGGCGGCCTTGATCGTGGACGGCGTCGAGTCCGTGAATAATGCCGTCTTGGATGTGCTGGGGTCCTTTTTCTTGCGCTTGACGGGCTGCTGCGGCGGCGGCGGTGGAGCTTCCCCGTCTTGTACCCTTCGAGGGAACGCCGTAGAAGCCGAGGCAATGTCCTCTTGGGCACATGCCTTGGGTGGTTTGGATTTGGAAAGCAGAGAAGACGAAGACGAGGCTAGAGCCGCGGCCACGTCTTTGCGCGACACGACTTGTCCCAGATCCATGGCGGCTGGAGTCATGACCCCGCCGCCGCCGCCGCCGCCGCCGCCGCCGATGGACTTTTTGGTTTCACCAGTCTTTGCGGCTGCTGCGTCTCCGGGTGATGTCAGATTGCGACCCACTGGTACTGACAATGACGACGGAGAGACGGCGGGCTTGGACACCGCGGGAGCCTCGCCGACTAGGCGCACGCAGACGTCGTGGACCGTGGCCAGGATGCCCAGGAGCGCGAGGCCGAGGACGGCGAATTGGTTGTCTGCTGCGAGTTGAGAGAATGCGCTGCAAATGGTTATAAGTCTCTAGAGATCTCTTTCATGAAATGCAAAGGGGCAAGAAGATACTCACACATAACACCCGGGAACTTCATGATCCCTCATCCAAACCGCCCGAACCTCGACGGGGCCCTTTTTGACACGATGTCCTTCTCCGACTGCTGTTGCTGACCCATCCCCGTCATCTCCCTTGCCCTCGCGCTTGCGCTTCTTCTTGCCACTGCTGCTGCTGCCGCTTCTGCTGCTCTTTTTTGACAAGGCGTAGGCCTTTTCCAGATCCGCCACCAATCGGCCCAAATTGCGGCGCAGGGATCCAAACGCCGCCCACCACCGCGCGTGCCGGTGCTGGCTCCGGTTGCGGTGGTTGAAGCCCGCCAGCACGGGCACCAGGGGCTGGAGTTTGCCCAGGCAGGTTTGGTAGACATTTTCTTCCGTCTCTGCTGCTGCTGCGGCGGCGGCTGCTAACGTAGTGGTGACTGTGTTTTTTGTTGCTGCCATGGTGCTGCTGCTGCTGCTGCTTTTGCTGCTCTGGAGCGGCCGAGGGGTTGCCATTACATCTTTAAATGACTTCCCACCTTTTCACAGGTTGGGAGAAGGATCTTAGCATCAAGGGAGTGAGTGGGTGTATAAAAGTGAAGTCGTGGTTGCAAAAAGATGCTGCTATTGAGCCTCACTAGAGTTTCATGTCAGAAATTTGGGCAGCCACCTTTTCGGACACGATGGATCTAGAAGCGGGTCTACCCAAGCAAGTACGAGCAATGTACAATTAGTGTCCGGAAGTCTTGAAGCATACCATAACTCAATCCAACTGATTGCATTTTTATGAAATTACAGTTTCCAGATTTTCCCAATATTGCACGGCCAAACCCATTTTCCTTTATTGAAAAATTAACTACATCGCATAGAGAACTGCATACTGAAGCGTTTTGCTCACACAATGTCCCTCACGATTCTTCGAGATGAGATTAATATGGTCGCGCACACGGAACAAAAAGGACCATGTCTGTAAATATCTTGTTCATCATATCTCATTTCCCATATCTACATAAATCTAGCTGCCAACTCATAATAAAAGAGCGTACGTCGGCTTTTATATACATTCCAGTCCCACTCTATCCTCTAAAGCGAATGACGAGAAGCCTCCTACAGGAATAGCTTCATATGAGGGTATACCAATGTGCACCAAAGCCCCCCAAGCCCCATGTCATCTAAAAGAGTGTAGTTGCCAACTCACTACCACCCTGCCATTCCGTGCAAACTCATCAAGCTTATATACAAATTCAGGATGCTTGGAGTTGCTGTAGGTCGTTTTCATTTCGTTTCCGCGTAAAATCAATCATTGCCATCCTAAAACTCCTTGCGAACCTCGTCATGAAAATGCAAATCAAACCTGCCTCCATTGAAATGGATAGTCCTTTTGGCCCATGTCAATCCAGTTGATCACCAAGTCGTCCTTCGGTCCGCCCAGTCAGTTCTGTTGGACCAGAGCCTGCTTCTTGATGACCTGGCCGAGTTGCCCCAGTCCTCCACCCACTCGTCGACGCCTTCGGGGTTTCTCGAGTCCCGGGTGCCGTCTTTTGACTTCCACGACCACCCGCTGTGGCTGCTCTGGTAGTCATAGGTGGCCCTCAGCGGACTCGTCTCCTTTTTCAAGCTACTCTCTTGCCTACTCCTGTCGCTGCCGTATGTCTGGTTCGGTCTCTCCATATCAATCACTTCACCACTCAGCACGACCTTTTTCTTTGTCGGCTGCCTCGATAGGATGGCTTTCTCCACGTCGTATTGCTGCTGTCCACTCAGACCACGGCAATGGAATGCAGTGTCTCGAACCGAGTCCCGTCGGACCGTGGCCGAGTAACGCGGGAGATTGTTGCTGGGAGCTGTCGAGGTTCCGCGGGTAAGGTCCCTGGCCTTGCGGAACAATGGCCGCAGTGTGGCGATGGAGGATGCAATGATTCCCACACCGTTTTCTACCGTGCTCCAGATAGTGAAGTCGGTAAAGTTGTAGGTAAAGTCCACGGTATGTGTGAGCTGCCATATGTATGGGATGCGGACCAAGGTTGCAGTCGAAGCACTGTTTTCCCTCATTAGTGTCGAGCTTCCAATTGGGATTGAGAACAACCACTCTATTCAGAAAGACTTACAGAACACCCAATGCCAGAATTCCGGCGACAGAAATCTTGGCTTTTCTGTTCAGCTCCACATTCCACACCAAGGCAATGGGCAATAGACCCAATGTCCAATCAGCAAAGGCATTGACCGCCGTGGCTGCATAGGTAGAGCCCGAGGCGAGCTCCTTGGACACACATGTACCCTTTTCGGTGAAATCGACAAGCCGATTCCAAAAGTAGTCAATCGGTTGGCACTGGGCAACGGCGATGAACATGTAGACAATGTTGAAGATGAGAACAATGGCCAGCACGCCCCAAATGACGGTGTTCTGCCACTGGCGCGAGCAGATGCGCAGTAGGAAGATGCCGACAGTGAACTTGAGAAAGACCGATGTCAGGATGTAGGCAATCTCGCCCAAATACCGCGAGAGCAGTGCGCCAGACAGGTCAGTGAATGGGACTGCAAGTAAATGTTTACCAGCCCCCTTCTGGACAGTGAGAAAGACGCAGCCGCAAAAGAATCCAAAAGACAACTATAGATGCGATGTCAGCTATTGCCCTGTGAAAGCCGACCGCCAGATATATATGAAAGAACCGTGAGAAAGCATACCATTGTTGCTAATGACATCCAGTCTTCTATCCGGAAGGACTTGAGTATCCGAATTCTGACATAGCATCTCATAGCCACCGTTATTGTTGATACGATCAATAGTGACAGCGTCACGTAGAATATCTCGGGACCACGGTCATCGCTTAGGGAGTCCATGTTGAAAGGTGTTATACCAATTGTTGTAGTCTCGGCGTTCGGCACAGTTTGATTGATTGAATGGCAGAGCGGTCACCAATACTTTAAAGTGGTCGTCTACGTCCAGTACCGATAAACCGCTCCGGTTGGAGGGCATGTCAGAGGCGAGCGAGATTGAACAGTGACGCCAATATACACACGTGGGAGTTCGCGGGTCAAGGTCAAGTATATAGGCCGTGCGTCGGTTTGCAGATCTAGCGAGGCGGGTGGGGGGAGACAAGCGAGGCATATGTCTCGGAAGATGCCACAGATATCAGTGTTCGCCCACGTTCTCGTCTTGTCGAGCATGGTCTACGTACGGGCTTGGATGGAGCCCCTCAGAAGAGGTCGTCTGCATTCTGGACATGGCTGGAGTCCAGATGGGGGAGGTCATTGTCCCGTTGAGGCACACCACTCCACGCAAGCCGAACATGCCACTCCGAGGCGGCAAACGGTGGAGATAGTGATAGTGCTGCCTCGCCGCCTTTCGGACGAAATACGATTACTTCCCCTCTTCCTTTGCATTCAAACAATGCTGGGTTTCTCCAAAACATATGAAAAGTGCACGTTCAGCAATCCTGGCATCGAGGCAGCAAACTGCTAGTGACGGCGGAGAAAGAAAGATAAGTGCTGGGGAAAAAACAAGGGTTCAAACATTGCCGACCAAGGAAAATCAGAGGCGTGACCTCGACCTGACCGCTGTATCGCCGAGGGCACTGCGGGCGCGGAGTGCCTTTGCAGCCAGCGCCGTCGTCGTAGATGCCAGATGAGGGAGCCGCATTCAACGAAGGGGGTGTGGTCCTCTGCCGGACCAGGGTTACCAATGGGGAAACCCAGTGCCGGACGAGCCAAGAAGAGCCCACGACGCCCCTCCCTTATCCCCGCGGGGCGATCGTCATGCTACGCTGAGTGGTGCTATGGTGGTGGCCTCGATCGATTATCTCCAGATTCGCAGAACGACGCTGAAGAGGTGGGAGTCGCCGCTCATTGCATGAAACGCTCAGATGTTGCGTAGTCTACAGCGGAAGCATGCTCCACAAGTTGCTCGGAGTCATTGAGGCTGTGGACGTCATCAGTCTCATCTCCCACTCTACGTAGTGCAGCAGCAGAAACGGTATCTGTCTGTAATGCCGCGGATTTCGTTACTGAGGCGCCGAAAGTCTCTCGGAAGCTAGGGAACTCGGTACGCAATAGAGCAAGTAAAGCCGCCATTGTTGCGTGGATTCTCCTACAACACACACACAAGGCTCATGTGAAATTGCCTGAGCGCATTCATGATGATAAATGTTTTCCCCTCCTTTGGAGAATGACCATGATGCAAAGCAAGAATGTTGATGTCAATGTTTTCGCGCAGCAGCTGCCATGCACGTCGTTGGAGTTTGCTCCAGCAGCTAAGTAAAGGAAAACAGCTCCAAAAGCAAGATAAGACGGATGTCTGTGAGTAAGTGCTGACAATGACGAGGGTGTCCACGACGACTGGTAACATTGATGGCAACTCTGCGCTCAGAATAGATCTGCGTTTCTGGAAGATCTTTGTCAAATAGGTGGCCCGACCTTCCATTCATGGAAGCGGCCAACCTCGTTGTTGTACAAGATTGGTTGACAAGTCCGACATGTGAGTTTGGGGGGGTTAAACCACTGGCAGTGTCCATTTGGCAGGGATTTTTTAGTGGGCTACCATAGCTATCTCCCCATGCTGCAGTGTCTAGTGTCTGCAGAGGTGGGGTTTTGTGATTATACATGACAATGAACTCGACATTCAACACGGCTCAACTGCAATCTGTACAGATTCCAGTGGTTCGTATTGTCGACGATAACCATGACGGAAGAATCACTTGGATATGACCGACTGTGTCCATTCGTAAAGTAAAAACCTTAAGGTTTAGCGTTTCCCTTGGTTATCATGTGGGTGCTTTATGACTTACTTATATCGCCGGCAATACAATTGTATTGAACAAGGTAAAGGATACACGAGCAAGATAGCTCCACTGAATCAAAACTCACGTTCACGCTTACGAGAATTCAAAGCACTCCCATAGAAGTTGTAGCCTATAGGGCTGTATACTAATAGCCACCTTGACCTAGCCACAGGTGGCGTATTAGCAGTATATACGTTGAAACTACTACTGGATTCTTGGCGATTTCTTTCGGCTTGCATATTACACTTCTGGAAATAAAAGGTAGTATTGAAAGACTAGGATAGCGCTTTGAGCATTCCTATAGGACAAGTAGGCCTGCAAGCAAATGAATAAGGTATTAGACTACTTGGCTACTATTCTAATAGACACTCTCTATAGGCATTCACAATGAAATTGCCTCGATTACGTGACTCTATACCTCCCGAACTGAGAATTTGAAAAGGGAAAAAGTTTACGGCGGCTATAACGCCAAGAAACCCAAGCTCCAGTCATCCTTTTAGGTGCTTCGAGGCTTGAAACCCCGGTTTCTATACACAATAGCCGTATGCCAGCAAAAGCAGCTGATATCCAGTCGACTCTTGCATCATGGACCAAATTCAAGGCAAGAATACACTCAATTCTTTACTGGCATGTTTCTCTCTTTCTTTTACCTCCGTGGTCATGTTGTGTGATTAAAGGTTATGCAAGTGTGTATATTTTTGGCACATGCAGTGAATGGCCACGAAATGTACAAACCACCTGGTCTAATCCCAATCCTTTTTATTTTTTTTTTTTCAGCTCGCTGCAATCCCCTGGTGTGTATTTCATGACATTGACACATCGCATCAGGAACCTGAATCCCAAAGTTTATTTTGGCCTAAACCATGGAAAGCTAATATCAAATGGCAAGGGACCTTGGAGGGAGCCATTCGAGCCACTCATGCTTTTTATCCGTGTCCCTTGGACACAAAAGTAGCTGCGCCAAGAATCAATGTCTCGATATCGCGTCCAAAGCTGAACGCGTCCCGGGCGCTTAACCTACGCAATCCCAGTCGCTGCTGTAGGGTTATTCCACTTTTTGGCGCCTGTACAGAGTATAGGGTGCAAAAAGCCGTTGACGCCAAGACGAGCTGAAAAAACACCACGGGTATTATCACTAGGGTCATGACTTGGTGCCGCGAACACGTTGGCAAGGGGGCCCCATGGGACATAAATGATCCAAGACAATCTGAAAATAGGTGCTGTTCATGCTTTATCGGTCTTGTATGTCACATCTTTGAGATAAACTCCAACAATCATCTCGGATGCCTACTTGGTACCATTCAAAACAAGTACGGGTTTCAGAGCCGACCGTCGAGACACCATGGAATTCGAACTTCCCATTAGACTCCTACGCTATGCCAACGGAAAGTTTTCCGTCTTCGATCCTCGCCCGAACCAGGTCAACAGCTTTGATATTCTCTCCTACACATGGGAGGACCACGACAAGCCGCAACCAGTCAAGAAGGAGACTCCGGAACAAAAACAACAAAGATTGGAAGAAGAAGCAAGAAAGGATGAAGCTGCAAAGCATGGCATCAACCACCCCAGAGGCGGGCAACCTTATGCACACGGAATAGAAGGCGTCACCTGGTGGTTCAATGTGGAAGAGGAAAAGCTGAATGACATCAAAAGCCTCATGCGCAACGCCAGCATAGAATACCTGTGGGTAGACTGCGTGTGTATCAACCAGCGGGATCGTAGCGAGAGCGCTGGCGAAGTGCTCAAGATGTTTGAGTACTACAAGAGCGCTCGCACATGTCACATATTGCTCAAGATGGAGCACAAGCCGTGGAATCCTCAGGAGATTGTCAACGACCTCAAGTTTGTCGATCACTTGCTCTACCACATGCACGGCAGCGCACTGGCGTCAGAGGCCAGGTTGACGGACAATTTGAAGACGAGTCTCAGTGCTTGGGCAGACAGCACCTGGGATTTCCCCGTGGACCGATCCATTGTCCGGTCCGCCGCCATTGAGCCGGGCCTCTTGAACTGCTACTCGACCTGCGTCAGCCGGGTCACGTCTCTGTTCAGCAACCGCTACTTTTCCCGGGTTTGGACGTTTCAGGAAATGCTCCTCGGCAAGAACATACACATGTGGGGTCTGAACAAGACTGAGGTGGCACCGATTGGAAAGCTCGACAACTGGATGGACCTGGCCACGGACGCCAAGGACAAGGCTACCAAGCTGTACGCCTGGATAGAGACGGCCCGGGAGTGGAAGACGGCATCTTGCGACGCCGTTCTCGCCCAGATCGAAGCCGACATTGAGCGGCTCGAATGGCTAACGGTGCAAGCCCAAGGCATCGTGGCAGCCAGAACCGACATTGTAAACGGCGGGCCCGGCTGGTGGCGCCACAACCACGACGGCGTGAGTAATGTCTTCTCGGCCGTTTCCCTGAGGCCGCGCCGGTGTCGGGACATGGAAGACATATTCAAGGGACTGCTGGGCATCTTCAAGGGACTCTTCACCTATGAGGAGATTCAAGCGGACTTCAAGGACAAGACGCTCGACCAAATGGCTTTTCACTTTTTCAAGAACCTTTCCATCAAGACCGAATACGCGTGGACCAGACTGGCAATCAGCAGCGGGGAACGAACCTCGTATAATTGGATTCCAATCACAACAAACTCTGAAGGAACAGGCGACGAGGACAATCAAGAAAACACTCTAACCACTGACTGCTTCTCTGGCATCGTCAATCTGGGGCGCCTAAAGTCAAAGGGCTCGGTCAAGACCCCGGCCATCACGGGAGTAGTGGGGAACCCGCGGGAGTACATGAAGATCTCCCTCGTCCAGGGCGACGGCCAGTTCCGGTTCGTCTTTCGGGGCTGCAACGCCGGCAAGACGGTCAAGACGGGAAAGTGGTTCGGCAAGGAGACCATACCCGTCAACGAGCAAGCCGTGCGCGTCGCCCGGGACGACACGGGCCGGACCCTGGTGCAGTGCGCCACGCTGCTGGCCATGGTCATGGACCCCGGATGCCACGTCGTCCAGTACCGGCGGCGCCTCCTCCAGAGCCTCCGGCCCGTGTGGACCGTCAGCGACCCCTACGCCAAGCTCCCCGGGTGGATTGACAGAAACGTGAGCGGGACCCAGTGGCAGAATCCTGACCCCTGGTCCCTCAGGTCTCATAATCATTCTGTAAACTACGTCATGGATGAGAGCTTGGATTGCAACTCTCGTCTGCACAAGGGGAGCACAAAGAAAATCATGTGCGAGGTGCGCGTCAATTGCGGGTGTACCATTGTCGCGCCCTTCTCGCTCATCTTCGAGGCCCTGACGGTGGTGGAGGGGAGCTCGTTTGGCAACATCATTGGCGTCCAAGATCACGACCATAGGATCATACTAAACGACGGCTTGGGGCTTGTGCAGGCCGGCGATGTAGGAAGTTCCTTTGACCTGGTTGCCTTTGGGGGCAGCGTCGACTTTCACCCGTCCTACGCCAAGAGCTGCCGAAGAACCAAGAAATACGAGACGGTGCCGCCAAAGCTGCCTCCGCCCCAGGGCCGGGCTCTTGTTCGGGAGGACTTTAGCCATGGCATGATGGGTGGCTACGGATACGTGAGGACTGGTGGCGCCGGGAACCTACTCATTTACAGGAATCATCCTGTGGATAAGTACAAGATCATTGGAGTCTGCATCAACGACCACGTGGAAAATAAGAAGGGCGAGAATCAGGTGGACATACGGTAGGCGACTAGACACGTGGTCAGCGTAAGGTTGTAGTTGGAAATCTATTGCAAAGCTTGTATAGAAGTCGGAATGCCATGGATTCCGAGCAATGTAGGCTCGGTCGTTGACGGGCCTGAATGTTGCGTACTCTCCTGTAATCGCAAAGTCGGAGTCTTTAGGGATAGTTTTCTGGTACTTCTCCATGTTCAAACATCTTATGGTATCAATGTACCAACTCGACAACAGCGAGGCTCAAACCTTTCACGAGGAAAGATCTTAGCGGATAAGTGAGAATTAATAGTATACCTCCAAATGATGTATTTAGCAATATATTTGTCATAATGTGTGATGAGCACTAGGGATAGGGTTGAGTTTCTTGAATTAAAGTAAAACTTGATGTAGTAAAATTCTGGCTTCAAGAATGACATGATCCGGAGCTTAGCTGTCTTCCGGCATCAGCGAATTAGCCAGACTACAGCCACGAGTCGTCAAAAGAGTCAGTCAAGATTTGGGATCTCTGCATTGCGTTGTATAAATTTAAGCCAAGCGACTTGAAGAGTCGCCGCCTACTCATAGCTGTGCTGTGCACAGGAAGAGAAACAGAAAGAAACGCAAGTGCATACCAAACCATGAAAAGGTTTACGCCACGACCAAGAAGTCGCGACACCTTGATGGCCGAACCATTAAACAAAGAGAAGAGACGAAAATTCAGAGGTGCAAGACCAATGAGTTCGATCTTCTGGAGGTATCGTAAAGGCAAAGGGGAAACAGTGGTGACTGAATCCGGGTATCTGAAGAACACAAAAGCAAAACAAGAGCCGCGTGAAACCATATCATCAAAGCTGTAAATCAGGCGTCAGAAGCATGATGCCTCGTTAGCTTGTTTCCTCCCCAGTCCGTCCTTCCAGTACCTTTATCTCTTTGGATCGATGTTCCACTCGATGATGATTTGACAAGAGAGGATTGTAAAAGATACCTGTGACTTGATCAATTATTTGGTGCTCACAAAGGTTTGAGGAAAGTTATTATAGGGGAGTGTACTTTATAGGTCCATCTTTGGGATTCGGATGTAAACAAGTCTTTATGGTACACTGTGCCGGCGAAAACGAAAAGCAAGAACAAACGCAATGCAGAGATGTACAGTCTCTATTATGATATCCGTTAGTCAATCTCAGTCGAGCGTATCCAGGAGCTGAGGGAACTTACAGGTTCGCAAACCATCTCAATATTAAGATGTTGCCTTCCTACTGTGTAGACGTGTCTATTGAACATTATGAGCGGACGAAGCTTTGATCTCAATAAGCTGCCGGGTACTCACCGTGAGGTTATCCTTTAGTCCTCCAGGCGGACAGCGTAGAAGCCGCCCCAGGGAGTGACGTACCAGCGGACAGGCAGTCTATCGAGGGTAAACCGGTTGCGCTTAGTCCAGTTACCATCTAGCTCACGAAGGAGGTACATGCGTGAAGGGTCATCGTCGGCTGGCTTCATCTCCTGGGGCTCCAAGAGACTACTGGCGTGCATGTCGTTGAGCAACTGAGCATTGTGCTCACCCTGGGTACGGCCGACGCCCATGATATCAGGGGGGTTGGGGTTGGGGTTGCCACCGGGGCCGCAATTACCTGTCATCAGCACCTGGGGCTGAGGCTGTCCTCCGGCGCCGACGACGACGTTTCCCATGGGCTGAGGCATGCCAGGAGTGGGCATGACGGCGGGATAACCCTGGCCGGGCATTCCAGTGGCGACATACTGAATGGGCTGACCGTTTTGAAGAACGAAGGGCTGGGTCTGGTTGGGCATCATAGGCATAGCCATGGGAGCAGTAGCAACACCATTCTGAACCTACAAGGAATAAAACTGTTAGCTGAGCTTCTTGGAGATTGATGTGATTGATATGGGGAATGTTGAGATTGCATAATGCGCCGGTTGTTGTTCAGTCGCGTTTGGCACTTCCACCCAAGATCACAAGATAGAGCGCGTGTTCCATCATAGTCCCAGAGAGCCAAGATCAGACGAGAGACTTGCATGGTAGGGGCACGAGCAAGTGATGCCCGGCTGAAGTGGAATGAAAAATCCCGTCTGCTGAACAGCCTGCTGATTCTGCTGCTGGTTGTGGACAAAACAAACCTGCGGCATGGCGACACCAACGGGGGCCTGTCCAGGAGCCATGGGAACGGCGTAGGTGCAGGGGGTAGACTGGTAAGTAGCACCCAATTGAACACCGGCGGCTGCCTGCTGCTGGAAGCCACGGTCGGAACGAGGACGGAAAATATGCTGGATCGGACCATAGGTGGTGTCGGGCACGGGCGGCTGGAAGTTCTGGCCCGTGTTGGGGGGAACTCCATTTCCGTAGTCGGCCATTTTCAGGATGTTCTGATGGCGACGGTGATGGGGGAAATGATTCTGAAGTGTTTGTGCAACTTGGAAATGGTGATGGGAATTGAATGGATTGGATTTTGCAGCGAGGAGTTGGGTCTCCTGTTTGCGAGGTTGGAAATCGTGGGTGTGACTGACCAGGAAAGAGGACTGAGCTTGGTTGAAGAAGCTTGTAGTAGCAGCTCCGGGGTGGGGCACAAGACCAGTAGCTGGATGATAGGCAAGGCCAATGCCGGGACGAACCTGAGATGCCTGCTGAGGCTGGCCTCCAGTCCAATGAATGAAGGGCTGCTGTCCGAAGGCAGGATTGGGGCCGTTGACGACACCTCGAGTATGAGCTCCAACCGTGTAAAACTGTTGAACACCAGCACCCTTGAAGTTGGGATCGGAGGCAGTACCAGCAGCGGGGTTGGCACTGGAAAACTCGTCGTCATCAGAGGAATCTCGTCGAGATCGAAGGATGGGGCGGACGGGGACCTCGTCTTCGATCGTGACCTTTTTGCCCTTCTTTGCTGGCATCGTGGTAACCCGCTCCGTAGTTGAGTCGAATGGATTCAACAGAGAAGTAGAAAAGAAGAAGAGAGAAAAGGTTCTGAGAATTGCAGCTGGGTGCTTGGAGGAGTGGTAGTACTGTTGGAGCCCCAGCTGTGATGGTTGAGTTGTGTAATGAATGATGGTTTCAGGTCTGGGAAACTTCCAAACAGCCTTAAGTAGAGGAAAATTTTGCTTCAAGATACGGGAAAGACCAACAAAGTGACTGGGAAGGGCCGGCCATCTGACGAGACCCACGGGGACAGGCCTGTTGAGATCGTCGGCGTCGGCGGCGGCGACATAGGCGTCTGGATGTTTGATATATCCGTCGGCGGTGATATAGATATCTGGCTATTTGATATATCCGCCGGCGGCGGGAAGACATGGAGCTTTCATGATTAAACTCTCGAGACAGCAGAGATCAGACGGTAAAGATTTCGTTCCATCAGACGGGCGCACAAGCATTCACCATGCGGATATGGATCAGGCGTTCAGGATGAGTGTGGAAAAAAGGGACAGACAAAACCTACCGGACTTCCTACGCGAGGCACCCATCGCTGTCCATCCCATACGTACTGGAACATTTGCTGACGAGGTCTCGTGGGAGGATCATCTTCCTCGAGGATTATGTCCTTGATGGGCCAGCATGAACACATTTTGACCATTTCAGAGTCGTCGTCGCGTTTGTGTAGAGTCGTTGGTTGTTCGTGATGCGGGGACCGATAAAGACTTCCGGTCGTGATAATTAATGGTGGAGAAGAAAAAAAAAAAGGTGTCTGCTCTGTGCTACTAATAATGGATCTTGGATGCTTGCATATTCACGAGTGTTCAAAAATGAACTAATGACTGATGGCAAGTGGCAGTTGCAGCTGGCGAGTGAATCTTTGTGTGAACGTCTTTTTGATTAACACTATCTATCTGCCTGATGAATCGGCATCCAACAACCGTGTGATCCAAATCAACTTGATCCTGATCTTTACCTTTCCTCCTTTTTACATGAACACAGCCTTCATCTTTTTCTCCCCAGGTACATTCAAAATCTGGGGCCATATTGCAACCTGGCTCAGCCGATGAAGGCATACCACAAGTATGTTGTGAGTTAGAGACTCTTCAAGTTTTCGTGTGATCCAGGGTCGCATATCCTTTCCAAAGTGGTGGAATCTGTCATCTTCCCTTACTTCAAATAACCTGGAGAATATTCAATCCAAGTACCAAGGTTTGACACCAGGTCTGTAGTTCTCAGGGATGGGAAGCATGACCATTGACCAACCTTGAACAGGTTCAGTTACATCCCCATTGTCCTCCGACGGCAGGATTTCTGCCTCGGTAGGATTGTTCTGTCTGATCTCGAAGGATTCACCTCGTTGCTCAAGAATATGGGACTGTAGTCCTAGTCAGTAATCACTTTTGAAGCTATTTATCGTCATGCACAGACAACATACCCTGATGAATACCGGGAATATGCTGGAGGTAATGCGGAACGCGTTGAGTAGGCGTTGGAAGTCTTCCTAGGTCTTCAGGCTCCGCCACTCGCCAACCAACTTGAATGGGGAGTCCTCTAGGCTCTTGTATGACCAATCGTCGAGGCTCACTCCGTTGGCGATACCACTCAAGGCACAAGTTTGCTCCGTATCATTGTCGTACTTGTCCCAGTTAAAGATTTCGTCAATAAAAGCATTAGTGCCTTGGCCGAGAAGGGTTTCGTTGTTCTCGTGGTCAATGGTATTGAGCCAGTTGAGGAATTGCTCCTGAGAACCCTGGATTCCAGTAGTTATAGCTTGGTGGTACTGGAAGGACGCCTGGTTCTTGTCGTCAACTCTCATCAGATAGATTGGAAGCTTCATCAGGGTCGAGGGAGGAATCAGCTCCTCTTTGGACAACAGTTGATCACGAGCGAGCATTTGTATCTATGAAGCAGTGAGCAACTAATCGCAAAGGACTTGGCATTGAGAGTGATAATGGTAAATGACCTTTTCCTTTGTATCCATCATCTCCAGTGGCTTAGTGTCCCACAAAAGGATGAGGCGCTGGAGCTCAATGTCTTCATCCAGAGAAGCCCGCATCTCGGCGACAATGTCAGGGTGACGGACCATGAATCCTTCCAGGTCCGAGTAGTAGGCGCGGAGTTTAGGATCAGTGGGTGCTGAATCATCGCAGTTTATGCGCAAAAGTGTTGTCGGGTCCTCCGAGGATATATAGGCATAATCGGGGTCGGTCTGTTGCGCCTTGCTTTCGCCAGTTTGCTCGTCAAGTCCCCAGACGAACTTTTGGCTGAGGATGTCGTTCAAGTCAGCAGGAACACCAGTTGATCGCCAACTCAAGAGATAGTAAGAAACCAAATGGTTCTTGAGTTGCTCTGCTGTGAGGGCCATGACGATGAGGTATGCGGCTTTGGTGAAGCCAGACAGTGTCAGGATTACTGGTGGATAGAATGCTTTCGGCAAAGAGCCTGAAAATGTCGAAAGCAAACAACACGAAGGCAACAGTCAAGTGGCCAAACAATATCAGATATTATCTGGAGAGCGCGCCCGCCGAAACAGCGCGTCGTTTCTTGGAAGGGTGGGCGCCAACAACATCGGATGGTTGATTGTCAGAGATGACTGACAGCTGGAGCTTGGAGATGGCAATTGATGTCTGCAGTCTCACAGCAACTAGGCGCCTTCCTATATTGCAATCCGTGTGGGCAGGGACAATCATGACGTGGTGGAGGGGCAAATGTGTAGACACTCACGCCAAACGCCGAACTTGGAGAACTCGATTATTTTTACTCCAGCTTGGCCAGTGCAAATATTACATGTAACAAGTTCGGCTCAAGGTCATAAAAAAAGTCAATTGCCACCCCAGTGCTGACTAGAACGCCTATTCCTTTCCGCATCCACAGCCTGAGAATGCTTTCTAATGCGCTTTGCCATCTATTTTTACATACGTCCAGTCTGAGGAGAGATGATCTGATCCATTCGCTATGCGACCAACCCCAACGGAGGGCACCTTTCTTTAGACCAAAAAAAAAAGTATAAAAGGTAATTACATCGTCTAGTGGAACATCGAAAACGAAGTCCCAATATGGTACAGTATGCCTGATGGATGATCATAATGGTGAGCATTGACATCAAGCAGTCGGAAAATAGCGGCACCCATATTGTGCAGTCCGCATTAGGGGAGAGGTCGTCATAATTTTTTTCTTTCTTTCTTTTTCTTTACAGCTTTTGTTCGTGCTGCTCCAGGTCGGCAAAAACGACACGCTTGGTGACCTAGAGATATGTGGTTAACGAGTTGGCCTTTTGTAGAGCAAGACGAGATCATCAACTTACTGCCCATGCTCCTGCGATTGACGCGACAACACCTCCAGAGACCAGCATTGGCCGCAGGCCCCGTGTGCTCTTGAAGACCATACCACTCAATCCACCAGCAAGGATCGTGTTGAAGGCATCGTGCTTGCCTCTGACGTAACCAATACCCGAGTTTAACAAGTTGTATGTAATGGCAACGACACCGGCCGAGTTGCCCAGGAACGGACCGCGTCGGGTGACGGCGTTTAGTACTGAGTTGAGGCGCAACTTGGGCGGCTGGCCTGCTGATCTCCTTAATCCCTCTTGCAGACCCCAGGCACCTCCTATCGTGAGGGCAGTCAAATATGTGATGCCCGTTCCGTAGCAGAGATCGTCGCTAAAGCCACGCGAGGGGATGACAGACTGCGAGCCGGGAAGTTCTGACAGGGCGGCATCTTCGAGGGTGAGGTACTCGAGGCTATCCTTGTTGAGGCCGGCCAGAGGATGTAATTGCGAAGGGTCGGAAAAGGCAGAGCCCTTGAGAAACTGGTCTACACCTTGCGCTTCAGACGGGTCAAAGGGCGTAGGCGAGTACGATGTGGTGGGTGTTTGTGTGGGTGCAGCTTGATCGCTGGGTGTCGACGACTGCTGCGACGCCGAGGAAGACGACGGCTTGCGTCCGGTGAGGGTGTCCCAGATAGACATGGCGACTTGGGGGAGATGCAAAGAAGGATCCGAGTTGAATATAATACAGGGATGACGAGATCCGATAATCGCGCAATGGATTGAGGGTCAAACAGACAGCGAGGAGGGGTCTGTCTCTTGGTCGTGATGCCGGTGGGTGGTGTTTGTATGATGTCGCCGTGCGGCTTGCCGACCTGCAAAGAATGGGTGGAAGCTCCCCGTCGCCGTTCGACACGATAAAAAAAATCTGGTCCACGATTAGCTCAGATGGCCCGTGCCCATGCAGGGGTGTGACTCGTCGTTCTTGCCATTAGCGTAACGCTACACTACCAGTGGCTCTGAGTGGAGATTTTTCTTTTTGGCAGTCTCTGGGCGCCCGTCAGAATGGCCAAAAAACGCCAAGCATATTTGATGCACCGAATTGGGTATCCGAATTTTTTGAGACTTGAGATCACCATCAAATCCAGTAATATTTTTTATTTTTATTATTGGTCACTGTCTTTCTGGCACCAATATCATCCATTCTTTTGACGACCATTTGCAGAATCATTCTGCCCACGCAATTCTCTTCAACCTGGTTGGGATTTGGTCGCTACGGTCCAGTCTACATCTCGGGCATGTCGACCATATGAACCAAGGCTTGTGCGTGGTACTGCTCAATTCTTGAAATCTAGAGCTTTCCAGATCATACGCTCTTCGTCAAGGTCACCGCTCCGATTCATTCACAAGACCAAGTGATTCCTGGTACAACCCGACTGAGTTGCGCAATATCTGAGCCTTTCTTGACCACTCTCAAGTGGAACAAGTGATAGAAAAAAAAAATGGACGTCTCTGCCGCCGCCCGTGATGCCTATCCTGGCCTACAGGAGGCCACCTTCAACCCAAGAAATGCTGTCACCTGGATCGAAGAGAAACCAGCGGCCAGTCAAGTCTCGTAGGTTTCTTTTGTCACAGGCTTGATGGATCGGCTGCTTATGAGAAAAAGGTATGCCAATGACATTTTCGAGGAACTGCTCCAGAGTGCTGCGAGGCCAAGGCAGTCCTCTGGTCAAGCCTGTGTCAAGCTCTGCGGATTCATTGAGCAATGTTCCAGATCGAAATCTCCTGATGTCCAGGACTATGCCTTTTCTGAAAAGACTGCCAATGATCTCTTCAACTACTATGTCGAGTGGAACGAGCAGGATCAGCATCGTTCCATGAGACTGGTTTTAGACTTTCTCAAATCTTCCATAACCAGGAACCAACGCCCTGAAAATGGTGAGGTTATCAAAACCAGGCTCTTGAATGACATTGTATCTTTCATCACCCTAAAGTCCATCAAGCCCTCGGTCAAGTCCGCCTTCATGGCATTAGATTACTTCATACAAAAGAGGATATTCTATCTTCCCGGTGTGATTCAGACATATCAAAAAATCCATGGCGTCTCAGAAGATCAGCGCGAGAGCTGGAATACTTTTGTAGCCAGAATTTTTGACTGGATGATAATGAAACATCTATCTCCCGTCGCGGGAAAGCTCTTGGCTACTATCTTCTCTACTACTTGGTCCGAGCAGCAGGATGCTAGATTCTTACCCGATTCATGGCACAAGTTCTTGTCCGCAGGGCTGGCCAAAGATATAGAGCTCCTCGAGCCTATCCAGATATACATCATGATGCCTCTGTATACGTCGGACAAGGTCCAGATGTTGAAGTATCTTGAACTTTTGTTCTCTTTGCAGACCTTGACCAAGGATCAGTCTGACCTGGACGTCACCTCGATGCTCTGGTTGGCATCACTAGAGGCAGGGAAAAAGGTCGGAATCGTGGGCGAGCCTCTCAGTGGTAGGTTACTCGACGTCTCTTGCGGCATCGAAACTGACTCTATAGATCGCGAAGAAACGTCAAAAACACAGGGCATTGCACACTTGCAAAAGGATGTGCTGGAGGACATCCTGTCGCACAGTTCACAGGAAGCTCGGTCATCGGCCGTATCAATTCTAATTGCTTCGCCATCGAGTACTAAACCTTACTCGATTGCATCCCTCGAATTGCTTCGGAAGCATCTTCCGGCATTCTACTCGGACGGCGATGCCAAATTCCGGTACGATGTCTTGGGATACTCTAGAAACATGATATCCAGAGTCCAAGGTGCGATCAGTGGCTTGGCCAAGGAATTGGAACGTCTCGCAAAGAAGGCGAAAAAGAACAATACTGGAGGCACCAATGCCGAAGATCCTGACAAGCTCAAGCACCTCCTACAACTTCACGACGACTTCCTTGGCTGGTATTTCAACTTCCTGAAGAATGAGCTGGTTCCCACAGCTTCATATCAAAGGCACATCACATCTCTGAGAGCTATGGAGTTTGTCCTCAAATCAGAGTCTCGCGGCAAACAGAATGGATCAAAGGAAGCATGGCTAGGGTCACAGCTAGTTGACAGTGCATGGCTGAGGTCTGTACTGGATCTCATCATGGATCCTTTTGATGACGTGAGAGAGACTGCGACGAATCTGCTAGTTTTACTCTCGACGAGATATTCGGAAAACTCCACGACAATCACAAGGCCAATGCTGCAAGAGTTGGAGGAGTTTTGCACGCGCGCCAGTGAACTCGCTAGCAAGACCTCTCGTGCTGACCACTCAGATGGAGTCGCAAGGTCGTACGAGGTTCTTTGCCAATGGACAAGGTCCAAGGACGGAAAAGTGGCGATTGCCGCCCGAATTCTGGCAGACATTGAGCTAAGACTGAGCGCCGCTGAATCAGACTTGGCTTCTGCTGTCCTAGATGCGCCTATTCACGGTGGATTTGCTGCACTTCGGTATGATATAGCGACTGCAACTAATCAGCTTGGCTTTACCACTAACTAATTCGGCAGATATGTATGGCAATCATTGTCAAGCACCGACTACTCATCGGACGAGGTCATCCTATTGGAAACCCTCCAGGCACGTGCCATTAGCAGCTGTCAGAGGATATGGCAGGCAGTACGACTTGTACTGTGTGACGACTCCCCAGAAGGTCATTTGCCAGAAGAATTGGAAGAAGTCGACCAGCTCGACACGAAAGACCTACTGAGCTACAGCTTTCGGGCGATTCATGAGTCAAGGTGAGAAATTACACCACAAAGTGATGTACATTAAGTTAATCATCTGAAAACAGCCACCTGTTACGGGTCATCTCTAGCAATATCCGGATTAAAAAGTCTGGCTATATTCGGCCTTCAAGCCAGGAGTTTGAAGCCATCGGAAACTTGACTTTTGAGCAGTTATCCAACCTGAGACACCGCGGTGCTTTCACCACTGTGACACAAACCTTTGCAAGTTGTTGTCAGCTTGTCAAGTACTCTTCTTCTTCGTCCGAACAGGACAAATCTCTGTTGAAAGTGTGGTATCAGGTATGATTTATCAACCATTCCGAAATGCCTCCAACTGATAATATCTTAGGGCGCCCTTGACTGCATTCACACTCAAGCATCGACAACGAGGAGATCGGCTGGTATCCCTGCTCTCATTGTCGGCATATTAGCATCCAATTCCGACGAGCCTTCATTTGACACTGTCATGCATGAGTTGCGAGATATCGCACAAAGGCCTGCGCACGTGTCCGAGACAGACGGATCCAACTTGCCCCAGGTTCACGCAACCAACTGCATCAAGGACATATTCAAGAGCTCCATGTTGAGCAGACGTGCTGAGCCATACTTGACAGACTGTCTTCAACTGGCTGCCAATAGTCTCAGGTCTGAAGTGTGAGTTGCCAGAAACATATATTCAACTAGTATTTAGACTAACACATCATCTTCAGTTGGGCTATTCGTAATTGCGGTCTCATTCTGCTGAGAAGTCTGATAGACTGTCTCTTTGGCACAAGCGAAAGCAAAGTGTTGATGGAGGCAGGTTGGGATGGCCGATCCACCAGAGTAGCCTGGCACAAGTACAAGTCTCTGCCGATGCTACTTGTCAGTCTCTTGAAATCAGGCCAGGCCACGACGAGTGTTTCCAAGGAGATTGCAACAGCAGAATCAGTATTTCCCGCACTGGACATTATCCGCAGAGCAGGGCCACCCGAAGAGTTCAAGGACGAGTTGTACGGTATCGTAGCATGGTACCTCGGCAGCCACATTTGGCATGTCAGAGAGATTGCTGCCCGTACACTCTGTTCCTTTTTGCTTCATGCGGATTGGTTTGGCCATGTCAAGACCCTGCTTGCAGAATCTCAATCATCTGCCAACAAGTTGCATGGAGCACTATTGACATTTAAATTTCTTCTTGAGCGACTTCTTGACACCATGCAAGATCAGCTACTGAGTGAGTCTGACTTTGAATGACTATTTGTGACCATAAACTGACTCCATTTATAAGAGCACTATCCAGAGGATCTGTCCGACCTTGTTCAGAGTATACCAAGCATGCCTGGTAGCTTTACGACTTGTGCCGAAGTACGCGCTGTATACTTTGAGATCATCAGCTTCCTGAACGGACTGGCCAGCAATTCGCACATTGGCGCACAGCTCACCGATCCCGTCTTGCTAGAACTCAACGACGCATCATCACAATCCTCGGCAAACTCCTTCAAGATTCGCTCGGCCCTCGAGGAAGCAAAAGAGGCACAGGCTTCCACAGCTTCCGAGATGGAGCGGATCATGCGCTCCCCGGATCAACTTGCCAACTTTGACATAGGGGCACTACTCAAGAGCGACGTGAACGCCGCCTGTGATGCCTTGGAGACCATGCTGTCGTATGTCGAGGTTGGGATAGGGTCTCTGTTTGTTCCCCTGGCAGCGTCCCGGATCATCAAAATTTGCATTACAGCAGTATACGAGACACATGTACCAAAGCCCCGGGCCCTGGCCCTGAATATCCTTGCTGCCGAGCTCGACGGCTTGGTACATAAAGATGCCATGGCCGCGCTTCCGGCCACCACTGAGCTCACTTCCCTGTGGCAGGCGTTGCACAGCGGAGCTCTCAATCCGGGTCTGGCAGACGCCATTATTCGGGTCAGTGGACCGCTGGTCAGATTTATTATCATGCGGGGCTCTGCCGAGGCATCCGCCGAGAATAATGAGCAATGGCTCAAGTCCTGGGGCACCATGATGAGAAGTGCCGGTTCTGTCGATAACGTAAGGACCAATTTCTTGTAGTTCTTTCACTGTGCTTTATCCCATGCTAATCATGTTCACACAGGGCTTTGACACGCGAATGTCGGGCATCCAAGCCATCCGCTCCTTTACAGCCACCAGCAGCAACGACAATAACACTCTGTCGTTGGCCTCGTCAGCCAATCTCCCCTGGCTCCTGGCGCTCTACGACTACCTCAACGACGACGACGAAGAGATCCGCGACGCCGCCGCCACGGCCGCCGCACCCGTCCTCGGCAAACCCCTCGTCTCCATCGAGGCCGGCGAGCGACTCCTCACCCTCTTGGCCGACCTGTACAGGGACGACGAGGAATTCCGCCACCACGCCGCAAGCCGCCTGGTTGGGGAGCAGCAGCAGCAGCTAGGCGCAGGGCAAGAATGGACGCCCGCCGAGATCCAGCTCGCGCAGGCCCTGCGCTTTGACGACTCCCTTTTCGTCGTCGAGGAGCAGAATCTATACATTGACGAAGTACGCGAGGCAATGCGCTGGCGAGACGCCCTTTTCCATTCTTCATCTTCGTCCTCCTCTTCCTCTCCCTCTGGGGGCTCCCGACAGGCCCTGGCCGACTGGACCACGGCCAGTCTCGGCACACTCTCACGGATCGCGGCCGAAAGGGGCGACGACGGTGTCCTGGGCTGGACTTCCAAGCCCGAGGTGTTTGCCATTTGCGCGCGCATCGCCGTTGCCGGCGCCGCGCTTTCCGATAGTCACGAGGCTGTGCGGGACGAGCTGCGTGCGTTTGTGGGCCTGGGCCAGAAGACGAGGGTTCATGGTCTGCTGTTGCAGATGTGCGGTATTTAAGGTCAGCTATTTTTGTTCTGGTAGTCACGGAAAGAGAGAAGGAGGGTGCCTTATATAGAAGCAAAGAATTGAATAAAAAGTCATCTGATTTGCATGATTTTCCCATGGCTTTAATCTAGAGCCTCCTCGATCTTGTTTACATGAAAGTAGCACCAAGTCCACGTCGGAACAGGCAATCACAGTTTGTGTATCAATAACTCATTGATTTCATAATCTCCTACCCTTCCAAGATCACAGGCTCATGGATGCGGGTAGTAGGTATAGCAAATGTTAGCCAAGGTGGGTATAGGAAAAACCGTAATGGTCTCGTACTAGGCAACATCGTTCAGACTGAGTAAGCATGCTCTTATAATACACCTCATGCAACGCTTCCTCCCCTCTCGCGACCATGATCCTTGTCATCTTCAAGCAATGCGACGAATCCCTTCTTCAAAAGACCTCTGAGACTTTCCCCACTTCCTCCTCTTATGTGTCGGGAAGAAGCTGTGTGACTGCGAAAGTCACCAAGGCTTCCACTTCTCTGTGCAACCAAGTCGGCTCCCGACCTCTAGTCGTCCGTCTTTTTCACGGTCTTGAAACTATCCGTTCTCCTGAGAGTATCGAGCAGCTCTGGGGAACTCTTCTTTCCTAACTTTGCTACCAAGAGCGTGTTTTGTCCCTGGAGCTCGCCGATTTGTTCCGTGAGCACTTCAATCTGCTTCAGTGCCACGTCCCTCTCAGCCTTGACCTTTTCGAGTTCCATGGCTAGGTTCTGCCGAGTCTCCTTTTCGATTTGTTTCTTGCGTCTCTCTTCGGCCTTGCGCTGTTCATTGGCGCGCTTTTCCTCTAATCTCTTGAGTTCGCGCTTGTACCTCTCTTCTTGCTTCTGGATCTCGCGATCGTGCTTCTCCTTAAGTTTGGCGATTGCCGCCTCGTCACGCTGTGCGTCATTGTCCTTCTTGGAAAGTGCCCGTTCTCTAGCTCGAGTAATCTTTTCGTCGGCCTTGCGCTTCTTTTCTTCAAGCTTCCTGAGCTCCTTCTCGTGATGTGATGGCCCATTAGACTTTCCAGTCACTGATTCGGAGGAATGAGTTGATTGAGCCTCGCCGTCTCGGCCAATCGAGACAACTGGTGAAAGGGCATCGTTGCTGTCGGTCTTGGCAAGCTTGCTATCTGCCTCCACATCCGACTCGACGCTGTGGAAGCTCTGTATTGAGGATGTGTCGTCCTCTATTGTGTCCGCATCAGACAGGTCGGACTCGGTGTCACCGCCTTTTGCAGACCCCAAAGGATTGGGCAGGCGAGCAGCGACAGCCCCAAGTGCCTCGGCGATCATACCGTAAAAGCCACCCGGCCTGGGACCCTCCTCCTCATCCTCGTCAATTTCGTCCGGTTTCACCAGTCCTGGCTTTGCGGTCGGGTCATTTGAGGCTTTGGAAACAAGGTTGGAAGTCACACCAGGCGTTGCTTTTTGTTGCGGTTCGGATGTCGGTGTGTCTTCTTCAGTGGCGTCTTCTCCCAAAACAGCCTTCTTGGAGCCTTCAGACTTTCGTGTCTGAACCCATTTCATAAACTTCTCCGCGTCGCCCGCTATACCGGCAGGCGTGCCTTTCTCAACCATGAATCTCGGCACACTGCCACCAGGGTCGCTTCTCGTGACCATGAGCCACTCCACCAATGTTTCCACATTCTCCTCATCATCATCCTCTGCCTCGGTCCCGGCAAAAGCAATAGTCTTGCCTCGCTTACGTCCTTCTGTGTTCTCGGTATCGGAAACCGAGCTGGCCATGGCGGCATTGCGAGCTGAGCGCGCGAGGGCCTCCTTGTTTGACTTTTCTATAGCTTCTTTCCTCGCTTCCGACTGTTCCTCGTGGCTCAGATCAATGGACGACCGCACCTTTCTCAATGGCTTTTCGACCTTGATTTCTCGAATAAATTCCACCGATTCGTATTGACCGCGTATATACCCACTTCTGGGCGCACATTCGGGGTGTATGCAAGGCTTGGACACCAACATGTAGTAACGGGGTTTGGCTAGACCTTGCTGTACAGGGGGTTCGATGGCAGAGTCGGAGCTCAGAAGCAGAGTTACGAAATCTCTAGGCGTTGTTGGTCCGGGGAATTGGGCTGAGAGTTGATAAACTAGGTCGGGCCACAGTCAGCATCGAGCGATTGTGATTGAAAGTCCACGAAATCATGAGAATCACGTACCTTCCATTTTCCCACACCCGTCTACCGTGATATCGACAACCTTCTTATCGGCGCCAATGCCACGAATCTTGCCCTCGCCAGGTCCTCCTTGCACCTTTAAGCTCTCAGCAAACTCGGCCTGCATTCCCAGCTTCCACTGGTCAAAAGGTAGACCTTCGTGTAAGCTGCGGCGAGCAAACCAGGCACCCTTCTTGTCCTTGGCCGACAGCTTATACACGTCGACGCCGAGTGGGTTCTCGCGCGGGTTGACTTGGACCTCTTTCCATTCCTTGCGCAGGTGCTCGGCCCGCTCCGAGGTCATCGGCGCCCTCGCGGGTAACTTGGGGCCGGCCGGGTCGGTGCTAGAGCGCGGGCGTCCTCCTGTCGACTTGGACGACAATGTCGCCGAAGGAAGGCTTGTAGATACGGGAATGGAGTCGATTAAACATTGCGCCTCGACAAAGATGTCGGTCAAAAAGGTCTTGAGATCGTCCTGATTGATGCTCTCCCATTCAATGGGCGCGAGGGCCTTGAAGACATCGTGATGGTTCGTCATGGTTGAGCAGATTAGACCCCGCCACACCTTTGCCTCGTTCAGTGCGTCGTGGTTAATGCCTTTGTATGCAGGGTGCTGTCGCGTGAGGTGTACTTGAGCTCAGTGGGGTCAAGTACCTAGGCAGTCTTCCAAAGCATAAATCTAGGATGAAATCGATAGATATGCTGTAGTTTCACAAAGCATACCAAGGGTCACTAAAACGTTGCAGCTGGATTGGTAATTTTGAGGACAAAGAAAGGGTATCACAAGACGGGACGATGGGCTATTAGGTCAGGTAAGTAGTAGGTAGGTAAGTGAGGTGATGTAGTATTGTGTAATGTAGTAAGTTAGATTGGGTTTCGCAGATGTAGAGGTGTGCAGGTGATAAAACCTGGTTATTGGTAATGGCAACGGCAGCGAACGATCATGGAATCGTCTAGATCGGAAAGGCGGAACTGGACAGCAGGGAGAGTCAGAGAAAATAACAATGTTGGCATCTCTCCTTTCTTTCAAGACCTGTTTCACGGACCGGGTTATTCTTCGTTTTCATTCTTCGTTCGCGTTATTCGGGTTCGGCTCCCATTCAGCCTTTAGTACTTACGAATACCTTAGGCGTTGCCTGGGTTTGGCGCGTACTACTGCTGATCCTCCTGAGCTCGAGACTCGAACGGACGGCTCGGTTTTGGTTAGCATAGCACAGTTTAGGTGGAGTTTGGAGGGGCATTTCGGGGCCGCGGGGGCCTTCTTGGGCCTGGCGCCTTTACTGGCGGGTTTTGTCTTTTGGTCCCTTGTTTGCGACAATTTGACGTCATTTTCGCATAATCCTAAGCGAATAACACCTGGTACCCAACGACGTCAATTTGAATGAACTATCCCGGTCAATGCGGAGAAGAAGTCCCGGCTCTTGTTCAATTCAATCTTCATATTGATTATTTTTTACACGCTGTATGATATTTAACTGGTATAGTCTATCGAGTTCTGCTGCAAGGGGCTAACATACCCTAGAGTATAATACAGCTCGGTTCCATCATGTTTCCCAGGCTGGGATAGATTGTGCTGTCTTGGCTGTTACTTTTAAACAACCTTGAAGCCCTGTGTAACATTTAGTCAAATCAAGGTTCGCTTCCTACATTCCAGCTTTTTTGATTTCGCCCTTTAGTTATTTCACGTCCCGAGCCGAGGTGCAGTCTGTGCTAGGCACATGACATGAATGAAGTTCTCTTCCGACAGCATCGATCAAGGCCGAGACCTATGATGATCTCTACGATGATCTCATCAGTTTTCAATTGTTGTAGCCAGTAATCAAGCCTTGTCTCTGCCGACCATTTCGTTCCTGGCCGGATTATCCGGCGCCATAGGATTCGGGGCTAGTTTTGTTCGATATAGTCAAGCAACCGCTTGTTTTTAGCTCAGGCTTGACAGAAAGCTTTCTCTGACCTCGAGCCTTTCTTGGACTCTTGCCGTGCCGCATCTGGTCATAAGTGTCCCTGAGTAGTATAGTCTGCAAATAAAATGATAACCCGAAAGACGAATAGCATCTAAACTCGATGTTTTTTCTGTCTTTCTTGTCTTTTTCGCTTTTTTCTCTCTTTATTTTCTTTCGTTTAGATCCCCATTACCGTATAGCTCGATCATATCTCTGTTATCGTGGAGAATGGTACAAACATTTTGTAAATAAGAATAGCATAATATCTCCATTGCTTCCATGGCTGCGATGTGTTCTGGAATCGCAGGATCTGAGGCCACTGTGCCGACAATCGGGTATCCTTGAACCGTAGTGATAACGCTTCGTGCTTTATTGACAAGGAGGCTCTGCTAATGCCAGTACTAAGGAAGAAAAATCGTTGTCTCTTAGTTTATTACAGTAATTTTAGATTCATCAACATCGACCCAATCTACTGTTCGATTTGTTCGTGGCATTGTTATGTCGAGCGGCTCGGCTCGCGCACTTTTTGCCGCAGTGTTATAGAAGTCGAGATACGGCACGCAAAATGGGGTTCTAATCATTAATTTTTCTGAAATGTATACAGGTATAGGACGAAAATCTGACAGTGCCCAAGTTAGAACTTAGAAACATGAACATGAGCTGGGTCATCCAGGAAAGCCATTCCTCCTTGCAAATCGACCGCGCCGGACCATTTTAACCGTCTTGATGACAGTAGGCTGGCCATCCACGCCAATGCTCGTGGCATGTGGTCCCAGATCAGTAGGAGCAGTCCTCTCTTTCTTGTCTGCCGTCGGAGCTCCTCTAGTCTTTACCTTGGCATCGCTGCGCCTGTATACCGAGAGAAATCCGGTGCCGCCACCGCAAAACTGGCTACTATTACCGCCGCACGGGGTTGTACACTTCCCGATACCAGTGTCAACCTTTGAGTCTGCAGCCAGGGTATTGTCACACCAGCACTCGCGTCCATTCTTCAGACCCGAAAGAGTATATTTTCGTCTGTCGCAATAGGCTGTACAGTAGTCGACCGTCATCTTGCTATATCCAAAAGTGGCACCGACCAAGGCGTGCCAGTTGGGCAGTTCGGAAGCACAGCCGACATATGTGTGGTCTTTTGGCTCATAGATGGACTGTGGCTCGGATATAGTGGGAGTAGAAGTGGCGGAAAATGATTGGACGACGGACTGTAAAGTGGTTTTAGCAGTAGCAGGTGGTGGTGTCGGCGTGGGCGTGATGGTGACCACGGTCTCCGCCGGTTCCTTGGCCGTAATGCAGTACCAATAATTTGCCCAAAACAGGGCGCTGCAGTTCTCGCCATTCTTGCCGAGGAAGGGGTTCAGGCTATAAAAGTATGTCCGACTGTCCTGGGCGCGGGATGCAAAGGCAGCGCAAGTGTCGTCCTTGTCCACATCATAGGCCTTCATCCACCTTATGCAGTTTGGTACGATCCCCGCCTGCGTTGGGGAAGGGGGCGCGGTTGTGACGTACTTCATATCCATCGCCATTTTGATTGAATGTTGCTATCTTTTCTCTAGATGATCTTGGTCCTGAGCAGCATGAGATCCAGGTGAACTGGGGGTTTACTCGGACGCACTTGAGCGGCAGGGCCAAGCTTTTGTTGATTTCGAAAGAATATAGTCGCTCTTCAATTTGCCATTGTAGCGACAAAGATGTTCTAGATTCGCCATCGCCACGTGTGAGACTGTCCAGCTTTGATCTGGTCTTTCTCAAGTCGGATTAAATATGATGCATGATTCGTTTTTTTGTTCTCTGGGTATGATTCATAAAGGGCCTATATCCTCTCCCTCATAACAAGGAAAGAGCTGGGCCTCGCTCTTTGAACAACTTTCGTTCTTTGTTACTAGTACCTGCGCAATTGTATCAATAACCTGTCTCTTACTAATAGACACTGCAGTTGAGCATGCTGTATAAAATAGCATCAACGACACTGGCTTTCTTTATTCGCAGCTCGGGTTTACTGAACTTTGCCTCTGGAAGATTGGACATCTGGATACAAATGCTTCTACCTCAGACACAAGCACCAAAGTGCAATACTGGCCTGTGGTGCATATTACGGGTTCTAGAAATGGGTTATTCAAGATTCCAGACCATGGATAAATACCAGATTTCATAAAAGAACGGCTCTCCAGCAGCAAATTCTGTCTCGAGCAGCCAAGGCCAAGTCGTGGTTCTTGTTGAGAGCAAGCCAATGAGATGAGCGACGACTGTGTCATTTGTGGCAGCACTAAGAAAATCACAAGAATATTGGTATTTCCCCACCTGCTCCCGCCACTCTATTGCTACTATACTTTATTCAAAGACAAAAGGAGTGGCTCGTTTACTGCGTATCATTGTACATCTCAGTTATACTCAAAACTGTACGATATAGCGGTAAGGTTCAAGCTGAGATAGTAAGCTGATATGGTAAGTCGTGTAACGGATCCATGAGCCGAGTATGTTCTATATTGTGGCGCTGAATCATGAGCCGAGCTGACCATTTGTCTTTCTTTCCCGAATGTGCCTTGTGTCATGGCGGTGAATCGCGAGCTCAGCTGGGTAAGCTTCTAAGTCTGATTTGTGATATGGCGGTAAATTATGAGATGATGTGGATGAACTCTTTCTATCGTTCGAAACCAAATTATGACACTCATTTTGATTCCTTTTTGTAATTACAGAAAAGAATTAAGTCAATACCTTAATCAACATTTGCGTTTCCAACGACAAGTTCAACGCCCTCGTTGAGTTATTTTGCAGCAAATTCCCGGACTACCATGCTAGAGGTCGATTGAGTCATTCCGAATGGGCTGGCTCATGAAACACAGATATCTCTGTAACATGAGCTGACCGTCCTTGACACGAGTTGAACATTCATCTAGACCAATTGGATTCGAGGGCCATCGATTCTTTTGCACTCAGTCGAAGCTTGCTCTAACATAAGAACCACATGTTCCTGTCAGCAAAGCGCTTATTGGCTGTAATTACGAAGCATACGAGAGGGTCAGTTAGCCGAGCGGAAGGGCTGCCGTGAGACATGGTGAGAAGGCGTCAACAGAACGAGAACGGTCGCAGGTCTGTGCCGAGGCCTGGCTCATTGTCAAGGCAATCAACATACACGCAATATTAAACGCAGGCATGGAGTCCATGATGTGAATTCAGGGCGCGGCTGCAAGATGTATAAAGGCTCTCGTAATATACCCTACAGCATGACGAATCAAACAACACAACACGATCAAGAACGTGAGACACACGCCACCATACCTCTATCCACTCATCATGAAGGCATCTTCCATCATTACTGTTACATTGTAAGTGGCTCGCACTGCCTTCAAACCATGGAAAAATAGGATACATGCTTACGAAGCCACAAGGCTACAAGCAAGTACTGCGATAGCTCAGTTTTGGAGTGTTCCGTATGCTTCCGTCAGTTGGGACAACTTGCAGCACATTCGCGTATATGCTGTCGATCCAAACGGCGCCATCAGAGAGTGGCAATTTGACGGCAATGGGTGGAAGGGCCCCAGTTTCATAGGTGCTCTGGCCAGGATTGGTACAATTGTCACGGCCGTAAACGACGGTGACCGCGTAAGTATTGATCAAGTCGCCTTTGGGTGGCTACTCAACGTGTCTACTAACAATACCTGCGGCTAGATTCGTGTCTACTATCAGCTTCCAAATGGCAGGGCAAAAGAGAGAATCTACGAAGGGAAATGGTATGATGGACCTACGCTGCCATAAAGTATTGCAAGCGACAGCAAATCCAGGGACTCGACCGATTCCTCTGTTCTCTTCTTCACATTCCTCGACCACGAGTTTCTGGGCAGAAGCTTGATAATGAATAGTTCAAAAGGTAGAAACAGAATTCTGTGGAGCTTGGGAGACTGAATACGCCTCGATGTCCTCAAAGTCTCCCATTCAGAAATCAATACATGTCATCTCTGCTAGATTCTACGAAATCTTTCCAGAAATATGACTTTTCTTCCTTGTACACTCGGCATAGGTTTCACACTCTCCATACAGCAAGCCACACAAAAAAAAAAAAAACTGTCTAATGCTTTAGAAGCATTCTTCTCAAGCTGGATTAGATGAAGCATGATTTTCAATACGGCACCTAGAGGCAAAAAGATCATGCGATATTTTGAGCCCTTAACGATTAATAGATGAAAAGCTTGAAACATATATTGATTGAGTTTAGTTTAATTTACAAGAATGAAAGAGGGCAAAAAGTGACAGAAAAAGTGTAAACGTAGCGAGAGAGAGAGAAACGAAAGAGAGAGAAAAGAGTAAAAAGGAGAGAGAAGAGTCAAAAAGAGAAAAGCAAGTATAAAAATTTATGCTATCAGTATTGCTTAAAATAAATAGGTGGCTACCTAGGTAGGTATAGGTATTTTGATTATACAAGCCAGTAGAGGTCCCATATATATATGCTATATTTCAACTGCCAAGAGTCTGAATACTTGACAGCAGAGAACAAGGCTCGAAAGAAACAAACAGGCCAGCAATCTTGTGATACTTTTTGGGTGGCTGCGACACAAGGGCGGGTATTGCCGCAAGGGAGAGACAAGACAGGCTTGACAGATATTCGGGATGTGCGAGGCATTATCCGTTCCGAGACAAAAGGGTGAAGATGAATAATTTTGCTGCAGATTTTGAATTGTCTTGTGGCGTGTAACGGTCAAGTGTCGCTCTTGAATAAAAACCCGACACAATGCCGAACTCTCATATCCTCCTCATTTCTGGGCTAAGAGTCAAGACTGCAAAACTCGTTGCCGCACCAGCTACTGGTCTCCCCCTCGACTTATACGATGTTAACTTGTGACTAATCAACAACAACAGCTAAGGCAACGTGCCAGAGTGGTTAATGGGTAAGACTCGAAATCTTATGGCTTCGGTCGCACAGGTTCGAATCCTGTCGTTGTCGATTCTTTTTTGCATTTTAATGGCCTTGTTGATGTGTTTTTCGCATCCCGAATGTCGTGGCATTGTGTATCAGTCAAGGAGGAGTATTTTCACGATGCCGAGCGGTGGTGGTGAAAGGCCGCATTTAATAAGGAAGGCACGCCACTCAACGTGGGAATTTTTTTTTTTCTTTTTACGTCTACTATTTCCAAGGAAGGAGCAAGCCGGTACCGGGACATGCACTATACTGCGATGTTTCTTTCTAGCTTTGATTCTGCCTTTTGAAATAACATGAGTACTGATGCATCTTGAAAGACTAATCACTGTCTGGTATCTTGATTTATGATACTTCTTTTCTCATTTGGAGACACGACACGAAAGCTTTCGATATCCAAAAAGGCAAATGCTTCCCCGCCGCAAACCAAGTCTCAGACAGGTCATTAACATCTGGGCTATCCCTTTGGAGGAGTATGCTTTGGTTTCCCCCACGGCTTCAAAGCAAGAGGCTTCACTTCATTTTGGGCATGATGTCAAGTATGGCCATGTTATTTGCACCTCAAATGTCTCGATGAGCGTGATGAGCAAGTTTACCAAATCATACTGATATGGAGGCACATCAATGTCCCGCTCTTGACAATAAGGCACATGGTCTATTCTATAAACCACTGAGTATGAATATTCACGCAAATTTATGAGATATTCAAGTCACTGGTATTTCGTGTGCGCAATCAGTTTGAAAAGTACATTGACTGCATCAAGACGGCAGCGCTCAATGCAAGATAAAATCTAGGCAAGCCACCCCTGACAGCTCCTTAGCTCCAGCCAATCAAAGGGGCACCTCGGACATGTTCGCGCTCTTTGAGTAAAGATTGACTTGTCCTCGGACGTGAACCGTCCAACTCAAACCACCTAGCAACACTCACTCCTCCTCACGATAAAAGACTCCAGAAAGGAGAAAACAAAAATAAAAAAAATACCACCGGATCGTCCATCAAGGGCCATGGATAGACTCGGACCTTTTCCTCAATCCCTGGAGCCATTTCTCGAGCCGGCCTTGTTATGCCAGACCTGCTTCATCTTGGCCGCGAGCAGCGTGCTCGCCATTGCAGCTGCACCGCAATCGGCGCGTACTCTTCTCACGCAATATGGTGCTCGCAGCAATGCCTCACCAGTAGAGGGAAGCCAAGAAAGGGCCAAGAAGCCCCAGAATCGCTTTCTCGAATTCATGGGCTGGGTCACCTCATTGGGGCAGGTTCCGCACTCATGGTTCATCCACTTTTACGTCCTGTCCGTCTCGAGTTCAGTATTTTGGGCCGCCCAATATCTCTGTGGAGGCGTCATCTTGACGACGATCTGCAGATATCAAGCAGCACGGAGCCCCGGGCCTACAATGAGTATGGAACAAGTTCAACTGGCCTGGCTGCTTATGGCCATGCAAGGCACCCGCCGACTGTATGAATGCTTCTACGTGCTTCGGACCTCGTCCTCCTCCAAGATGTGGTGCATCCACTGGTTGCTCGGATGTGCATATTACCTGGGCATTGGTATCGCAATCTGGATCGAAGGTTCCCGTGAGTTCCCAACTCTTCTATTGCCTCTGGTCTATATTCATATGATCTCCTAGATGCTATTCTGCAGTCGGACCCGTCATCACTCAGCTTGCACCGGCCCTCTGTCCGCCAAGTCGGGGGCGTAGCGCTCTTCCTCATTGCGTGGTTCGTGCAATACCGGTGTCATGAGCACCTCGCGGGCTTGAAGAAGTACACTCTTCCTCAGCAAGGACTCTTTCGGTATCTGATTTGCCCACATTATACATGTGAATGCCTATTGTATCTCTCGCTTGCCATTGTTGCTGCACCGGAAGGCGACTGGTGCAACAGGACACTATTATGCGGCGTAATCTTTGTCGCAGTCAACCTTGGTACTACCGCCAGTGGCACCAGGCAATGGTATTCCGAAAAGTTTGGCAGCGAGGAGATCAAGGACAAGTGGAGCATGATCCCGCTCATATTCTGAGCACAAGATCCTCTCCAAATCACGCCTACTACTTCTTTTGAAACATTGCGAATTTGTTTCCAAGCTTTGCGACCTTCAAGACATCTCGATAGGTCAGGCTGGTGCGCGTGGCTCGGCTATTACGACCATCCACATAGTCAGTGGACCTTAGAAGGCTCCAGTTCGCTACGGTTTCTGCTGACAGATCGACATCCGCTGTGATATCAGAAATGCCGTGCAGGTAATCGGTATACAGTTCTTCGGTGGTTATGAGAAGGCTCCGTGGTTCTTGAAGGATTCTCCATGCAGGAACAGGGTCAAGTGCACCATCTTCCTTACTCTTGTGAATATTGAGACATAGGCTCGCTCCCAGGCTCACAGTGGCGACTACGGGATGGTATGCATTTCCGTCCTTGTGAGGCATAATGCCAACACCTGGGGGGTATTCATTGATGAGAACGTGGTTGGGCTGCTGATGTGGGCTATCTGAGAACAAGTCAGGCGCGTCGGATTCTTGCGTTCGAGGAATGGCCTTGAGGCGCGAGATGACGGGTTCGTTGAGCCATGCTGGGAGCGGAGCCTCAACGAGCTTGTTGTTGACTAGGTCTGAGGGCCAGGTTTGAAGGCGACGGTGGGTGAGCTGCGTCCAGCGAGGCTTGGGGGCGGATGCAATCTATTGTCCACGGTTAGAGCACGAGCAATGGCAGCCTACCGAAACCATCGTACTTTATCTAGAATGATTCGCTCTTCGTCCTCGGATATGAAATCGGGAATGTAGTAGGCGCTAGATGGAAGAGAGTCGATGCGGGCGTCGCTCAACGAAGTTGGTAGGACAACAGGTGGGACGGCGGAGGCTGAGCCAGTGTTGTCACCCATCTTTTGATGCGAAATGCAAAAGGCTGAATGCAAGTGAGCGGCGCTAATGGAATATTTGATGTATGACGAGCCAGGTTATTAAGTTTTTGCTGTTTTCTTTGCTGGATGATGCCTGGATTGTGCAGGCAGATTCGAGTCCCAGGGATAACAGCATTGGCAGCCTGTAGCGTGCGAAAATGTATGTAGAGGTAGCGGACGAGTAGGATGGGGTCAATGAAAGGAAATCAGATCACGGAATGTGCAACAGCTGCAGAGGCAGCAGCTAGTGTTCGCCCAATACTGTTCGAGTTCCGGCGAATAGGTCGGTGAACAAAAGCGCTCGAGAAAAGACACAGGCTCAGGCAGGCTCAGGCTCCGGCTCAGACTTCAGACTTTGCGCGGGGATATTTGCTTCTCTTCGGAGGCCCGGGACTTGGGCTGGTTCACTCAAGTCTCTTCCTTCTCCTTCACAGCCTTGGGGCTATATTAGCATTGAGATAGCGAGTCTAAAAATCGACAACAAGGTTTGGTGATGATGTCGTCGTCGTAAGGTGTCCGTCCCTCCACCCTTTTCGTGCCTCCTAAAAAGACTCGACTAGATATGAGAAGTAGTTGGGCGTTGGGGAGGGGGTCATTGAAGACAAGCAGACAAGAGAGGCCGTCCAGCCGGCGCAGGTGGACCTGAGCGAGCCTTATCAAGGCATGACCCGGCAGTTGGACAGTGTGGTGAGTTGGCGTAAAGGAGGGGGGGAGGCAATCCCGCGATACGTGTGGAGGGAAGACGAGCAAGCAGGGGGGAAAGTCGCACTGTATTTCTTGGATCTTTGGACGTGGTTGCGTGGCTCGTTTGGTTCAAGGTACGAATACTTGTGTAGATACTAGTAAATGCGAAGAGATCAATGCGCAGGGGTTGGGGAACGGCGGCGTGACTGGGCAAACAAGGTGATCAACAATGATAAAAACAACAATAATGGGAAGAAGGAAGACTCATTTCATCATATCGACCGAAAGAGAGAGAGAGAGAGAGAGAGAGAGCCGAACAAGAAAGAGAAGTGATGAATCCAACCCGAACCTGAACCTGGCATGGGCTGCTGCTAGTGGACTGATGAAACGAAATGAGGAGGGGATGCAAGAGACTGGACTTTGACTGGGTCTTGAATCGATTTGGGCCTCCACTGGTCCTCAATCTGCCCACTCAGCGCCGGGCTGGCCCTTCTTTGCCCTTTTGACCCCTGTCCGGCCCCAGCGAAGTGCAGCATAAGCGGCAGCGAAAGAACGCAGAGCCCTGCCCCGTTTTTCCTGCCCTCGTCTGTCTGCCTGTTCACTTTTCTGCGTATTTGGTCTTTGCAGACCGCCGTAGCGATGCGAAGTGCCACCCACTGGGCCGCCTACTGCCAATCAAAGTGGATTCGAGCCAGCTGTGCTAGCGGTCGCCCGAGTCCCCCCAAGACTTGCAGGTTTCAATGGGATGGGATGGAGACTTGCTCGCTGCGGCACCAAAGGAGTGAGAACGGCTGAACGGTTAAGGCAAGACAATAGACTGCAAAAATGAGGGTCGGCCAAGCAGGCAGATGGGGGGCTTGGGGGGAAGCAGACAGAAAGGACAGGACACCTCGCAAGTCGGTCGGCTCGCTCACTTCTTCCTTGTCTGTCTCCTCGCGCAATGAGACGAGAAAAGGCGACCAATTTTTTTTTAAATGTGTTTTTTTTGCCTCCGAGACCACCCTAGCACTGGGACCTCTACATACAGGGCGGGCCACCGGGGGAAGAACATGGAAAGAAAAAAAAAACACTTGGTCGGTCAGTCGGTCCTTGCCTGAGCCAGACTAGCGGCTAGGTAGCATGGTTGGTTCGCTCTGCTGCAAGCTTGAGTCTGCCTTCATCTTCCTATGATTCGTCTTGATCTGGTTTGGCGCGGGTCTTTGCTTTGCGCTCAAGCTGCTTCTGCTCTCTTCTCGTGATCTTGCCGTCCGTCCTTTTTCGCTCTACTGCCGTCCATGCGTTCGTTGCCCATTTGAAGGAAGGAAAGAAGGAGAGAGAACATAGCCTTGGGTGTAAAATGAATTAGACTGACCGAAACTGCCTACCACCATCCACTGCTACGTACTACCTCACTACTGGTCGGTTGGCATTACCTCTCTACCGTGGTCAAATTACCTTGCCTACTGCCTTAACTCTGTACCATTACCACCTGTAACTCGTACAGGAAGTACATTACACACGTACCTCTGCCTACCTTACCTACCTACCTACTTGCAGTTGGTACCGACTTGATTGAACCAATCCACATCTTTGGCCCCCTTCGCCGCGCCGATAGATTCCAGAATCTAAGCCCAAGCAAGTCCTCTCTCTGTTGTACTATTTTCGTAAAACTCTTTTTTCCTTTTTTATCTTGATCTATCATTTTGCGGCGACTGTTCGACTCCTTTGCCCGGCCCTCGACTCAGAAAGACGAGAAACAACTCCAAAATTGTCCTCGCCCCGTTCTCCAATCCAACCCAGCCCGTCTTTCCGCTGCACGCAACGCACACGCGCACTACCCAAGACTCGCTCCCTGGTCCAGCTCTTGGTGCGTTTGACCTTTGGAGGACCCACGCGAATCCCGTTTCTGAGACTCGTATTCGACCAGAGCCAACGATCTCTCCTCACCCTCGATTCGCCCTGGAGAGCAACAACATTCACCACCACCACCAACACCACCACTCCCACTTCCACCACTACTCGCACAGTACTGCCGCCCCTTGCTGTTGCTGGCGCCGCCCTGTCTCGAGTTCCGTCAATAGTCACCCTGGGAGTGGCCATCATGGTGCACTATTGCCGATATTGAATGATATGGATGCGCAGAATGCTGTCGAGTCCACGAGCGCGAAGCAGCCTGCTTCTCCACGGAGGGGATCCGACAATGAGTCGACTCACCCAAGGAACAGGTCACCCGTAGCCAACAAGACAGCCGCCTCCTCGACGACAACGACGACCACCACAACAGTAACAAAAGATCTCAAGCCTCCGCCAAATACCTCTTCTAATGCAACGGACGAGGACGCTGCCCACGAACGTGATTCGGATGCCGAGACCATTGTTCTGCCAGGGAAGGATGGCATCTCGCCCTCCAAGCCACGCAAGGTCATCAAGCATGAAGACAAGAGTGACGGTGAGATTGATGACCATGTCCTCCCGGCCCCAAAGAAGTTGTCTAGGGAAGCCAAAGATCTCTCCAACCATGGCGAACGATCCGCTGCCGGTGATGACGCTGCGTCTTCAGTGCGGCAGAAGAAGCGTCCGCTAGAAAAACAGCGTGTCAGAGATGGATCTGCTGGACTGAGCTCGGCACCCACCTCTCCTCCTATCCATCTGCAACGAGAACAGAGCTCATCACACCGACGTCGCAACCATGGCAACCATGATTCTGGCTCCGACTCGGAGACTCCAAAACCAAGATCCCCGAAGCTGTCCAAGGAGAAGGGCACCCCCATTGAGCGTCATCTGTCCCATAAACGTAAAGCCCACAAGACGGAATCTGATGACGATGCCGATGCGCGCAAGATCCGCCGGCCACGGGTTTCGGAAACTGGTCTAGAAAGTAGATCCAAGGATTCCAAGTCTATGTCAAGTAAGCCGCACCTTGAGAGGCACTCAGCTTCACGCCCCCGGTCCATCTCCCCCCATGTTCGGGCACACCGCAGAAGTCTCTCGACACAGTTGCCAGATAAGTCGTATGCATCAGGACTTGGTTCCAAGAAGCGACGAATACCTGCCCCTCTGCAGTCGACCGATTACCATTCGGACGATTCTTCCGCCAGTGGTAGCCCTCACCCTCGTAGCTCGCGGCTCAAGAGCATTGTGACGCCTGGTACAGGTGATTCGACCATGTCGCCTGCCAAACTCGCACCCCACAAGAAGCACCTGGATGCACACGGTCAGACTCTCTTCGCAAAAGCGTGTGCAAAAGGTGAATACGATGTTGCAAAAACGCGACTTGCTGAACGACCAGAGGACTTGAACTTTGCAGACCACGCCGGAAACACTCCGCTCCAGGTTGCTTCTCTCAATGGTCATGAGGATGTTGTGGAGTTGCTCATAGGTGCTGGGTGCAATCTGGAGTGCAGAAATGATGTGAAAGATACCCCACTCCTCGATGCTGTTGAGAATGGTCATTTGGGAGTGGTTAAGCTTTTACTGGCCGCAGGAGTCAACCCTCGCAAAGCTAATGCAGAAGGCCAAGAACCCCTCGAAAAAGTTCCTGATGACCTGGACAATGCAGAGGAGATACGACAAGCTCTGATTGAGGCCAAACAGAAGGTGGGCGAATTACGCCGGACTTCGGAGGATCATGCACCACAGGACAATCAGGACACTTCATCTCATGGAGCCAATAGCCCTCGACGATCGCCGGAACCTTCACTCGGGGCAGTTTTGGCTGCATCCTCGAGACGAGGAGGTACCGTGCGGTCCACGAAAACCAGTAATCACTTGCTTTACATGAGTTTGGACGAGAAAACCCTGCGTCAAGCTGCAGCTCGCGGCGATCACGAGACTGTTACGCGCATTTTACAAGTCAAGGAAAGCTGCGACGATGCCGAGGCTTTGGTGGCAGCTGCCCGTGGAGGCCATAACTTTGTCATGGAGTTGCTGCTTGCCCTAGGTGGTGCCAATCCTGATCCGTCTCCTGTGGCATCCTTACCTGGAGAGCACAGTACGCCGATGCTGGCTGCTATTGGCCAGGAGAATATCAAGGTCGTCCAGCTATTGTTGGAGCAAAATGGCTTTGATCCGACACGTCGATTCAGAGGCGAGACGTACTACGAAATCGCAAGACGCCGCGAAGGGCCCATGTGGAAGGAAGAGGAGCATATGCTCAAAAATGCTTATGACGAGTACAAAAAGACTCACAAAGGACATTCAAAGAACAAAGTATCTCCCTCAAGGCGTGAAAGAGACCTTGCAGGTCAAGAAGCCAAGCGTGTCTCTCGTGCCGAGAATAATGCCGAAAAACCTCGCCCTCAGCACAAGCGGCGACCTTCGAGTCCGCCACGGGAGGGCGATGCCAAGAAAAAGGTCAATTCTGGAAAGACTGCCAGCAGTCCCAAGGAAAAGAAGCGTTCGCAATCTTTCAGCCAAAACGATGAACAGGTTTCTCCCAAGCGCGGTCGCCCAAAGAAAGAAGACAAAGTACCCACCATAGCCATCTCTGATCGCGAGGCGTCGCCGGCACTGTCAGCCAAAACGCATCCTGTAAAACCCAAGCGAAGCGAATCGGACATGGCGGGTTCGTCAGAGGGAGAGACTGCCAAGCCCAGGCGGAAATTGATCTCTGGCAAAGACCTGAAGGGCCAAAGAGACAAGCAACGCCGCTCCAGCATGGTTTCCAACCATTCGGCAAAGGACGCGACCGAAAGGCATGATTCTAAAATAGACGACTCAACTGAGAAGCCTCGAGCCGAGCGTATCTCAGAAAAGTACCACGACAGGACCAAGGCATTGAAGCGTGATGACTCAAGAGACAGGCTTTCTCCCAATGATCCCTCTGCGAAGAGGCTTCGCGCCAGTATGACGCCACCACGCCACGGCGCCGATGACAAGGATGAGAACGAGGCACCAGTTAAGCGAAGAAAACTGGATGCCGATGGTAAAGAGAATCGTGGTCTGAAGAATCCTCCAGCTGACGACCGGCCCCGGAAACGCGATTCGTCTGGAGAGCCCATCAAGCGCCAGAAGCTTGCAGATGGTGACCGCAAAGACGTGCTCAAGGCAAAGAAGCTCAACCGGGAACGAAAAGAGTCGGAGAAAGCTTCGTCGGAAAAGCCCGAGAGCACAACTGCTTCCGAGGATGTGGAAATGCGAGATGCCCCAGAAGTTCCCTCTGCAGAAGACCGTGAGGCGGCCTTGGACAAGGAACGGGCAGAGTCGAGGAAGCGCCAAGCAGAACTGGAAGCCGCTGAAGAAGAGGCACGCAAGAAGGCTGAAGCCATCAAGCAACGGGAGGCCGAGGAGAAACAGAAACGCGAGGCCGATGAGAAACGTCTCCAGGAGGAGGCTGAAAAGAAACGAGCTGAAGAGGAGGAGAAACGTCGCCTTGAAGAGGCAGAAAGGAAACGAAAAGAGGAGGCACAGGCCAAGCTCGAAGCAGAGCGGCAGAAGCGTGAAGAGGAGGCAAAGAAGGCTCGGGAAGAAGAGGAGCGCCTGCAAAAAGAGAAGGAGGACCAGCGGCGCCGCCAAGAGGAGGAGCGGGTTCGTCTCGAGAAGGAAGCTGCTGAGGAGGCACGCCGACTTCGTGAAGAGGAAGAACGGCGCGAGCGTGAGCGCAAAAGGGCAGCACGCGACGCTGAACTTTTGCGTCAACGGCAGGAGCAGGAGCGGGAGCAAGAGAAGCTTCGTCTTTCCAAGCTGCCACCCCTCCTCCGGTGGCTGGACGGATGCGCCGACCCGAAGCAACGGGAATATGCCCAGCTCTTTACAATTATGCAGGGTGTGCGCTACGACACTATCAACCCTCTCGCCACTGGTGCTCAAGGTCGGGAACAATGGCTGCTGAACACCCAGGTCGCACTTCTCCTTGGAGAGAAGGATCTGAGTCTCCAACGATGTGGGTTGTTCTCAAATCCTGTCAGAAATGTGTGGCTAACATAATTTTGTAGATACCGGCTGGGAACGAATTCCCGTGTCCAATATTGCGAAGCGTGTCATCTGGCGGCTGGAACAGGATCGATATGCCCTCACCGAGAGCAAGCTGTATCATCTGGGTGAACAACTGCCAGGCTATTACGGCGGCGATCCGAGCAAAGTGGGCTACCAACGTCTTGAGAAGCTGCGGCGTGATGCGTCAAAGCTTTTCTTTGACATGGACATGTTCTTCGTCAAGGTGTGTAATTTTTCCAAACGATACGCAAGTGACCTGCAATTTCTGACATGACAATAGGAGTCCGACCTGCTCTTTATCTTGCCCAGCATTCCCCATCTGCGCAACGTCAAGCTCTCTATTTGCTACCGTGAACTTCCAGAGCACGAGAACCAGCTCAACTTCTGGACTGCACCCGCCAAGTGGAAGTCTGATCCAGACGCAAACACCAGGGAGGGATTTGCGCCCCGCCAGAAGTATTACATCAATGGACGACTGGACGGCGAAGATCGGCCGGGGCATTACAACCCAAGCACCTCACCATTTCCCGATCAGCGAGTGCCTCGCAGAGGTGGACTGATCGCGGTTGGTCCTGAAGAGCCAGACTACCCACAATTATGCTTGGAGCAGGGGCTGGGACATTTGCTCTCAGAGCACCAGAAGCTCATGGCCATGAATGCAGCACACTTGACGCCGAGAAGCATGACATCCAACGATACTGCAGACGGCCCCAATGGAGACAACATGTCTCCATCAGCTGCATCTCCGACAACCCGAGTCAATGGCAACTATGAAAGAGGATCGCCAGAAGCACCTCTTGTAAATGGAACTAATGGCATAGCTCATTAGGCCTGCTGTTTTGAATATCCCATCCCCCAGTCACCCACCAGCACGCACTTTGCTGCTGCTCCTTGTATGATACGCTTCAAGCTCCATTTTCGGTCACCACCAAGCACGCGGATACCACATGAAAACGGCTTTTCTTTTAATTCTTATGATATGGGCCACGACATGACAGTACATAGTATTCATTACCGCATATACGTCTCTTAGCGCGCACGGATATACCCTCTCACAGGAGACGGGAGTGATGCTCTATGGAGAACCTTCGCTGAAGACGATGTGATTATTTGGAATCGGTTTAGACGCATATCCAGCGCGGTTTTGGCGCGCGCTGGACCTGGTGTTTGGTGTCGCGTGTTGTAGCTACTCTGTCACAGTTCAAGAGGATTGGGGCATGTCGAGAGGCAACGGGTCAAAGATACCACTGAATACCATCAATTGACATTGTGGATCAACTTGTTTCTCATATGACTTTTCTCTGTGAATTCAATGAATCACTAGGTGTTTGCCTACTAGACACCAGTTGAAGATGGAACCATGCTTGCTTGCTGTTACGCTAAATGATTGCGTAGGATGAATTGACATTGTGGAAAGCTGTGCAATTCTTACATCACGATACTTGGGCCTAGTTCAGGCAGTCAGTCCCTTGAGCATATGGGATATTATATCTGATAGTAGATGTCACATGGTCGTAGTTTCAACCAGTCAATTGGATGCTCTCCGAAATGATATAACAATAGACAGAAGCCAAACCGCCACGAATATGGCGCGTATTTCAAACAGCATTATTATCAAGTTTCTTTTCCTTCCAATACTCGTACTCGACAGTCTCACGGTAAACCCAAGTCTTACTCGCGACGGCCAAATAAAGGTCTGACCATGTCATTCGACGAAATGAAATAAAGAGGTGCTACCTGAAGTTGAGTACATGAAGTCCATGTCCACGTCCATAGGTGTCGAGTGTTGGTCTCAATGTATTGATGGAGGTGAATCATGATTCCTCGTCACGCTCAGGTCTACACTCTATAATATATTGTATTCCCTTGACTGGTGCAATATTCGCGATATTATGTTCAGTTCAATTCCCTTACTCTTGCCTTTCTGCTTATGATGCCATGCCCCACCTCTCTCCTACATGCATAAACAAAAGATGGTGTGAGAGGATACAGAAATATCTGCATAGTCACTGTAGAATCTATCAAAAACCTTCCATGCTCATGGCTCATAAAACTAATTCCATGGCAAGGGGCAGCTAATTACTACACAGCATGAGAGTTTGTCAAGTGAATAGACCGTTGAATTTGCCACATATAAAACAAGGAGGGAATGGTTTTGGCCACAGCTCTCGGCCAATTAATCACTGGACCAAGTCTATCATGACCATTATCATGTGGCAAGACTCATAACAAGGCAATCTCATCTCATTCTCTCGAAAATGTCTACTCATCTCTGGAAATATGCAAGCAGAGTTTTCACTCGAACCTCGGGATCTTCCATTCCAGGACAGGCAACAGACGTCATTTCACAAAAGGGAAAGCCTAGACCCCAAATCTTCCCGCCCAGAAAGAAATGATCGACAAGAACGTTGTTTTGGAAACAACCGCAACCCCCTCTGGTTCTTCTCATTCTCCCAGTCATGCCATATTTCCCACGTGGAGAGCTTGGTAGCCACGTTTCTGATATAAATCCGGGAGGGGAGGGGCGCAGTATGCGGCCGTGTCTGGAGGCCAGCTTTGCCGTTTTGACCCACCTCGATTATTAAATCGCCCGACAGAGACGGCAGAAAGAGAAGGAAAGGTTCTCATGGAAGAGATGAGGAGAGGGATTGGCAATACCGGATTCTCACGGTGCAAACACCTTGAACACGTCGGTGGACCTTGGGACGTGGTGATTTCGCCGTGGCCGATGGTAAGCGATTTTGAGACCAGGGACAAGAAGAGGACCGCGTTTGATGCCAATCCGTGTCTCTGAATCATCAATCTCAGAAGGCCCCAGAGTTCCAGAGACCACGTGGTGATCTTCGTCTAGGTAGGCATGGATGCTGCTTCTCGGTAACTGCTTTCGAGAGACGCACGCCACCACTGAAGGGGGAGTGTTTAAAGTAAATGCTGTTGGACTTGTTTCGAGTAAGTGATGCTCAAACCCCAGGGACCGTGGGGTACATACTATTTCGAAAAATACCTTTCCCGTGTGTCTTTGGTCATTTTGATTGTCTTTGTATTTGTAATTGGTCTCAGTATGAGTATGAGATGTCCACATTCTTTAATCCGACATTCGAGAGACTAATGATATACGTCATCAGAGCTCTGCCGGCTCAGTATAGAGTGTCGGTGTCCTCTTTGCAAGTCAACTTCATATATCTGATTCCATAGGAACGTTCTAGATCGAGGACGGCCCGTTAGCGTAAGCTTTATATTTATATACATGTATACATTCTTAGTAAGCCTTGGGGGTTAGCAACAATTTGGAGAAGGTTTAGAACCATGATTTGCAAGGCTGAATACAGTCTGAACCGTGCAGTAGCTCGGCCACATGGGATGAAGGTATCCTCCAATAGCCACTTCCTCCATCGATCCCTAGAGGATAGCAGGATCTTGGTGTTCATCGTCCTTGTTGGTATATAAACATGTGTGTTTCTATTGGCTTCGGTAACCCAACAGGAGCAACAACACGAAAGCATGAGCACGAAACTTGAAAGTCGTCAGCACATCTTTCGGGTGTCCATTCCCTCGAGTTGCTTAAGGGAAACAAGCAGGCCAGCCCTCCAAGCCGTGTCTCAGAAGGGAGACCGCGTGGCTGTCTGAGCTTAGTCCGGGACACCAGCCGCCGCCGCCGCTTCTGCCGTCCCGCCCGCCCGTTGTCTACGATGGGATGTCCCGGCGTGTGAAGGGAGGGGGCAACCCAGCGGCAGAGGGTCGCATCGCCCCGCGTTTCCGTCTTCTGCTTCGTCGGCGGGAGGGGGAGAAAAAACAAGCTAAAGTTTACTGGCATCTGTCTCAGGTAAGCGCTATCATATCTCATAATGCCCTGTTAACCCAATTCTTTTGCCGTGTGCCCGCCCATCTGCTCCTCCACAGTGCCCACGCAAGGCCGCTTTCCCTGTTGCTTCCGACCTGGCCTGCCACGCGATCAAGTCTCACAACAGGGGGAGTCTTGGACTGGGGCCCGGCTCGGACGCGGAATCCTTGCGGGCCGCGAATATTATAGTAGATGGGGGAGTCTCTCCACACGCATATATCTTTTATTTTACGGTCGCGGCCGGTCTTTTTTTTCTGGGCGGCAGAGATCTTTCTGGGGGTTTCCCTTTCCCCGGTGATGTCTTGTTTTGAGCCATGCAAAGGATCTTTGCTTTCCCCTCTGGAGTTTTGGTTTTGGTTTTGTTTTTTTTTTATTCCCCGAAGGAAGAGAAAGAAAGAAAGCAATAAAGGGAAAAGTCTCCGACAAGTACTAATGTGTAAAATCTAGCCGTAATGCAAGAGGGGAAGAAAACGTGGGGGCCTTCATTGGAAAGAATTACCCGACGTGGCTTCAGCTGCGGTGAATGGGATTCAAAAAGCGAAAGCATAAACTTACTTTTTCCTTTCGTCTTGTCTTGCCGTACTGCCCATTTTCTTCACCTTTGAAAATATGACAAGTTTTCGTACTTTTTACATAAACGTCGTGCAAGAAGAAAAAGACACAGTTGCAAGGGAGATGCTCTTGTGTGTGTACATTGACGTATCTTCCTCTTGGCTGCGAATGGAACATCGTGAAAGGTCGATTGTTTGCTTTGTTTGACCTGATATGCTTTCCCCCCGGTTGAGCAGTAGGTGGAAAACAGGAGGCCCGATTGCATACGGCAGTTGCTTAGCGCTTGCTCCGGAACCTCATCAGCATCCTCCGCGGATCGACATGTGCAGAGCCGGCGCGTTAGCGTCTGGTCAGGCCGCCGTCCCCTTTTTGTTTGTTCAGTACATATGTACGAATACGCAAGATGAAAACCGACAGGTGGATACAAACCATGTCGAAGGCTGAAAGGAGCATGGCTAGCGGATGCCATCATGCAGGTATTGACTGATCATGATATGAGTGGAGTGAGATTTCGTAGAGATACAGCGCCAAGCGGTAGACACGGCTATTGATCGCAATTCTCTCAGATACGATGGGTCGACATGGTCGTTGCAGTTCGCGCGTGTTGTTTATTGGCCATGTATGCCTCTTGGCATGCTGCTGAAGCATCTCATTGACACGATAATTCAAGCGAGAGTGTTCGTAGTCGGGGGAACTCCAGTGAAGGGATATTCCTCGCCATTGACCAGATCTCATCTATTGCAAATAATTTCTTCCTTGTCCAGCTTATCATGACGCCTGCCCTTGGATTTTCTGAGAGCCAGGTCGTGGTGCTTTTCTTGTCGCCAGCGGTGGCGTCTCTGGACGGCTGACGGTTGAAATTACTACGAGTCAAAGAAGCTAGCTTGAAAGGATGGTGGTAAATACAACAGAAGTCTAGAATTGGATAAGCATGATATAGAACAATATGATCGTAAAAATAACCAGAGAGACGATTTTATTCAGAGTTGAACCTCGACAGTCTGGCGACTCAATGCTAACATAAGGTGAGTCGGGGCGGCCGACCGGCAAAACCTCGGCTGGCACCTGCCAAACCGCGGGGCTTGACATCATTCCTCAGGAATTTTTGAACATTTTGCCCCGCCAATGGGCAGTCGCGCGACAACTAACCCGCCCTTTCACCATATCGTAGCAATCAGAGTCGGCGTTTGGGTTGACTTTTAATCCAAAAGAAAGGATACAGCAAGTCATCAACATATACGAACAAGACTTTCATCACTGCCTGCTGTAGCAGCAACACCGTCAAGATGGCGACGACAGTGGACAAGGTAGGTGCCCGAATGAGGCAGACAGACAGACACAACACCCCTGCCAAATGTCTGCTCGGAGCTGGGCTGTCGAATGCTAACACGTTACAATAGATCAAGGATATTGAGGCCGAAGTGAGTTTCCTTTGATCCCGCGGCCTTGGCTTTGGCTCTAGGACGGGGACCGAGCTGGTGACGTGGTTCGGGATGCAGTACTAAACCTCGAACAGATGGCCAAAACTCAAAAGAACAAGGCTACGTCCTTTCATTTGGGTCAACTCAAAGCCAAGCTCGCAAAGTTGAAGCGAGAACTGCTCACTGGGCCTTCGGGTGGTGGTGGTGGCGGCGGCGCTGGTTTCGACGTTGCCAGAACGGGTGTTGCTAGTATTGGTTTCATTGGTTTCCCATCAGTGGGAAAGAGTACCCTCATGAGCAGGTTGACTGGCCAACATTCCGAGGCCGCCGCCTATGAATTCACAACCCTGACGTCGGTGCCTGGTCAAGTCACATACAATGGTATGGTTGAAACTGCTTTGAACCCAACATGAGCCTGTCAGCCCTCTCCGGCTGCAGCCTGTAGGTTACTGCCAATAGAGAGCCATGCCTAACAGCTAGTATAGGTGCCCCGCTGCAGATGATTGATCTTCCGGGTATCATTGAGGGTGCCAAGGATGGTCGAGGTCGAGGTCGGCAAGTCATTGCTGTAGCCAAGACATGCCATCTCATCTTCATCGTCCTCGATGTCAACAAGCCACTGTCGGACAAGCGAGTAATTGAGACCGAGTTGGAAGGTTTTGGTATTCGGATCAATAAGGGGCCCCCAAACATAACCTTCAAGAAGAAGGACAAGGGCGGTCTCAACATTTCCAGCACCGTGCCCCTCACACACATTGACAATGACGAGATCAGAGCCGTCATGAACGAGTACCGTATCAACTCTGCCGATATCGCCATTCGGTGCGACGCCACCGTCGATGATCTGATTGATGTATTGGAAGCCCGGAGTCGCAGCTACATTCCCGTCATCTATGTCCTCAACAAGATTGACGCAATCAGCATTGAGGAACTCGACCTGCTTTACAGAATCCCCAACGCTGTTCCCATCAGCTCCGAGCACGGCTGGAACATTGATGAGTTGATGGAAGCCATGTACGTTGCCAACTAGTTCCACGGTTGGGCCATTTACCCACGAGTAACGGCTCTCTGGGAGATCTTGTGATACACGTGTTTTTGCTAACCTGTTTGCTTGTCACAGGTGGGATAAGCTCAAATTGGTTCGCGTGTACACCAAGCCTAAGGGAAAGATGCCGGACTATTCGGCACCTGTCGTGCTACGTTCCAACAGGTGTACCGTCGAAGATTTTGTGAGTGGGCCTGTGCTCGAATACCTGAAGAAGCAATCATGGTACCCGTTCAACTTTACTGACCGCTTTGCGCCTTTTCCCACAGTGTAACGCAATCCACCGAACCATTGTCGAACAATTCAAGACGGCCATTGTTTATGGCAAGTCTGTAAAGCACCAGCCGCAACGAGTTGGTCTGAACCACGAGTTGGCTGATGAAGATATTGGTGCGTACCTTTGTGTTATCCCCCCAATGCCCCGGTTCGATACTTGAAAACTCGGCTACTCATGTTTGGTCACATTCAAACTAATATTTTACTGTTCGATAGTCACAATTGTCAAGAAATGATCGTCCTATAAATTCAAAGTATTGCAGGGAATGCAATACTTGTGCAACTTTTTTTTTTCTTTCCTGCGGAAAAAGCCATGGGAACCATCAGGCGAGCCTTTGCTTTGTCCCTGTTTAGGTGGTACGAATATGTCTTCGAGGTTGCAGGCCACATCCGAGAGTAGTAAGAGAAAGTGCCAGGGAAAACCAAGAGCAGTCAAAAATGTCGGGAGAAAAGAAGAGAAAAAGAAATGAATGATCCTCGCGGCGGGAGAGACAAGAAGGTCCATGGTGCGGATGAAGATGGCAATTTTTTTTTTTCATTTGCCTTCCTTCATATGGACAAGGCTGTCGGGGGACTGCATTATCAGGGGGATGGATAGTACCGGTTTCTGTTGCTTTCCGCATGGGACGGAACCCACCTCCAAGCCCCCCCCCCCCAGCGACAACGATGACGGTTCGAGTTTGAACACCAATGCCGCAGCCGACTCGGAGTTTTTGAGAGTGGGAGGGGAATAGCGCGCGGATGGACTCGAGAGACGTTGGGACTAAAAGCGAGAATAGTGCATTTTTCTTTTTTTTTTTTGCTTTTCCTGGTCTACCGTACCGGCAACGCCCCATCTGGGATGGATGGGAAAGAAAAGGGTCAAGGCGCAAATGGCAATAGGGAAACCGAGAAATCAATTGGGTATGCATGAAAAAAGATGTACAAAAGATACCAACTCCGAGATTCGTGAACATCTACCGTAACCTGTAACGTGCTGCTTGAGAACCCCTCGTTCGATCTTGCTTTTCTCTTTTCCCTCTTTCTCCCTTCTTACTATATACCCACCCCATAATCAATGCAGACCCTATATCCTTGAACCAAAGTCAAAAATTCCCAAACAAGACCCAAAGGAATCGTAAACTTAATTGTCCACAATTAGAGCCAAGGGACCTTTTTATTCCCTGCACCTATATTATAATGACTGTTGCATGATTCATGAGTTTTTTTTTTTTTTTTTTTTAAATCAATTTTCTTCTTTGGTCAATTGATAATTCCTCTGCAAGAAGTATCATTTCTCGAACATTCAGGACAAAAAGTACGAAATCGAAAAGGACTTGCATTTACATCTACACTCACCCTGCATATACATACATAGATACGATACATTACCCGCTTAATGCATCATGGACTTGATTTTTTTTTTTGGATGAATACTTGTTTCTTTTTGCACCTCTTTCCCCCCTCTCTTTCACAAGCCTTGCCTGCTTAACCCCGGTGATGAACTGAAACAGGACCATTTTCTTTCCATGTTTCCAACTTTTTTTTTTCTTGCCGTTTCTCCCGGTTGGAGTCATTTTTTTTTCTTTAGCTCTATGAATGATCAATTGCGACTACACCATGGTAGGATACCATGAAGAAAGTGATATCGAATGACAAAAAGGAATCGAACTAAATGAGCACCCGCACTTGTGAGGGTTGCGCTGCTGCGGGTGTGGTGTGGGGGAAAAGAGGAAGAATAAGCAAGCCAGGGAAAACATACGACGTACAGTCTTTGCATGGACAAGACGACAAAGATTGAGCAACACATTACAACATACCAAGTATTAGATATTTAGATTTCCAATAAGTCTTGTGAGTAGAAAGAAAGCCGAGAAGAGAAAGAAGGAGGGAATAAAAAAGGAAACCAACCCCAATTTCAAACAACCCCCCCAACACCCTCTTGGGTAAAATGCGCATATCATCCACGCAACCCTACTGCAATCATGTGCATTTGCATAACCGAGAGGGGGGGCCTCTCGTCATGCGGCCGTCGAATCCGACACTCGGGCGTGGGATGGAGGAGAATCCTGGGGAGCACGCACGCACGCATACATCATACATAGAGAGCTACTACTTACTGATAAAGTACCTACCTATATTGCTTGGTCAAATGAAAAGCAGCGTCATTGCGAATCGGCTCAACAGTCAGGTGCGAGACTGCAAGACAAGACCAAACAAGGCCAGGTATAATAATAAAAAGCATTGATGAATCAAGTATCAAAAGCATCGGAAAATAAATAAATGCAATCTAGACTCGCCCACTTTTTTTTGACAGGTAATGCCGTTGAGAAAGAGGGAGAGCGCACTTACATATACACTTTCACCAAGGTAGTTAGTACTTCCCCCCATTCGTTACCTTTCCTGCGCATGTCTTGTCATTGGGTCAGTGTAATGCGAGTCCACAGGTAAGGCACCAACCTCTATAATCCGTATGGTTGTTTGGTTATGCTTTTGGTTTCCGGCAGCATGTTTGTTGAATGTTATGGCGCTTATTGCCCAAACCAAATAGTGTTGGTCGTGCCCATCTTTTCCATGATCGGGGTATTGACTGTACTCTGTAATCAGACCCATCGCATTCCCGGCGAGTATGCCATAGTTGTGAGTCAAGCTCGTTTCCGTCTTCACTTTGGAGCGTGCATTATGGTGCACTTCTTTTTCTCGTTCGCAGGTTTGGTTTCTCTGCTTCCTCGAGATGTCGACATGTTCGGCAAATGTGTCTGTAAATTTGGCCATGGGTACTCTGTAGATTGCTTTGTATGTTTGCAAATTAAGCAATGCTACTTGTAACCAAAGGGGAGGGGAGAGAAGAAGAAAAAAATCGGGGTGCATGTCCGACCTTTCAGAGGACGTCGCTTGCCGCCGATACGCCGATGACGGCCCACAGTATGCATGTGAGCTCTTCTCACCTCTCGGCTCTCAACTGTGCCTCGCGATCTTGCGTGTTAGGATGGATAGAAACAGCACGGCGACCACACGGCTGACGTCTGCTAGTCGTTGCTTTTTCTCTTCTTATTTTGTCTTGCGCTTCTTCTTGGTCCGTTACCGTCTGTCGTCTGTTCGACTGGCACTGAACCAGCACCGCAGTAGTAATAACTTGTGTATGCATGTGCCTCGTGCAAAGATCGGCGCCCATGCCATTGCGCTGATTCGTATCGACTCCTACCTAACAATCGTCGCAAGTACCCATAAGAAAAGTTCAGCTAGGATGAACCCTGCTTAGAGCGCGGGAAGATTGACGATAGTGCGATATGCCACGGGTAGCTTAGCGTGCGTACATCCATAGCGTGCGAGCATTGGCAGGGTGCGGGTGGCCCACGGACGTCAACACTTCGATCAATGGATGGATGGATGGGTGCGCTGCGCTGCGCTACGCATACTGTGTCTCTTGTTCGAGGACCGAATGGCTACCACGTATGACCTGCTGTCACCCCGGACAGCGGCGACATGACAGAGGATCGCTGTCCGTCCGATGCAGAAGGAATCGCCAAGCGTCCCCTTCTAGCCGTGCGTGCTTGCAGGTCCAGCCCTTGCATTGGTAATTGATTGTGTCTGGCATGGAAATGAATAAAGAATTTTGTGTCCACCGCCGAAAGAAACCCGGGGTTTGTCTGCAGATGGGGCACAGACATAACATGGCAATGGCATGTATGTACTGTATGTAGCATGACCTCTGAGCTGCCATCTCTACACAGTACAGGATCAATTTGCCGTTGGTAAGGACCCTGGTACATGTTTGCCTGTTCCGCGCGAGTCGCTACTGTGTGCGTGTGTGTGTGTGTGTACTACTCTGTACACAGCAGTGTACGAAAGGCTTAGAATTCAGACCTTAGCTAGTCTGTTCTACCCTTGACCATAACCACCCCCCTGATCCGGAGTCGGTCGCCGAAGGGATTTGCTGAGGACGAGATGGGGAACGGGTATTCCCTCGAAGCTTTGGCCATGATATGGCCCGTCAGGACGAGGTCTAGGACCAGGGAGAGAAGGGGAAAAATATCGAGCTACATGTTCGATGTAAACCAAATTTTCTTCTTCTTCCTCCTTCTCCTTAACAACCCCCGCTTCGGCTGATCGAATTGGCAGAAGTCATTGCAAATTTTACTGGTTTTCCGTTCATTCTGTGCGCCCCTGGTATGGCCTTGCGAGGCCAGTATCAAAGGCCGCTAAGGATGCGACTCTGAACCTGGTGATGCCCAACAGGATTGGGACTTCGGTAAGGGCACGGCTTACTATCTGCGGAAGTTGGGATGGTATGATATATCCCGGCTCGAGTACCAAATATCGGAAACATGCATCTGCAAAGCGCACGAATCCGCATATTGTGGCAGACTATAGCTTTATTCAAGAGCTCCGAGCCGTTCCTAGAGATGGGCAAAGACTCTGCATGATAGGTACTGTATGTTCTCACAAGCTCAAAAAGAAAAGGGCTCGCATAATGCGGGAGGGAGAGCCTGCAATGCGCAAGCCTCGTTGCCTTTGGGTGGCCCTTGGTTGAGAATTGTTGGTGTTACTGCATGCTAAACTCAAACTGTCTCGATAACTCTGGGGCATGGGTAAGCCTCGCTCGGGCTGTCGAATGACCTGACGTGAACTATCAGGGATCGTTGAAAGCCGACCAACAGGATTGCAGTCCGGCGGTCCATATGGGCCTCTGCTACCTTGTGCTCCAATGATCAGTGATCAAGTTCTTGAATTGAGCCTGCAGTCCGTCCGGCCAAATGGCCTGCCCATTGATACTCTCTCCGTGTGTTGTTGGTTGGATCTGACGTGGGCTTGACGAGATAGCCTACCTAAGCGTTACTACTACGAAGACGTAGTTGGCACAATTCTCTGAACGTCACGCCGTTGGTTCGGTGGCGCTGTTGAAGAAATAAGTAAAACGAAAATACAACCATGAGACCTTGGGTCCTCTGTGTTGGTGGTTCAGCCAACAGGTTGGCCATGGACCAGCCCTTCCCTTGGCATTAAGCAGAAAATGTCGAATGCAAGTTCGTCATGTTGGTGTGAGGCATGTAAAGCAGCAGGGATCCAAAGAGTTGTAACTTTGGTTGGTAGTTGTATTGATTCGAAGAGTTTTCTGCCACGCGTGGATGGGCGAAGATCTGGTGCTTGATCAATACTATTGCCAAGCAGATCATCAATACATAGATGCATGAGGATATGACAAGAAGGTTGAGGGGCAAAAAGCATCATGTTGAACGGTGTCAACCAGCATCTGTATCAAGCTTGCTTCTACCTCCTAGTCGAATAATTGGTTGTTTGCAGAGTTGCAGACAGAATTATGGTGACTGATATCTTTGAAAGTCTGCAGGCGAGTGGCCCACCATACTTAGTATGTTGCCTGTGGGGATATAATATATGTCATCGAATGGTAACATCGTCAAGGAAACTTTGGGATGCTGTCAAAGATATTGGCAGTAATGTAAGTAATACAATTCAGCATCTTTAGCCGTTGTGAGAGCAGCATTGTTATTTTCGGAGCAAAGCCTTGCTCAACGAAAGGCACGAGCGCCGCCGCCCCGAGGACCCTGTTGCGTGGGATTGACTATCACGAGTGCCGTAAACTCGCCACCAGGAACGAGTTCCGGCAGTGCGGAGCTCACTGCATTCCTTTACTTGAAGAGGTATAGGCAATTGACGGCTCATAAGTATTGACTTGCAAAAAACACATAGCCCGAGCTGAAATACTTGCAAGCCGTGCTGTTGGAGCCATCTTAGCCTAGGGAAATTTCATTACCCAGGTAGTGTAGAATTGGCGACTATTGTGGAGATTGTTCAATTGCAGATCGAGGCAGAATGGGTGAAGACTTGCAAAGCCTGACTCGCTTTCCTCGTATCCTGGCAACCTGGTCGGCCGCCGTGGGTTTACGTGAGGCGCCACTGTTTGAATGTAGAGTAGCTGGCTGCCGTTATCAAGGCACGTGGGATAAGATTGAATGGCTGAGGATTAGAAGGATGATTCCCGAGTGTTAGTTCGCTCTAGACTGTACCAACGGCCATTCACCACAACCGTCCCGGAATTTGAGTGGTCTTGGACGAGGATATGTGGTTTGAGCCTGAGACCTATGGTCGTAAGTAGACAGGTAGTGGATTACTGGGCGCTAAAACCAGACGATGTTATTGATGCTTCCACAAGCTTGGTCGATGACCAACACGGCTTGGTAGGAGGGAGTAGCGGGTGCGGCATGGTGAAGATTTGTAGCGATGTCAGTATCACCCGCTCATGAAGACGATCTGATGACCAACTGGGTCTGATGCTGAGCCATTTCTGATGAGTTGGAGCCTTCGGGCATTTGGCTTGTCAAAGATGATCGAATAGAAATGCAGGGCCTTGATATTGACGGTCGCGAGGGACGAAAATGGGGCCGAGTAGTGAATCTGGCGGCCCTATGAAAATCTCCACGGGATAAGTCGACAGGGACAAGGCCCAGGATTGCCCTTGTCAGACTACTGGCCCACCTCTTGGCCAGTGGAGATGTCATAGAAGGCCAGGCGGCAGGCCGGGCAGGTTGGCAGTCAGGATCAGTAAGTAGTATTGCCCAAACCAAGCTCATTTGGGGTCTATAGAAATACCTCATCAGCATTGAGATCAACTGTATCAACAGCAATGGGCGTTGGTTGGTTCCGCACGTCTGTGTCTAATACTGGCATCGAATAATACCACAGTGCCAGACGATGAGGGGGGAGTGGTTGAGGGAGAGCGCACCCAACATTGGGGGACGATGCGATAGCATTGTGGACGCTTGGACGGCTGATCTACCGGCGGTCGATCCGCCGAATCTATCGAGTCGAGTCCAGCTGATGAATTTACAGGCTCGTCAGCAGTCGGTGGGCGACCATTCATCGTGAGGCATCAGCAAACTGCACTGCGTTTCGCTCGCTTGTGCGCCGGTGGGGTAAAGGTAAACAGTTAGTGAGCGGGTCTGACCAAAAGGCAAGGTCAGGAAGGCACTCGATATGGTATTCCGCACCCAATGTATTCCGTACCTACAGTGCCTGCCTGCGACTATCATTGCTTGTCCATCATCGGACAATTAATGCTCATGTCGTATCAATAATGGAGGGACGGGCGAGACATGAACCAGCGGACTTGAGGATGCGACATTACGGTTAAGTTGTAGGTAGTTTAGGTATGTAAAGTCTTCTTAATTTGTCAGACCCCCGGCCACTGTATTCGTTGCGAAATTGAATTTAATGGGGCTTGGCCTTGGGCCTTGGGAGTCGTTTCAATCATTGTTGCTTTTTTGTCAATTGTCGGGGTTGCTCCTTTCCTTTCCCTCAAGTTGGGGTCTCGAGGAAGTCGTCGGCATCCCTCGTACGTACCTACCTTACCTAGCCTCAACTACTTCCCTCCCTGCCTGCCTGCCTTACTTATTTACCATGTAACTACCTCCTTATGTACCTTGTCAACCTGCATAAACCTGCATTGGACATACTTACTACTGACTATTTTTTTTCTATTTTTTTTTCATGCCTACATCCTTGGTCCACGCCAACCTAACCTCGGGCCCCAATACACACAATTACTGCTGGGTTACTGGCATATTTTCCGTGGCTCCCTTGTCGTAGGATGGTGCCTTGCGTTGTCGAGTTCATGGACAGGTCAAGTAGCTATGTAATAAGACATTGAAGACTGTCAGGTATGCAGGCAGTCGGGTATAACGCAGGTGGGTAATGTAGGTCATTGTGGGCACTCCCGAGCTCCCTCCAATCCAGTCAGTCCCATCTATCGGGTATGCAGAGAGAGAGCTATGGACTCACCTACATACCTACTTAGCAGCGAAACCTCACATGCTCTAAAATAAAGCTTTCAGTCACGCTTTCTTTCATTATTATTACCATTATGGTCTGCCAAGGTATAATAAGAACATTTTGGAACCTTACCGCTACCGGCTCTTGAACTTGCCTTCTTTGGTTTTCCGGGCCCTGCTCTGAACCGCACTAGGTTAGTTGCCATTAGTATTTAGCAGCAGTCAACTAATAACTAGACCTCGGGAGCTGCCTTCATCCGCCGCTTGTTAGTCGCTCTCATCACATTGCTGAAGTCCAACAAGGGACATGATCGGCTCCGCTAGAGCGTCTGCCCATTCAGCCATCGTGACGATCTTCAACGACGGCTTCAAGAGGACGAATCTGGCTAGGTACACAGTAGAGAGGAGCAGCATATCTGTGCCGCACACAACGCTTGTAAGTCAGTATCGTTGTCAGCACTGTGTCACGAGGTGTGTTGCTAGACCTTTCTGCAACGCATTAGTCATGACGGAAATAGTTCTTGTGCTCGAGACCTGATCAAGTACGTATGTACCTCTTTTCCCTACTACCCTCCCTATCCTTCAGTCAGATTGCATACCCTAGATGCGAAATCCTCATATCATGCTATCAAGCCGTTCAACGGCCTCGCTTTTTGTTGCTCTTGTCACCGGGTCCCAAGGCCTCTAGATGCCCAATCGTTTACATGGTATCGCATCTTTTGTAGCGCAATCCCAGTCGGATTTTAAATAGGTATGGTCGCTTATACTTTGCGGCAGACGGAATAAGTAGTAGCAGCAGTAGCAGTAGCAGCATTATTATTTTCACTACTTTCCGGGGTGTCTATGTATGGGTGCGTTACTTCGCTCTACACACTCTTCTCTGATACTCCTACTGTGCGTTCTTCTCTCTCATCAATTTTCCCCCCCCATTGGAAGCACGCACACATCTTTTTCTTCCCTGTCTCTGCCGCATCCACGCGCACACTATGCTCTTGCTCAAAAGAGCTAGTTCATGGTGGTAGTATTCCATAACAACGAGAACTCGTTTTTCTTCCCCTTCGATACCCCCGTCTCGAGTGACCCCTCGTCTGGTCTGCCCAGCCAGCCCCAGGGAACGCTCCGCCCGTTGTCCACACACACACACACATTGAGCTCCGTCTCTTGGTTGTACCTTATTTCATCCGTTCTCCTCTTCTATAGGCCCTCGCAAGGTTGTTTCTGGTCCTGTCATACCATGCCCTACTACTGCTACTCACTACCTCACCTGCTCTTGGTCCCCGTTCACACACACACGCCCCCCCTCCATCTCACCCATATTCTGGGCCTGGGCCCAGAATCCACTCGACCAAGAACCTGGTCGGTGCATACAAACGCATAGGAGCTCACATATGTATCAATCTACAGCCCTCTTTCACTTCTGCATTTGGGCCTGCTTCTGTCGTGCGTCGAGTACTACTCTACTGTCTGAACAAGACCCGACCGTCAGACTGCATTGCGGCGTCAACCTCTTGCAGCAGATCGACTCTCTCGTTGGTGAAGACTGCTTTTTCCTTCTTCACTTCCCTGCAGCTTGTTTGCTGCTACTACACCGTCTGGTCCTCCCCTCGGTCTGTCTGTCTGTCGGTCGTTACCTCTTGTGCCAGCGCCAGGACAGAAAGAGGAAAAAGAGAGCAACGAGCTGTACCATACCTCACTGCCCATCCTTCCACTCCGAGGCCAGGTGCATACAAGCGCCAATACAGACCAGTCCCGATTCAGTCGCTCACACCATCCCAACAGCCAGAGCAGGCATCTTATAGTTGGAGGTCTTTCGCTACAACACCCACTGACTGACTATAAGTGTCTGTTGGTACCGGGTTTCAACCTCGTTCTCGGCTGTTTTTCCCGTGCCTGAGTACATATATACTCGACTATCTACTGGAGGCGACCCTCTGCGCTTCTCCGCCATCCTCCTTTAGGAGCCTTGCCCAACCAATCCTCCAGCGCCGCTGCAGCTTCCAACCGTTATGCGAGGGATCTGACCTACACACACAGTCCACCTCATTGCCCCCTGGGAGCCCCAATTGGCTGGTTGGGTATGCATGTGGTTTCCCGTCCGTAGAGGCCATACCACAAAATTCAGATCCGGCAGATCTCCACCGACTACGAGCCCCAATTTCTCACAAGGTGTGAATGGACGCGAGTGCATACATACATAGATACACTGGGCCTACGGCAGATCTCAGAGACTACGTCGCGATCTCTCCTCCATGCAGCCAGCGCGCGGACTGATACCGTCTGAACCTCTTTCATCATAAGAGGTTGCGCTGTGGAGGCGACATGCACAACATGATCAGCTCCAGCTCGTCCGGTATGGACCAGGATAGCCATCTTGCTATGGACAGCTCATATTCCAATGACCATTGGAACAGTATGAATCCGTATAGTCAGATCTCTATCTCGCCTTCCGGAGGGGAATACTACATGCCGTCAAACTATCATGGACTGCCGTCCGAGTCGATCAACTCTAGTCATATGGCACCGCCGCCCATTCCGCACCAACTACAACCATCGCACCATCAACAACAACACCACCAGGGGGGACACTACACCAACCAATTGCCTCATCAGTTGTTGATTCATCCCCAAAACACCACGTCGCAAGTGAGTTGGCCAAGTCTGCGCACAAACCCGAGTCAGAGTTACGGGAATGCACCGATACGGATTCCACCACGAGCAACGCCTCCCCTCAAACAGCAGCCCAAGCTGCCGTCTCTCACCACGTCAACTCCGCGGAAAACTCTGACCAATGAAGATCGCCGACGAATGTGCCAGTATGCCGAGGACCACCCCAATGTCAAGCAAACGGAGATCGGACTCAAATTTGGTGTAGAGAGAAGGTGGGTGGCTTGTTCATCTGTCAGGTCGATTGCTAATGTCTTTGCTACAGTACAGTATCAAAGGTCCTACGGAAGAAGGACCAATATCTCAACCAGGATGACCGAGCCGGCTCTCCAGTGAAAAAGCCAAACAAGGGGAAAAATGCTGGTGAGCTAGAGCGAACGCTCTTGAACTGGGCAAGGAATCAACTGAGAAAGGGGATTCTGGTCAGCGACGAGGAGCTCGAGAAGCAGGCCAAGGCATTCTTTGCAGTAACAGGTAGTTCCGATGATCCAGCCAAGATGATCAACAAGAATTGGCTCGAGAAATTCAAGCAAAAGAACGGCCTGGGACGCGGGAAGCAGATTCGCAGGGCATCAGAAACTGCGATACCGGACGATGCCAAACTCTCTACAGAGTCACCGATCATTTCAGCCTCGCAGACACCAGGAGGTATTTCACCAGTGTCACCCATCGAGTCAGGAACACCACCAGTTGTGTCAGCCACGCCGAGCAACGAGGGATTGGAGCCAGCCACGGGGTTCTCTGGATTCGAGAGCACTCAGTATAAGCATTCACAAAACGCTGCAACTCTTGATAGTGCCATTGCTGATCCTGCCTCCGGTTCGTTCTCCGCCGGGGCTTTCAGTCCGAACTCCCAGTTCACGTTCTCTCCGGATCCAAACAGTGGACTATTCGACCCACAGCGTTTGCCATTGGAGGCTGATGCCTTTCACCGACCGAGAAGCCAGACCTTTCCGACTTTAGACATCGAATTTGTCCAACAGCAGTCGTCCGAGCCTCCTACCCCAAAGTACAGCGCCTCCGCGACTGCTCCTTCATCTGCTCTGGATTCGCCAGCCCACGAGATTCCCACGCAACCATTTGGAGTTGACTCAACTATTTCTCCTATACTACACCACAGCCGGAGTAGTAGTAGCCTAGGTGGGAGATCAATACATACTCCTATTCTACCAAGCGCGGCGGTGTCATCACCAAGTTCTCCCACACAAGAAGATGCGCGACGAGCCGCAGATACTCTCCTCAACTTCATGCAAGGGCACGGGTTAACGAACAGCGATGAGTTTGCGACAATCATGCGGTTGACGGAGAAGTTAAGAATACACCAGCAACAACACCAAACCTTCAAGCCCTTGTTGCCAGCCGGAATGATGGGGGGACTAACCAGGATACCCGAGGGCGACGCAGAGATGTCGAATAATGCGGCACACATGGTGAAGGATGAAGCAATGATGACCGGCTAAGGTCATGCCGAAAAGCGACATTAGTCAGTCATCATTGACTGGATTCCAAGCCGGACTCGGCTCGTCCCTTGGAAAAGAGCCTCTACCTACGCACAAATTGCACATATCATCAAAGACCTGTATTCAGAGCCAAACATGCCATGCAAAACCGACCGATTACAGAACCGAAATTCGTCCCACGACGACAATAAAAACAACCGCCCACGCGGAATTGGAACAGCCGGAAAAAGTCGACGGTCTGAAACAGCCATCGCCGTCGTTTTCTTTCTATATCATCGTCTTTGACTTTCCAAGACCTGTCCACGCTCACGCGTCTGTTTGGACATTTTCAAATCATTTCTCTCTCAATTTCTAATATCAGTATATACAAATTACATCGATCACTCGATTTGTAACCTGGCTATCTATCTGCTTGCCTCTTTTTCTTTTCTCTTTTTGAATTTCAGGATACTGGACAGGTAAGATAGTCTCTCTGGGGAACAACAGGCATTTCAGAAGATGATGGCTGCTTCACGGCACTACTGGGACACCAATGTTTGTTTTGTTGATTTTTTGAACTTCCCTTGGTAGGCATGTGGGTTTTGAGTCGATATGTTTGTCAATCATTGTGGATCTCTTTTGGCTTGTCTTGAGATGATTTGGGGGTTATATTGGAGATGGCATGTCCAAGAGGGAAAAACGCTTGTGAACTGATGCGTGAGAGGCCCGGCTTCGTGCCCAGCTCTCAAATCGGATGTTTCTGATGTTTTCAGCTCAGCATTCACAGGCTCGTAAACGAATGAAAAGTCTAACAAGAGAATTAACAGAGGTACTGCCTCTTGATGTTGTATAATCTATGTTCTTATTTTGCTGCCAGGCACGTGTACACTGATTTTTCACTCCCCCGACAATGATCATGCGGGGGAGAATTGAGGATGAACCAGGAAATCGTGGTACACCTCAAATTTTCCTAACCTACAAAGGAGCCTTGGTTTTTCTTTTTCTTCTTTTTTCCCAAAACATACTCGTTTCTACCGATATAGCACAGAAGAGGGTTGACGTACTTCATGTGTCAAGATGGGGATCACTCACGGCTAGAAACCAATAGGCGACGAACTACACGCTCGCATCAAAAAGTCTCATCTATTTGGGGAACCCCCCTCCTTCTCTCCCTCTCTTGCTTGGGAAGAATCGGATGAGATTTGGGCCATACGAAAGAGGCCAGATAGCAACCATTATCATTAACCGAAATGCAGCTTGGGGGTGATCCGAACGTTCCCCGGTTGGTTGGAAAGAAAAGAAAAAAGTGTTTCCCAACAGCAAACAAGACACCTTTGAGCGGGCATCAATGAAGTCATGATCGTATTTCGCATAATCCGTATTCCCTATTCGCGCACCCTTTGTCGCAAGGCACCAAAATGTAAAACCCAAAACAGAAAACCAAGAAAAGTGATAGATCATCTGTCAAAGATTTTACTTCCCGAATCCTCTAGACGGTCTAGATTCTTTGTTGCCAAAGAATAGTTCAGCCCTGCGCCAGCCAGGTACACTAGGGAAAAATAAAAATAAAAACAAAATACGTACTTCGTACGTAAAACATGATTCTTAACCGACGACTGCCCAACCAACGGGGGCCGCTTTTAGTTCATGGAGTAAGGCACACACCCATACTTGGCTTTTGAGTCAAACATAGTATAGCGGGCAAGAAGATAATTCACCTTTTCTTGTCAAGGGTATCAACTTCTAAAGAAAATACTTTCAGGTAGGTATTCATGGGAAAGTGGAGAGAGTTCTAGACCCCTCACCCCTCTCGATCTGTCAGAATTACCTTGCAAATTCCGAATGCTACAACGGCAGGGTCAAGCGCCACGTTGAATTTGTGAGCATTTCATCTGTAGCATCTCTAGCTTAGCCGTTCCTCCCATAATTCAATGATGCCCTTCTCAGTTAATTCAGGCATCAATCGCACCAAGATTAATTCTAGCATCCCATAAATGAGATGCTTGTTGCAATATGCATCCGAGAAAACGTCGAGAATACCAGATTCGATCTCGGATAAAATTCTCTCTTCTTCAGGGTCAGGCAAGGCTTGTGACAATGATAGGTCGTCGTTGGTTTCTCTATGCTTATTCTCCGAGCCCCGCCTCTGCAGAGGTGTTATTGGAGTTTGGTTGCCGGGCTTCTTGTGGCTTTCAGAACCCCGTCCAACGCCGCTCGCTTGGGCATCCTTGTGCTCATCCGCTATGGAGCCGTCGTCGACAGCGCCATGGTTTCCGGAAGCGGATTTACCGCGTTGGCTTGGACGTACTTCAGGGTCATGGGCTAGACTCTTCGTATCCTGTGAGTAAGTAGGGCTCCATCTCTGACTGCCAGTCCAGAGAGAAACCGAGCCAAAGTATACTCTGCCCATACTCTTCGGTATAACCCCCCAGATTGCACTAGCGCATCTCCGCCGCAGAGCCACCAACTCTTCCTCAGAGGAAGGCGGAAAGAGCGTAGAGACGCCTGGAGCATTATTTGGAAAGAGAGCTGCGCGAATGGATCGCAATAGTGGAGGTAGCCGATCTGAATCAAGAACACTAGTCTGGATGCAGTGTGAAAAGAGCCTACAGAGATATCGAATATTAGTTTGAATTAAGTCATGTGCAAGTTTCAATGAGCACAACGACCGTGGATATAAAATATGTTGTGCCGGGGAGAAAACGGTCAGATTTCGATGCATGGCGTATTTGAACGTTTCAGCATGAAGTGACGACATAAACGCGCAAGGGCCGTAGGTCTATAGGGCACGCGTCACACTGTGATGGGGGAGATGACGAAACAATGTCAAGACTTGACATTCTAGCCATGGCGATGACGAGTTGCGCGTTATAGCAATGACAATCTGAGGTTGCGATACGGGCGTTATAGAAGGTGGCACGCAATGGTATAGTCCCCTGTTCGACAGCAAGGTGCCCGAACTGGATGGCAAGGTCTCTTGGGTGTACCAGCAAGAACAGCCTCCGTACTGCAGACTACTGTAGTCAAAGACGGTCACTTGATGAGTCCCTGGTGTGTATACAGTGCATGATTCTTCCGAGAAAGCCACCAGATGCTTTGACATTGTCCTCATGGGGACGTACTGATGGAACCCTGTCCACAAACATTGGCGATAATACATGGAGACTACTGCCTCTGGGTGGAAATCTGGTGTTGATCTCCAAATCATCGCTTAGAGTCCTCTCGCGTGGAAGATCAACATGCGTGATGGGAAAATTTTTGTACGGTCGCACCGGGGTTCGGAATCAAATCAAACAGTGTGTGTCAAGAGTCTGGTAAGATGGGGCGGAATCCTTGTTGGTAGTACCAGATTGGGCGCGTATGTGAGGCTTCCGGATGGTCAGGCCGCCTTAGCCCCACGCCGGTCAAGGTGCAATCAGATAAAGAATCGCCAGTTCTCTCAGGCCATTGGTCGGCTTTGCGAGAGTGAAAAAGGCCAGCCTAGTGCTGTAGTATCTCCGGCAATAGCGAAACACCCCAATGATGCCTCATGCGATGGAACTATCCACGGGCATGATCGTGCAAGATTCTGGGTCGGAGGGTTGCACAACTTTGTGTGGACTAGGCTCTTGTAATGGTGGGCTCGATGGCCGTGGGAATAACGCTTTGTGCCATTGGGCACACGGCTAAAAGAAAACGCCCGTCTCATGAATAAGCGGGCTGGCGTTGTAGGAAATTGGAATGCCTGTCCTCTACACTCGCGAGGAGAGGCTTCTTCAGAACCCGACTGGACCATGCGAGATCCAGTGACCTGAGCTATATGCGGGTAGATGAATTAGGGAATTGTAGCCTACCTGTCAAGAACACCATTATACCCTGCGAACTGTCCTGGTCCCTTCGTGGCGCTCCATTGCATCATGGAAAAAGCTCCTCCCAGCCACGGCATGCGCGCGTCCATTTCGAGCAGATTGGCGACACACGGCCATAGCTTGAACTCGGCGATGGGCACTCGGGTTGGTCCCGCTTGCAAAGGATGGCTTGAAATGGGGTTGTACGATTTCTCGCTTTTCTGTTGGTCAGTTGAGACTGGTTTTTGGACGAATAGTGTCTCTGTTCGCGGAGGGAGCGATCTTGACAGAACCCATGTACTAGCAAGGAGGCGAATTATGTTGACCACGAGGAAACCTAGTTGGACCAAAGACCAGAACCACTCGCTTGGAGATGAGCGGGAGGCACTTTTCATTGGGAGCGTTCCGTCCTCAATAGGTTCATCCTCAAAAGTCGTTGGCGCAAGCTGGTCAGGGGATTCAGGTGGCTGAGGACCTCCCTTCGCTAGCCTCGTCAGCATGATAAAGATTTCCAATAAAAGCCATGGTTCGGATAGTTTCTTGGCCACGAGATTGCCAATAATTAGCTCGGAGAATATCTGGCCAACTAGCGACGTCAAGCACTCGTTTTCAAGATCCTCCGTAGGCAGCAGCAGAGCAAGTACTCCTTGGACGAGTAGTTGACGATACGCAGCCTCATTATCAGCCTGTGCCTGGACGCTTCTAGCATCGCCGGGCTTCGGCAGGGGAGACAATGCAGGTAGTGGCCATAGCGAGTGGTAAATCTCGCGGAAATTGGCCTCAAGAGGAGGCTTGGCCGCCGAATTAGAAGCAGTACGGTACGCTGCATTGATCTATCAGTTTTCGCAAACTCGGGGATTGCAGATGTGTGAAGGAGTGGTCAGGGTGGTTGGTGATAGGAATAGGAACCCTTTGGACATCGCCGACGTTGATAGCAGACTTACCTCTCACATGTGCGTCCAGCAACTCGGGTAACTGGTCAAATAAGAGACTCTCCAAGTCAACATTCCGTAAGCGCTCTTCCAGAGCCCTGGTGAAATGGGCTATGATTTGTACGATCTCGGCGACAAAAGTCTCATCCGGCGTGATATTGGAGTACCACTTTTGTACGAACTCCTTGAGTATGACGGAGATGAGGGCGTAGAGCTGCAGGTCCACATCGTTGCGACTAGTTAGAGGAGGAAGGAGCTCTTCGATTGGTGCTGGCGAAAACCTCCCCCTCTCTGCCAGATGTTTCGCGCAAAGTGTACGGCGAATGAAGGCGGCGGTGGCCTTGTCCGAGAGATAATCTGCCGACCTCACGCCGCGCCGCGCTATGGTCTGCGAAGTATGTGATCGAGATGGCGGCGGGGGCTTGTTCGCCGAAGGTGGTTTGGCCGCTGCGCTCCAAGTCGCAGACGTTTTCAGTGTCGGGCTTGGGGGCCCTGGGGGTGGGATCGCAGCCGCTGTCGCCATGGCCGGATCTTGTTATTTGTGATGCTATTGGGAGACCATTGTAGGTAGCAGAGTCCTGCTGCCGCGAAGCAGGGCGTTTACCGCTTCGTGCAAATGGCCAGGAGCTCCTCTTGCTCGTGTTGTGCGCAACAAAAAAGTTGAGGGCTTCGTATGCGGTCAAGGGATGTAGTTGAACTTTTGGGCCTCACAAGCTGCGACCTTGTTTGGTTTGATGTCATGTCATGCAGTTGCGCATTTAGCGCGTAAACTACCTAACCCGTGCATGCCTGCGAAGCTGCAGATAAGTAAGATCGCTGCCGCTGCCGTTGCCGTGCTTGCAGAAAGGCACGTGCGTTTCTTAAAATAACAATGTCAATAATTTGGCTTGATAAACAAAAATTCATATGGCCAACTTCCTCACTAAAGCGGTATCCTTGGATTGAGTGTGGTTTTCTATAGCTTCGCATATAATTATTTTTCTATGCTACAAGTTATACACAGTATTGTACTGAATGTGAATACCACCCCATCTATACGTCTATGTCATGGTTTCGTATCATACAAGGCACGGGTTGGCCGACAAGAATCTAGATATAGACATGGTCGCATGAGACCAATTTTGAGATGAGTGAGTTCAGTTCTAACGGAAGTGCTCTTCAAACCGTCGGCTTGGCACGTTGCTCTTGCCCCAGCAACGATTAGTGATGGCAGTCGTGGGCTAAATCATCTACTCGGATTCCTTGCGAGTAGCTTCGTATCTATTGCAAAAATTATCAGTTGGCTTGCTTCCAAAGTGGGGGCTGGCTCTCTGCATCACGTACCTCTTTCCTCGGAAGGCCCATGTACCCCAGTTACCGCAAGTGACGTCCTGAGGGTCCATGTCGTTCAGATCCCACCGCAAACTGCGGAAGATGTTCTCTCCAGGCTCCATCAAGATGTCGAACTCGCCCTTGCATGTCTTGTTCACCCATTCAATGTCTCTTTCCATGTCAAACTGGGTGTATCCGGTGGCGATAATGGGCGCTTTTGTCTCAAGCAGCAAAGGGATTGTTTCTGCCCATTCGTGAGAACTGGCGGGATGACCCAAGCCAGGGTGGAAAAGGACGAAGCAGTCAAAGTACGGATCGTACGGCTGGTAGTAGCCCGTCTTGTGGATAGTGTGGTAGTAGTCCACAATCGTGCTGATCTTCATCGACGGCCAAACGCGATCCTCTACAATTGCGCCAAATGGGTTTGAAGCTGTTCGTGGCGGCAACGGGAACTCATCATCACGGTTCGCCATACTCTCTGGTCCAACAAAAATGAGATGGAACTTTCCTCTAGGGAACAAATGGGCCAGCTGCACCCAGACATTACGAGGAAGGGAGGATTCGGCGCGAGCTCCCAGGATAAAGATTCTGACCGGAGGTGCCTCTGGTCGCAGTCCACGGATATCGTCTCCACCTCCTGTCTTGGGAGGGTGCAATGTATATCGCAGCGCGCTGAAACTCTTGAGACCTTCGGTTGTAAGTCTGCCTCCTTGTCTAATGTTGTAAGGACTGAGCTCGTGGAGAATGCTACCGACAGTCAGAGGGTAGGTCAGCAGCCTAGTCACCTGCCTCATGTTGCGGTCGTCATTGATGGCTTCGAATTGTCTCGTGTACAAGAATGTATCCCAGTTCGTCATGTTTACAACTGCTTCCTCCATTTGTGGCCCTGCGTATTCGAACTCGGGAAAGAATCGCCCAGATCTCAAATCATGATCGTCCTCATTGATCTGTCGCAGAGTATCGCAGACTTGCAGATGTGCCTCGTAGTCCTCTGCCCAGTGCTGTTCGCTGCAGTATACGGGGACTCCACAGTCTGGGCACTCGAAGTCTACATGAGCCGGTGACTGATTGCCAGAGTTGGCTGCCTTGTCCACATCATCGGCAGTGGCTGGAATCCGTGTTGGTCGGTGGTCTGGGTGAGGACAGTGCGCATGTTGCCTCATGAATGCAGCTCGGCGCCGTATTTCCGGAATGGGAGATTTCGTGTAGGAATGGAATAGATCATCTGGACGGAGGACCGGCGGGCTCTGCCCTTCTCTCGGTGCCGCAGGTGTGGAAGAGCCAAAAGAAATTCCTTCCTCCTGTCCCTTCTTCTCCTTCTGCCCAAACAGCGAGAAGGCTCGAGTGTTCTTGCCAGAGCTCGCTTCTGTGGTCCCTTGCACTGGACGTTGCGATGCGACGTGGGAAAATGCTCTGGCTGATGTCGGTGCTCTGAGTCGCGAAGCTTGAGAGCACCTCCGGCACACAAAGGCAGCTGCCGACCTCATGGTTGGCTCCATCGAAGCAATTGATGTCGACGATGCTGACTTTTTCCGAAAGAACCAGATGCTCGTACGATCTGAAGCTCCGTCACCTCCGTCAATCTCGAGCCGCAAAAAGGTACATAGCTAGGTACAGCTCCCGCTAGGTACATAAGTTATGGCGCGCCCCGAAATTTGTGGGGGATCAATGATTTTCCGCCTAGCACTGGGACTTGACCGGCTGGCGCGTCCTCCAATTGGGGGTCGCTGACGAGGAGCTCCAGGTACAAAGTGGGCTTTGGTGCCTGCGAGCTCTGCTGAAATTTTGAAGCTTCCTCTTCAACCACAATGACTTGAATTCTGCTCAATCCCAAAATTGCAAAACACAGCCTGTGCAACGCAACGAGAAGCTGCGCTACTCTGGCGCACATTCTTTCAAGATGGCGGCGACCTCGAACATGTTTCTGTATTCCTTGACCATTCAGCCGCCGACCACCATCACGCAGGCCATCGTGGGACAGTTCAGTGGCACCAAGGAACAGCAGATCTTGACAGCTTCGGGGTCGCGTCTCACCTTGTCGCGTCCTGATCCCTCCCAGGGAAGAGTCACCACCCTCCTCTCCCAAGATGTCTTTGGCATCATCAGGTCAATTGCCGCCTTCCGCCTCGCTGGTAGCAGCAAGGGTAAGTTTACTCGTCCCCGTACATTTTTAAGCTTCATTTAGTGATTGTTGAAGCTGGCTTGATAGAAGCGGATTGAGATCTGCCTTGGAGCACGTTTCAAAAGCACACTGCCAAGGTCCGAAATACGATGCAACTCCTTCTCGGACACTTGCTAACGTATCTCGATATAGACTATGTTATTCTAGCGACAGATTCCGGAAGGATCACAATCGTCGAATACATGCCCCAACAGAACAGATTTGTTCGTGACAAGCTTGAAACTTTTGGAAAGTCAGGCGTCAGACGAGTGGTACCTGGACAGTACCTGGCTTGTGACCCCAAGGGCAGAGCCTGTCTGATTGCAGCTGTGGAGAAGAACAAACTGGTCTACGTCCTGAACCGAAACTCTCAGGCAGAGTTGACGATATCTTCTCCACTGGAAGCCCACAAACCTGGAACTGTTGTACTATCTATGGTAGCCTTGGATGTCGGCTATGCCAATCCGGTGTTCGCTGCCCTCGAAGTGGAGTACACTGAAGCCGATCAAGATCCTACTGGTGAGGCTGTTGCGGAGATTGAGACACAGCTGGTGTACTATGAACTGGACCTCGGTCTCAACCATGTGGTACGCAAATGGAGCGAGCCCGTGGATCCCACTGCGTCTATACTTTTCCAGGTACCAGGTGGCAATGATGGCCCTAGTGGAGTTCTGGTTTGTGGTGAAGAAAACATCACTTATCGTCACTCAAACCAGGAGGCATTCCGTGTGCCAGTCCCGAGACGGAAAGGTGCCACTGAAGATCCACAGAGGAAAAGAACGATCGTGTCCGGCGTTATGCACAAGCTCAAGGGCAGCGCCGGTGCCTTCTTCTTTCTCCTTCAGAGTGAGGATGGCGATCTGTTCAAGGTTACCATTGACATGGCCGAAGACGATTCGGGAAAGCCTACTGGTGAAGTTCGTCGGCTGAAAATCAAATACTTCGATACAGTTCCCGTCTCAACGAGTCTCTGTATTTTGAAGAGCGGCTTCTTGTTCGTGGCTAGCGAGTTTGGCAACCATCACTTCTACCAGTTTGAGAAGCTTGGCGACGATGATGAGGAGTTGGAGTTTGCCAGTGACGACTACCCCACCGACCCAAAGACGTCATATACACCGGCCTACTTCTACCCCAGGCCCGCTGACAACCTGAGTCTGGTTGAGAGCATCAACTCTATGAACCCGCTCATTGACTGTAAGGTTGCCAACTTGACAGCGGATGATGCACCTCAGATCTATTCCATCTGTGGCAATGGCGCGCGTAGCACTTTCAGGACCCTGAAACACGGGTTGGAGGTCAACGAAATTGTCGCGTCCGAGCTTCCTGGCGTACCGTCAGCTGTATGGACCACCAAGTTGAGCCAAGAAGATCAGTATGATGCTTACATCATTTTGTCCTTCAGTAATGGCACACTCGTGCTCAGTATCGGAGAGACGGTGGAGGAAGTCACTGACACTGGCTTCTTGTCAAATGTCCCCACATTAGCTGTCCAGCAGCTGGGAGACGACGGCCTGATACAGGTCCATCCGAAGGGCATTCGTCACATTCGCAATGGACGAGTGAATGAGTGGTCTGCTCCGCAACATCGTTCAATCGTTGCTGCATCCACAAACTCACGGCAAGTGGCTGTTGCTCTCAGTTCTGGTGAGATTGTCTATTTCGAGATGGATTCTGATGGCTCTCTGGCGGAGTATGACGAGAAGAAAGAGATGTTTGGTACAGTTACCTGCCTCAGCCTGGGCGATGTGCCCGAAGGCCGTTTGAGGAGTTCTTTCTTGGCAGTGGGCTGTGACGACTGTACTGTCCGTGTGCTAAGCTTGGACCCGGAGTCAACTCTGGAGAGCAAGTCCGTGCAAGCTCTCACTGCAGCACCCACTGCCCTGTCCATCATGTCGATGCAAGACTCTGCTTCCGGCGGAAGTACACTCTACCTTCACATCGGTTTGTACTCGGGAGTATACCTGAGAACAGTGTTGGACGAGATCACCGGAGAGTTGACTGATACACGTCAGAAGTTTCTTGGTCCAAAGGCTGTTAAGCTGTTCCAGGTTTCCGTTCAAGGGCAAACATGCGTTTTTGCTCTGAGTTCAAGAACTTGGTTGGGGTATTCAGACCCGATTACAAAAGGTTTCATGATGACGCCTCTCGACTATGACGACTTGGAGTGGGGCTGGAACTTTAGCAGCGAACAATGCGAAGAGGGTATGGTTGGAATCCAAGGGCAAAATCTCAAGTAAGTCCATTTTGTTTTGAAATTCAAACACCCAACCCTACGAGGATGATGAGAAATTGGGATCCTAAGCCAAGAGCTGTGAGGATCACTTTTAATTATTTGTACCAATTGTTCCTACTGACTCACTTCCACATTTCCAACTTTCTTGCATAATCAGGTGTCATATTTATACTGACTGACTGCATCAGGATCTTTTCCATTGACAAATTGGGTGATACATTGCTTCAAGAGTCGATCCCTCTGACTTATACGCCCAAACACCTTGTCAAGCACCCTGAGCATCCCTACTTCTACACCATTGAATCTGAAAACAACACTCTTCCCCCGGAATTAAGGGCACAGTTGTTGGCAGATCCATCAAATGTCAATGGTGACGCACAAGTCCTGCCGCCTCAAGAATTTGGCTATCCTCGCGGGCGTGGGAGATGGGCATCTTGCATTAGCGTTGTTGACCCTTTGACAGAAAAGGCAGTGCTTCAGACTCTGGATCTGGGAGAGAATGAAGCCGCTGTTAGTGTTGCTACAGTTTCATTTGCCAGTCAAGACAACAAGACCTTCCTCGTTGTCGGGACTGGAAAGGACATGGTACTAAGTCCTCGTCAATTTAGTGCTGGATTCATCCACGTCTACAGCATCAGCGAGGATGGCAAGGCGATTGAATTTATTCACAAGACAAAGGTCGAAGAGCCACCAATGGCACTTATCCAATTCCAGGGCCGACTCCTTGCCGGCATTGGAAAGACTATCCGTGCCTATGACCTGGGTTTGAGGCAGCTACTCCGCAAAGCGCAAGCCGAGGTTGCACCGCAACTGATAGTCTCCCTCCAAACTCAAGGCAGCCGCATCATTGTTGGTGACGTGCAGCAGAGTGTTACTTTTGTCGTTTATAAGTATGAGAGCAACAAACTCATTCCATTTGCAGATGACTCCATCAACCGATGGACCAACTGCACAACAATGGTAGACTATGAGTCTGTTGCGGGTGGTGATAAATTTGGCAACGTCTGGATCGTTCGATGTCCTGAAAAGGCTAGTATCGAAGCAGATGAAGATGGGTCTGGCGCACATTTGCAACATGCCAGGGAGTATTTGCATGGCACCAACCACCGTGTCAGTCTCATGGCACATTTCTACACTCAAGATGTCCCCACCAGTATCAGCAAGACCAACCTTGTCGTCGGTGGGCAGGAGGTCTTGCTATGGAGCGGTATCCAGGGTACAGTCGGTGTTTTTATTCCGCTAGTGAGTAGAGAGGATGTAGACTTTTTCCAGAGTCTCGAATCTCACCTTCGGAGTGAAGATCCCCCTCTGGCTGGTCGCGATCATCTTATTTACAGGGGCTATTATGTGCCAGTCAAGGGTGTCATTGATGGTGACTTGTGCGAGAGATTCGCTCTACTACCCAACGACAAGAAGCAAATGATTGCGGGAGAATTGGACCGGTCTGTCAGAGAGATCGAAAGAAAGATTTCAGATATACGTACGCGCTCTGCTTTCTAAGCGCCGTGTGTCCAATGTTGCATGATGAAATGGCAGTTGTATTTATACAAGGGATTGATGAGCAAGCCGGCGTTCGGCAGTAAATACCAATGATAATACGATATAATGATACATAATCACTTTGCACTTATACAAAACATCAACGGCCTCGGCCCCTCTGAAAACCCCTACTCCTCCCCAATCCAGCGCCCCCAGCTCTTGCAGTCTTCTTTCCTAGAGCTCCCTCGACTGGATGGCTGGCTTCCCATTCTTCATCTGCAATGTATGCTATTGTGGCAGCCTCCAGGTCATAATCTGATTGCTGGAGGTATAGTACGGCTACATCGTACTCTGATACTTTGCAGGCGACCATAAATCGGCGTATCTTGCCCTTTCTCAGCTCCTCCTCTTCCCCGTCTATGGGCGTCGGCGAGAGACTGACGCCTCCCTTGTAGTATTCACCAGGGATGATGACGGTCTTTCGACCTAGGATGAGGTGGTCAGAGGTGATGTTATTGGCCCGGCGCAGCACGTTGGCCGGGACGCCGTAGCGCAGCGACAGCGAGGTCACGGTGTCGTGTTCGTGATTCAAAAAGTGCAGTACGTCTTCGGCCACCTCTTCGTCATTATCCAGCGGGACAGACTTTTCATCGAGCGGGTCGACATGACGCTTTCCTCCAGCCGTCGTATTGGTCGTAACCGATGCCGAATAGGGCGGCGGCGGACCGTGGCGGCGGCTGTCTTTGGAGCTCTCGGCCGCTGAGTTGTATGAAGGCGGCTCCTTAAGACCCTGGGGTAGTCTTGAGGGCGTGGTCGAGATTTGGCAATAGGGGCAGTATGTTTGGAAGCGATAGTTGTTCTATGCATACTAGTTAGTTGTTGCTGTCTTGTCCATAGTGCTCTCCCCCTCTCTTTTGCCACTTGTCTTCGTCATTTACTTCTCTTCCCTCTGCCTTCTATACTCAAGTATAGAAATCTTATCGACAGACAAGACATACATGTATACAGTTGCCACATATCACACGCGGACAGCACTCGAGGGCTCTGTCATTTGGTAATGGTTTCTCGTTGTCGGCGTAGCGGGGCACCTGGGTAAGAAGCGTTGCACAAGTGCAGCATGCCTGCATAGTCTCCCGCCTCATCGTGATGGGGATGATCAGATGGCGCACATGCGCGGATATCAGGGGACTAGAGATTATATCAAATATAGATAATATGAATCGAAATAGCAATAGAATCAAGGAAGTTATTGTACAGTGAGCAACACTTGTCGTCGTTGAAAACAAAGTTGCCGAATGATATGTGCAAGTCGAGAGTACGAAACGATGTGGCGTTTGCTATCAATGACGCTTTATCATTGATACTACCCAGGGACCTGAGGTGGCGCTAAACGAGCACCTAGGTTCAACGTGTCTATGATATACCTACATTGCATCATGTAGCTGGCATCAGCAGCACATGTGCATCAGACATTGATCAACAACGGCTGACTAGGCTATCAACCTACATTTTCACGTGGCGCATTTGAAATCAGCCCGTTTGCAGAGGGTCTCATGTCCGGATGTGCCGTAGATAAAGTACGAAGTAGCTTTGAGGGGTCAACAAGAGATGATGTATGTGGAGAATATTGAAATCGTAGCGTACCGTCCCTTTAGGTTAAATCCGATCTTGGAATTCGACTGTGGTTCATGTTCAATTGAGACCTGCAGTGCTTAAGCGCCCGTCAGCCACATGAGGAGTTGAGAGTGTCATCTTTTCATGTGCTCGCTCCTATTTTCTCGTCCCGTCACTGGATCCCCCATATTTGTTCTGTAGGATCACCGAAGGAATTTTGTGTTCTTGTAATAGGTCATGCCTGTAGGTCAGCTCCATTTGCATCTTGACCGCTAATCATTATTGGCATTGCCTTGTTCATTTTTTTTGTTATTTCCCATTGAATTTGGGCAGAAATCAAATCTGATTTTCAACAAGATCTGCTGGGATGTACCCCGTATCCCCTTAAGAGATTGTTTAGAGGTCCATCCCCATGATGTCCCATCTTACCTTAGCCCCAGTGTCCCAATCGTTAATCGTTTAAGACCCCTGTCCCTACATAACACTACCTACACGACTGACCCGAGACACCATACAATAATAGGGTGCAGTAGCAGTAGGTAGCTTCCTTTGTCTTGGAACGTCATTCACCTACCTACCGCCTAAACCCCAAACTCTCCAAACCATCCCCCCCAGAATAGACGACTGTCCCCGGCTGAGTTTCCTTCCTTCTTTATTCTACGACATACCTCTAGGGGATCAATCTCAACCCCGAAATCAGGGGGCAGGCCACTCAGTACCGATATGCGACCGGCATAGGCAATGATTGACTAGGTTAGAGAGCAACAAGCCACATGCGACTTCGTCCAAACAACCCACCATCGTAGCAAAGAGCTTCGCCATGTCAGATCCAACCACCGCAGAAAGGGCGCCGCCAACGCCCTCAGCGCCCAACATTCCTACTCAGGCCTCGCGACACGGGAATCCCCTGATCTCTGTCCTCCTCAACGAAGCTGGTCTAGACTCCCCGACCTTTCGCAGCAATGCCCTACACTTCGCCGAGCAGGTCGACGCCATTGAGCGCTGGCTCGAGGGCTACTCGCGCACCGCCGCCAGGTTGTCACACGACATGCTGGGCCTCGAGGCCGTCGTCAATGATTACCTCGCCAAGGTCATCCCACCACAGAATGTCGTCTCCCTCGATCATGACTATACCGCCCTGGCCCTGAAGAGGATATCCGAAGGTAGTCGGGAATGGTGGACACATATTTTGGGCCTCGCCAAGAAGATGGACACGATGAGCGCCGAGCCGATACGAAACTTTCTACAGAATGATCTACGGACCTTCAAGGAGACGAGACGAAACCTCGACCAGACCCAAAAAACCTTTGATTCTACCCTCGCCCGGTACCTGGGGTTGAGCAAAGCAAAGGAGCCGAGCGCAATCAGGGAGGAAGCATTCAGCGTATATGAGACTAGAAAGGCCTACCTTAAGGCATCCATGGACTTTTGTCAGATGGCGCCGCAATTGAGGTTTACGCTCGACAAATTACTGGTTCGAGTCTCGACCGACATTTGGCGCGAGATGAAGAGGTCCAAGGATACGGCAGGGAGCTTTGGCAAATGGGGCCAGCAGATGGATCGCGTCAGGGGCTGGTCGAAAGAAATGGAGTTGACAGAGTCAACCTTCAAGCGTGAACTCCAAGCAGCAAGGCGCGAGGTTGGCGAGAGCTCGGTTGTAGCTTTCAAGCCATCACGAGAACTTGATGCATACAGCGCCAGCACAGTACCATTCCTGGGTTCCAAGGGCCCTTTAAGTGTCAACACCGACGAGAAGGCTGGCGTCTACTCTGAAAAGCAAGGCTGGCTCTACCTCAGGACTATGACGGGCAAGCCAGTGCGCACTACTTGGATTCGCAGGTGGTATTATTGCCGCGATGGCATCTTTGGCTGGCTAGTGAGCGGACCACAAGGTGTCTTGACTGGAGATGAGATTGGTGTCCTGCTTTGCAACGCAAAGCCTGCCATCAGCGAAGAGCGCCGTTTCTGCTTCGAGGTCAAGACCAAGAATCAAACTCTTATGCTGCAAGCTGAAACTCAATCAGAGCTCATGGGGTGGCTAGAGGTATTTGAAGTGGCCAAGAAGAAGGCATTCGAGGCAAGCGTTGGACGGGATACATCCTCCTTGCCTGGTGGTGTTGATCCTGCCTTTGCCATTACTCCTCCCTCGATGCCCGAATTTTCCGCCAAAACAATGGACGCGCAGCTCGGGCTAGAAGAACCTGGACCAGCCTTTGAGAAGACCAACACGCTGCCAATCCCTGGCCAAGAGAACAGCGGCATCCCTCGGGCTAGCTTTGATGTCATCTCAAGCGGTCCAAGGCGTTCGGCAACGGCGCTAGGCCGTGAAGAAGGAGAGAGTGGGCGCGATCATGCTGCCAGGATAATGCAAAAGCTTGACTTGCATCGCAAAGCCAACTTCTCCTCGACCACAGACGTCAGTGCGGGTATGCCATCACCCGGTCCGTCTGGTGGTATTGCGAGTCTCATTTCTGCCAGTCATGGTCTCTTGCCTGGGTATCCCTCACCCATTATAGGCCAAATGGCGTCGAGGCCGCAGCAGCAACAGCAACAGCAAACACCCACATTATCAGGTCCAGAGCCACAGGCAGGCAGTCTCGCGCCCGCCACTCTGGCAAGTCCGCCAGCACCCACGAGTCTTAGTAAGACTGCGGTTGTATATAGCAGTGACCGCACTCTGACCAATGATACGGGCCCGGGTCTTCCCACTGCCATCATGGCCAACTACTGGGGAAGCAATGCATGGGCTCAAGAATACGCCCCGAAGCCAGTCAAGACGGAATTCAACCCCGATGATCCCTTTGGACCCAACTCGCCGTCGATCAAAATGACCATGACCAACGAGCTTGGCGAGCTCAAAGCCTCTACTCCGACTCACAAGAAGGCCATTAGCATGGACGCCAAGATTTTGCATCCTGCAAACATCAAGGAAAAGTCCACGCAGGAGCAATTCCCTCCTGGCTATCCTCTAGAACTCAAGACGAATACTGCACAATTCAGGCTTGTTTTCCCAAATGTTCCATTGGATGAGAAACTAGTCCTGGTTTTCAGAGCGTCCTGGACCACGAGCACTTCTGAGCGAAGCCGAGATTCGCCTGGAATGGCTGGCAATGGGCGTATCTACGTTACACCTGATAACATGTACTTCTACGGACATCAGATGGGACTTGTGGTAGCCTATGCTATCCCTCTGGACACCATTACAGAAGTGACGGCTGCACCAGGAAGGGACTGCGATTTCATCTTTCTGCATCTGAACCAAGATGCACCTGATGTTCAGTACAGCAGGATATCCATCAAGACGTTTTTGGAGGATATGGACCTCCTTCACGCCCGTCTGAATTTGCTAGTCGACGACTTGCAGGCAGAAGAGCCCATGGAGGTCATGGATCTCATCAAGGCCTTGATCAACTTTGAGAACGAAGAGTATGATAGGAGAAGCCCGAGCGCCGGAAGCTGGGAAGAGGTCTCGGCCAACACGCCTGTTGACAATAACACCTTGGCCGGGCGGGCTGTAAGTCCCAGAGCAGATTTGTACGCAAAATCTCGTGCTCGTGGTGCCATGCGCAAACCTGCACCCAAGCTTCAGTTGCCAGCGCATCCCGTGCACTACGAGCCTGAAGATATGCAGAGAAAAGTGGCTGAGCGCACCTTTGAGATCAGCGCCAAGGCCTGTTTCCACGTCTTGTTTGGAGACAAGAGTTTTGTCTTTCCCAAACTCTATTTTGAGCGAAGAGCAAAGCAAATTGCTCAAGGCCCTTGGACAGTGGGTGACGCAGGGCGTCTGCAGCGATTGTTCAACTTCAAAGTCAAGTACGGCACAATGTTCGGTCAAGCTCGCGAGGAAGACATCACGGATCAGCAGACTGTTGAAGTATTCAGCGACCACGTTACGTACGTTGTCACTCATGTCAAGACACCCTGGCATCTTCCGCACGCGGGAGCCTTCAAGCTGGTGACCAAGATTGTCATTACACACATTGCAAAATCAAAGTGCAAGCTCGCCATCTTCACCAAGGTGGCATGGTCAAAGGCTGTCCTGTCCAAGAACATTGTCGAGCGTCAGGCGCTTGATGATGCCGACATGGACGCCGAGGAGTTGGCAGAGGTGGCCACTGACCAGGTCCGCAAGATTGGACCGCACAGTCGCACGAAGCGAGCGATTCAAATCTATGGCAATATCGGCCAGCAGACACAAGTAGTGCTCTTTTCACCAGCGGACACTGAAAAGACAAGGAAGACACACATCCGGCCCCACAGCCTTACTTCCATGCTTTTCGATACTGTCAGATCCTTTGCGGAATCTGCACTCACCTCAATTATCATGTTTGCATTTGCTGGACTGAAGAAACTCTGGGACGTGGTGACTGCGCAGCGTATTCTCCTCGCTGTCCTGGCATTCAGCTTCATAGTCAACATTGTGTTTTCGTCTCAAGGTGCTTCGACATGGTGGAGCGAGCGCAAGGCAGCAGGCTTCATGCAACGACTGGGAGTAGGACCAAACGTCATGATGAGCAAGGCCATTTACCTGAGGGACTTGGATGAGGCGGCCCGTTTCTCTTCGCTGGATAATTCGTGGCCCGCCGAGGACAGCTCTTGCTACGCCACATTCCAGTCAATTGCAAACAGTACCGATATCGATGCTCCATACGAAGGTGCGGGGGCTACATTGTCGTCCGCCTCCAGCCGTGCGACGGCAAGGAGACTGAGACGCTCGAGACAGCGTCTCGGTACTTACCGCCACGATCTGCTTGTCGCCATGCGCATGGTCAATAGCGTCGAGCGGGAAATGATCCAGGGCGAGTGGGAGAACTGGCTGATTGACGAGAACTACCGGTGTGAACAGGTGGCGGGTGTCTTGAGGCTGTGGAACACGACGGCTTCCGACGATAAGACGGCGGGCAAGGGAGGCTCCGTGGTGGCAGTGGATAGTGAGCTGCAGCAAAAGATTCTTCAAGAAAAGGATGAGCGCAAAAAGGAGACATTGATGAGTTGGTATACAGATTACTGCGGCAGCTGCAAACAGGATAAGGATGATTTGATGAGGGATAGGGAACGTCTTAGCCTGGCTTAGAAGGATAACCGCCCCAGCCGATAGATGGATAGCTGTTTATAATGATAGTGTTTTTGAATCAGAGAAATGAATGGTCGAGAAGATGTCTGTCCTTTGCGGCTTGGTAAATCAATTTTCGTCATCTCCTGGCCTTCGCTTGTGCCGTCCAGGATTGGTCGTTATACTTATACACTAGAAAATAGTCGTTCTTTATATGATCGGCACGATTGCGCCAAAGTTTATTCGAATTGTCTCGGATGTATAATAAATCACTTTGTAGAACAGGAAGATGTAGCTCGCAAGTCTCAAGTATAACTTAGTTGAGACCTGATTATAAGGATAAGACCGTATCGGCCATGCTTCTTTTACTTTTGCTGTTTGCGTGCGGACAGTATACCCTTTGTGAGGGTCAAAATTGCCGTGAAGGGAAGGGGAGTTGCCTTGTCTTAGCGTTTCAACCACAAATACTATTTGGCTTTTGCGCTTAATGCTTTTTTGCGCCGGGGCGATTGCCGGTTCAGGGCAAGTGCTCTGTTGGAACTAAAATTGCAGTGAAAGAAAGTTGGGTACAATACAAGATGACATCCTTAGCAGATGCGGAAAGAGGGGTGATTATACCCTTTGTGAGGATTAAAATTGCAGTGAAGGAAGCTACATGAGGACTTCTTGCGGCTCTGCTGTCAACTGGACCCTCAAGAAATTATCTATCTTTCCAAGATGTACATCTGTGGTCTATAGAGCAGTGACAGGTACACTTTGCGGGAGTTGAAATCACAGTGAAAGTCAAAGTGAACCCACAGCAGATCCACAATAAGTATCCTCGTGCCCTCTCGACGGACACATATGCCAGAGGTTTGTTATCCTCTTTGTGGGGGTAAAGTTTCAGTGAAGCCGATGCGTTAGGAGAGAGATTGAACGATGGCCCCTGGGCGGGGGGAGGATGGGGGAGTTGTCATGCCCTATGTGAGGGTAAAAATTGCAGTGAAGCGCAAAAACGTGGCAAAAATCGATTCACTATGTAGCGTTCTAGACTCCTGCAGCCAGGACAATGAAGTGCCCGGTGAATTGGTCCCTGATTCCACTCCGTCAACCGCTAATCATGGCCATGATCCACTACCATGGCCTTACAGGGAGTACGACAGGTGAGGTCTGGATGAATATCACGGATGGGGTGGTGCGAGCTGGACAAGAGGTTGCTGCCTGGATGAGCAAGGGAGAGGGTTCGTCTGCCCTTTTGTGAGGTATGAAAATTTGGTGAATAGCCAGCTGCAAAAGTAACTAAGTACTTAAGCTACGTACATCGGTGTCTTGACGCAAAACTGCGGTGGAAGCTTAATGGGAGACTCACCTAAACGAAAAACATGGGAAGGGATCGTGAGGCTGCAGTAAAGGCCATTGCCGGACATAATTGGCACCATCGCATCAACCCTCACATCATCCGAAGCCTTATCCCTCTACGCACATATACGTACCTGCACAACCATATTTTCAGTGCAATTTCAGAGCCGAAATGAGTGACCCTTTGTCAGTGTTAAGTTGCAGTGAATCAATGTGACGTTTGCCGCTCGAGACGCTCAAGCAGGGAAGATTCAGCTTCACCCGATATTGGTATAGAAGTTGGACTAAAGGTTGTTGCCTGGGCGGGGGAAGTATGGGGATGTTTGTCATGTCCTTTGTGAGAATTCAAATTGCAGTGAAAACCCACTCGACGGACATACATGCCAGGGGTTTGTTATCCTCTTTGTGAGGGTTAAAATTGCAGTGAAACAACCCGGGTGATCAATCGTTGCCCGGGCGCGCGGGTGCGGTACGTACATGTTGGGTACTTGAGTACTTGTTGCGGCTCTGCTGTGGATCCTTAGGATAATAAAATTTAATTCACATTCTCAAGGTACACGTTACTATAAATCTGCAGCCAAAGCTTGATTGGAATCATCTGGCTGAGTGAGGGAGAGAAGGAGCGGGCTGCGAACTTTTTGTGACGGCGACAATGTGTGCATCCGGATAGACACGCATGTATCTAAGACGGATTGTGCCCAGGTTATGGTTGGGAAGGGAGACTTTTGCCAGAGGACGTAACGAATCTGCATAGATAAGTGAAGACGGAGCGGAAAATTAGGTTATTGAGTATGTACTAGAAATTCCATATTCTAAAACAGTGAGAAGATAAACTTGTTCGCTAAGCAATGTCAATCTGTATACAGCTGAGGTTATGTATATATTAAATTTGCTTTGTTTAGACAAGAAATGCGATTCTATGCTTTGCTGATACTGCTGAGTATTAAAAGCAAATATGGTATATAGACCTTGCTTGATCTTGTATAATTTACAGTATTTACCAAAATGACCTGATTTCCGCGCCTCATGGGATACCCTTTGAGAGGACTAAAATTGCAGTGCAACTTTGCGGGGACGGAGGTTGGCGGCAACGATCCCAGAGACTTCTGCCAAGCTTGTGTATTTGGGCTTGATTGGGAATCTTCAACTCCACAGTCATACATGCGAGGGGTTCATTATCCCCTTGGTGAGGATTAAAATTGCAGTGAAGTGTGCGATACGTACCTATTTGGGTACTTGAGTACTTGTTGCGGCTCTGCGTGGATCCCAAAGAAAACATTCACGTTCCCAAGGTATTTATTCGTGGTTTATAGAGCACTGACAGGCACCCTCTGCGGGTGTTGAAATCGCAGTGAAGTCGATTACGCGTAATGTAGCCCCTGCTTCCTGTGCTTTTGTTTGTCGTTGCCAGGTTCATCTAAATCAATTATTCCACTATATTTATTCGAGGGCATGTCCAAAAAGTCGACTTTGGGGCTGCTCATCGACAAATTAAAGACAATATTGCGTGAAATATTGATCATATATCGGGACGAATCAGCTTACCGGAGCTAGAAACATGAATTTGCTATACATTCGCGGACAATGGTTTACAAAAACGAATTGAGTTGGGTATGGAAGATGATTGAAGATCATAACGAAGATGTTACGATTTGTGGTCTGTTAAGTATTTAGCAATAAATTGATCGTAAATCATTTCTGCATTTATTAGGATTTCTCTCTTGTGTACCACATTGCCATGTCAATGACTTACCAGCACTTTTTCGAAACCTGAGATCGAAAATATTGGAGGTGCCAAATATGAACCTAGTCAAGAGACATGCTCAATCTCGATTGCGTACACTGGCCAGGGTTTTCCCCAAAAGGTCGAGGCGAAGATACCATTACATACAACGTGAAGTTATACAACGATAGAGTGGGTCTCACCAGCTACCTCTACCAACACAACTGGTGCATACTCCATGATATGATCAACATCAATGCTGCTTGTATTATAAACCCGCCATTAACTGGCCGAGAATAATTCTCATCCTGCATCATTTTACATGAGATTCATACTCAATTTTATCACATAAAGTTTCACGCTCTTGAGCGCAATCATCATCCACTTCGATGGCTACCTTGGAGACACCGTCAACGCCCGGCCGTCTCGAGACTCTGCCAACTGTAGTCTTGGATTTCATATGCGAGATATTGGCGGATTGTGACTCGAGACGGCGGAGTCTGTTTGCTTTCTCGCTGGTCAATAAACGCTGCTGTGCCGTTGCTGACAGGCAGCGATTTGAGCGGATTCAATGCAAAGTGCGGGGCAGCTCAGAACTGCGTGAGGATATTGAAAGATGGACCAGCCTGCTCGAGACATCACAGCAATTTCGCCATGTCCGCAAGGTCAAGGTCATTGGCTTCATGCCACCCGACAGCCTGGAAACTGAGGAAGACTGGGTTGTATCGCTCAAGGTCGCCGTCGAGAGATCCGCGAGATACGACCGTGAGGAGCGGGCAGGCGAAGGCTCTGATCATGATGGGTTCTTTGATCCGCCCGTAGAGCCTGTCATGGTCGACGTCGCAGAGTCGCATTTGGACACTCAAGAAGCCAAGAAACAACACAATGAAGCGTGGCAGCCTTTTGCCGACTTTATATCCAGACTCCCAGCGCTCAGGGACCTTGTGTACTCGTGTGCCGACCAAGTCCCGCCATGTCTCCTCGCAGCGTTGCATCAGCATCATCCCCAAAGCCGACTCCATGTGCACACATTTGCTCTTCGCAGCCTTCTTCAGAAGCATGATGAGATACGTGACATTGACTTGGACGAATACGCGCTCATCACATCCCCATGTCTGTATAGCGTTTTGCTATACACTTCGCGAGGGTATATTACGACTGGTCATGTCAACTACAACCACGAGGCGCTATTTGCCATGGCTTCAGGAGTATCCCCAGGGCTGAGGCATGTTCGCACAAACACCATTCAAGCTGGCAACTCACCAGCGTTGTTGAGAGCCGCGAGAGCACCCCGCCCAGAGTGGCGCGGCTTCTTCATGAACAATAATGGCACGACGTATGCCAAAGGACAGCTCGAGAGCATCTCCATCATCGGCCAAGGCAGCTCGGTCAACCTTGGTGTTGCGGCATGGGCACGTATTACTGACTTTCGCAAGCTGCGTTCGCTCGAACACGCAACGCACGAATCCACAACAGATGATTTGAACATGTTGGTGCTCATGGCTTCCAACGGCCAACTCGGGCAGCTCCGGAAACTGTCCCTGCAGCTCAACGCCAGCCAGCATGTGTATCCTTACATGGAAGCAAATTTGGCCGTCTTGCTAGAGCATCTGCCGCCGTTGGAGGAGCTCAGCATCACCGGACCTCATGGGCCAATGTCCTTGTCTGCCATTACTCGGCACCAGGGCGCGTCCCTGCAAAAGTTGAAGCTCGTACCGGACCAAAGCACGACGGCGGGCGTTTCCACGTTGGCAGTGGTGGACTCGAGCCATCTGGTCAACCAGCTTCAGCGATACTGCCCCAATCTCCGCCAACTCGAGCTCATGCTGCCGCGCTCCAAGGGTGACGAGCGCGAGGTGGCGTTATATCAGGCTCTGGGGAAATTCAAGTCTCTGACGCATCTCACCATTTTGCTGGATTGTTGTTACCAGCAATGGATGAATCTGCATTCCATCCCGCCATCGCGCGAGCTTATCCGCGACATTTTCATCAATGCCACCGTGGATGCCGCGCTGGCCCGTTCCATTTTCAACTTCATTTGCACGGCCGATCCCTCTGCGCCATCTCCACTGCGTGTCATGAGATCAAGTGTCCTTTGGTGCGACTACGCTGATATATTTGGTGATAGCGCAATTTACAACCTCTTGTCTTGGGTGGGTCGTAGCTGGCTTTGTCAGAGATATCCACGTCTTGACCAGACTGGAGAGATTACTGTGGACGAGATCCAGCGGAGTCATAGATATGAACAAATCGATATCACCAGCGACGAATGGGACGACTTTTCACATGGGTCAGAGTTGAAACAAATCTGGAGGGAACTTTGGCCGGAAAAGACAGATATCAGGGTTACTGATTGTACCAGTTTTCCACTGATGAATGCTTCTGGCTGATTCTGCGTCGTGGCTTGATCGTCACCACATGGCATAAAAGCGCTATTTTCTATCTATTAAAGGAGCCAAAAGCCGTTGATATATCAGCGTGTACTGCATTGAGTCGAGTCATGCCGTTTAATATTCTTTTTTGTCATTGTCCTTTCGATTATAAGACGGCTTGCGATATAAGTACTGGGTATTGATATACAGTGCTTGGTTTGCCTCTTGAGGAAACTTAGTCAATTTTCGGAAGAAGTTTCGCAGTAAAGTCAGCCACAAGCCTAGCAAGTAGCGCATGGTACTGGAATCTTGTTCACGCGCCATCGATGTACTCTTTGCAAACCACTCTCGGAACTCCACCCAGCTTGGATCAGCATTGTCTATATACTCGACACGAAACTCCTGAGCACTCTGATGCTCCCGCTCACTTTGTCAATCTTCGCAGATAAAGAGGATTCACACACCATGTAGACCTTTTCTATGGGTCAATACTCACTGCTTCCCGAGTATCACAGGTGGCGCGGAGGTATGTGAATGAGCTCAATGTATGCGGAAAAACGAAAGGTATCTCGCTTGCTCTTTCGGTTGAAGTAGTACTGCCTGAATTACCAATAACGCAGCACTTTTCAAAGAAAAAGTACCATGCGTTTTAAATGCTCTCTAGATGCATCACATGTGGACCGAGTTCAAGCAGCGAAACTGGACTTAGGTATGGATGCAAAGGTGCATTACACCATCAAACTTTTGACAGCATAGATAGTAGCTTTTGTAAATTGAGTTCACGACATATATAACTAATCAACAGATGTTGCAGTGGCGATCAAACAATACCAAGGCTATTAAAGGCCAACAATCTGCCAAGACTCTGTCATTTTCTTACTTCCATCCGCACCAAACAGTTTACCAGCATGTTTGATTGTGATGTCCCGCCAAGATGCGTAGTTCTGATTATCGCGGTTGTTGAACATCGGGTCAGTTAAGGATTGATACCAGATTTGACCAACATTCTCCCACGTCTTCCCACCGAATTTGTGAGCCGCTTGAAAGAACGCATGGTTCCCAATTCCTGCGAAGAAGTGGCTATTCCACTGAAATTCGAAGCACATCGTGTTCTTATCCCACTTTTTGGGAAACTGATCAGCGTCCGTTGCAGACTTGGGTAAGTCGAAAGAGCGCAAACAGTTGGTCGTATAATTATTCTTGGCCACAGTATCGTCACTCCACCAACCAGGAGCAATCTGCCAGTTGCCAGTCTTGACGGTCTGGTCCTGAGAGAAGTGCTTGACCATGATACCAAAACAATCAGCAATGTGTTCGTTCAAGGTCTGTGCCTCCATATTGCGTCCTTGGTTCCAAGTGTACCACATCCCCCCGGGACCCATCTGCTCCATGGTCTTTTCATCCTTGGACATCAAGTTTTCCATTCGTCTTTTGAAGGCAGGATCAACATCACTGTCATTCACCCAAGGTTTGCTGAACTGGCCCTGCTGTGCTGGGTCAAGGCCAGGGACTGTCGCTGAAATGACACCATGAGTGAGCTCGTGGCCGATGACGTCGATACCACAGCTGGAAAGTGGGCTCGTCGTTCGTCCATCGTCAGTGGCGTACCGCCCGCCGTCACCGATGAGGATTTGCTTGAGGTCTCCGTTCCAAGCTGCGTCGCCCTTATCCTTGCCATAATGGATAGATGCACGAAGCTCTAGGCCATTGTTGTCGAGAGAGTTGCGGGAAAACTTCTCCTTGAACAATTTCCAGGTCCAAGCGAAGCTTTTGTGGCATTTGTCGTAAGCAACGTCGTCCACCGACTTTGTGGTGCTCTTGGAGCTGGCGACGAGGTTGCCTGGCAGTGTCTTCTCACTGCCAAGCTTATTGTCCATGGTGTAGATGCTCCAGGTGAAGTCTACGTTGTTGGTGCTTGGTGGCTCGACAACGACATCGCTGATAGCCTCACTCGAGGGCGCAAGAACAACCCGGCGCTGAAGATGTAAGGTAGCATTGCTTTTGAACTGCTCAGGTAGGCTATCATTGTCTGCAATAGCCTGCAAATGTTGTTCTGGTGTGATGGGACACATATTCAATGAATGGGTGATAATGGTAATTGGAATGCTCAACGGTGCAATTTGATTGTGCAGGAGTAACTGAGTGGGCGTATTGGGTCATTCTTATATATACGTTTGCAGACGGCATATCCCGACACGATAGGTGCTCGTGATAGCATTGACTTCCCATGGCAGGGCAGTCCGTTACCTTCCAAGCAACATATGCGGACTAACCAATGTCATTTCTGACTAATATGAAAAGCCCGATAAAACCTATTTCAATTCGAGTTTCAGTCTTTGGGGGGAAGACTTGAGGCAGGTCAAGCTACAAAGATGCTTAGCCGCCGCTTCGTGTTCAGCTTGAAGTTTCTTGGAATGCGCCGTCCTGAACATATAGAGGCTGAGGGCTTTTATAGTTACTTAGTTGAGAATACATCTCGACTTGTGCATATTTAGCGAGGGTTGAAGCAAAGACACATGCTTCACGGCGAAGATGGTCCGTGGATGTGCAGCGTATAAAATGCAAAATGCTCTTTGTTCAATCAAAGTTCAGCTCTTTACGAGGAATGGCCTAGAGCACGATAGTGTTTCCGCCAACTACGCTTTGCCTAGTCTCATCAATGATTGGCGAGGTCAGTAATAGGTGAAAGGTGAATCTATACCTAGCCTGAGGAGAAAGTTTCACAATCCGCTACAGCAGAGTAAAATTAAGGCCAGAATAGGGGAAAGCAAGAATAATTAAATTTGCGCAGTAGTATAGTTCAACCTAGAGCTAGACGTAGGTATAGCTCAATAGCTCAAAAGCAGCATTGCCTGATATTCTCCTCGATGGCTGTGACATGCACACGATGTTGCGAAGCGATTATGAATTCCGGCAGACGGCAGAGCAGGGTGAAGTATATCCAAAGCAGCTACAGCCGAAGATTTAGACTGCATGGCGGTTGACATCCGTTGCATGTGCACTGCACTGAGTAGGGGAGGCAACATCTTCCCTCCATTTTACACCTTGAGGTGCAACTATTCAAAGCTTGATGAGGTTTAGCTACGAACGAAAATTTCATGTCTTTCATATCTGGTCCTCCCATTTCGTTTGCATTGCCTTGGCGTTTTGGCCATCATCCCCTGCATTCTGTTTGTCACAATCGGCGTGGTTCCAGCAGCATGCAAACGGGATTGGGATCTGTGGACTCGCAATTGAGCGAAACCATGGCGGCTGTGCAAGGGATAAACTTGAGTCACTTGACTGGTCCCCAGATCTCTTGCAGGCAACCTCTGGCGCCGTCCCTTCGTTGCATCATACTTGCTTGTAGTCTGATATGATCAACGGAGTTGGCACTAAAAAGTAGAGGAATAATGGTGTTCTGTTGTGTCTAATGGAGAGACGATTTCTGTTTGCGAATCATCAGAGATGTAGTTGGTGCTTGAATCATAAGCTGGAGAGCCTTGATCGATCCGCGTGTGGTCGATATTCAGAAGTTGACTGGTCATCAGAGCCGGCTGTATATCTTGTAACATGTACTAATACTTGATCTGAAATTACAGAGGGGATAGCGAGTTTCGAATACTTGGTAGTTGATATTTACTTGAATGTAAACGAACATATCTGCTCTTTGTCTCTCTTTTAGTATGACCCCCAACAATTTACTGGCGTCTATCAATAATAAGTGACTAAGATATAACATTTCGTTCTGGGCAATCTTGCTGTAATTTCTACAGGCATCTTCTGACTTTTTGGTTGTCAGCAAGTCAATGTTTGACCAGAGTGTGATGAGATGACAACGGATACAGATCAATCATATACGCCCTCGACATAGTCAATGCGGTTCCACATCAAGGTTCGTGAGGTTCTGAATAATCAGTTTTTACTACACCATGGGCCTCTAAACATACGTGTTGGCTCTTTTCAGGTTTCTCGTAGTGACTTATCCTCGCTTGCTTGCCGCTTGTTCCAAGAGCCACTTGGCTCCCTTGACGGTATCCTCGACAAACACCCGACTCTGCTCCAGTAGAGGAAAGTTTGTCCAAAAGTAATGTCCAAACCCCTTGTACAAGTCAAGCTTGGTCGGGATACCCACCTCCTCCCTGAGGATCCTCTCGTAAATCAAGGCCTCGTCCCGAAGGGGATCAAGTCCACAGACTTGAAAATACGCCGGCGGCAAATCCGCGTGGCCTCGCCCGTCACTACGCCGGCCATAGTGAAACGGCGCCATGAGCTCCGACTGGGGATCCGCCCGCAGAGTCCGAAACATGGCGTCGACGTCGACGTGGCGGAGGATCGGGTCGGCCGACGGCGTCACGGACGGGTGCGAGAGGTACTCGGCCCGATAGGCCTCGGGCAGGTCCCCGGGCGGGAGAAAGCAGGTGATGGCGGGCACGCAGAGGTACTGGCCCGTCAGCGGGGGCGAGAGGCCCTCGTCCCGGGCTAGATGGGCCAGGACCGCGGCAATGTTTCCTCCGGCCGATCCGCCGCCGACGATGAAGCCTGCCGAAGGGTCGGCGCCTAGGGAGCTGGCGTTGTCGGCCGCCTTTTCCAAGGAAATCAGTCGGGAGTCATTGGGCACTTTATGCCGCCAGAGTTTTCTTCTGAATGAAGACTACACTAGGATGCCTACTTACCCATTTCAAGGCGTCCCAAGCATCGTTGATCCACGTAGGAAACGGATACTCGGGCGCAAGTCTACCGAATCCCAAATCTCTCAATTAGCACAGGAAAATGCAAGAGACTTGGAGTGGGAGAGAAAATCCGAGAAGCGCAAGTCAGTCTCACCGGTACTCGACATTAACACAAACGGCACCAAGGTCTCTAGAAAACAGCCGACAATTGACTTCCTCGTCGGTAAGATCGCCCATGCTCCAGCCGCCCTCGTGGTACATGACAAAGAGCGGCCTCTTCACGGCATCGTCCCCATGCGTCGTCCTTATCTGGCCCGACGCCACGGGTGTGTAGATTCGGACGCGAATCTCGGCACCGCCGCGTACACGGATTTGCCGGTCCTCTTCGGCCACCTCGTTAGGGATTGGGCCTGGGATGTAGCGCACTAGAAAGATGTTGGTGGTTTATTGATCAGCAGTCTTATTATTTTGACAAGGCCGCAAGTACGCTCTGGTTAAAGACAACTCTTTTGCAGCTCCCCTTCCAGATTCGTGGCTCAAGGGGGTATTTTTCAGCGTGCCTTGTGTGCCAGAAACGGGCCCACCCCGAACCATGCAGGCATGATATTGGTAACAGTCAACAACGTAAAAGCTGCTTACGGTGATGCTTCTCGCGCAATGTGGTAGCGCGGTGAGCCCGGCGGGCGCCATGGGTATTCTTGCCATAGTACGGATCCGAGGGTTGTGGATCCCGGACTGGGTTTCGTTCAATCTCCTGAGAGAGATATTTCCGTTGTATTAGCCCCGGTCCCGGTCTTGTCAAATTCGATGCATCTCACATTTACTGACTCCCACGATACACCTGTGAATGGAGGGGGAAAGATGGAAGGAAATGTTATGGTGAGGCAGTAAACTCACAGCCAGTAATGCAGGATCTGGGATGCCGTAAGAGAGCAGCTCTTCTCTCGTGCGGGGTGCCATGGTTTCTTCCAACGGAGGAAATGCTTGCGATATTGCCTCGTTTTTCAGCAGTTGTTTAAGGAAAGTAGTATGAGTTATACTGTCTGGGAAACGAATACTGCTCGATATAGTTCTAGGTGATGTGAGCTTGAAGTGTGGAAAGAATCTACCGTAGGCAAAATAGTATGTAGCAGCGATGCTATACTTCACGCGACGTCATCGGAAGGTTTCGTAAAGCAGCTACCATACAATACCTATTGCTGACCAACATTGATAAAACCACCTTACATTCAAAACATTGCCCCAATGTACCACGTTCATCAAAACACAAATCTGTCCATCTTAGGTAACTTGTAAGTTCGACTCGTACTCAATTGCATCGTCACATCACTGGCCTAGAAAATCGAGTATATGAAGAGCGCCCCTGAATATGTGTATTTTTTTTTCTATCATCCATGCCGCTGGAATGTCTCTTTCCACAGCGAGCCTCGATCGCCAATGCTGAAAATGCCCTTGGTCCTTTCAAAGACGTCCACATCTGATGTGGAAATTAATTCCTAAACGCCTATCCTGATGCTGGACCCGGGCTCTCATCCACCATGTCTCAGCTTCGCTCTTGGGGTCTAAAATGATTCATGCACTGCCTCTTTTCTCATGTACAAAGAGCATTCCCAGCTGCTCTACTGCGCCAAACAGATCATGGGATATCTGATGAAACCTCGCCTGCACAAACTCCAACAACAGAAAGGGGGAGATATCTCGACGTAAACTCCAACATCCATTTCATAATCATGAAAATCCAGTGGGGAAATAAAACAATGGCAAAAAAGCAAAATCCGAAACGCCGCGACGCTATGCTCCTGACATCAAGCGAGAGAAAATCAAAATGATAATAATGAATAAAGACAATGCTGCAGTGCCCATCTCATGCTTGAAATAACACAAGACAAGCCCCACTGATGGTGTTTTGTGAATGACAAACCATCACCGATGCAAACAATAACGGTCAGAGTGATCAGGTTGGTGACTGATCACTAGAGTGCTCGGCCACTTGCCATGGTCTGCACGCTCTGAGTACGAGGGGTGGCAATATTCGGGCGAATCGTAGCGCCCTGGTTATAGTCGCCGACAAATGCAGAAGGTCGATTGGAGTCCCAGCTCTCTTCGTTAAGAACGCTGAGGTATCCGTTTCCAACTTGGCCCCGCAAGGTCTCAATCTTTTGTCGGTACAACTCGCCACTTGTGTTCCAGTCTGTGTTGTCATCTGAACTGGGACGTTGGAGTGGTTGAGAAGAGAGTGAGGAAGTTGGCCCACTGATGCCCGTGTCAATGCGAGGCACTTCAGATAGGGTCGGTAGTGAAGAAAGCCGTGAGTCTATGTAACTGTTTTTCTGGGTCTCGGGCGATTGTGAAATACGATAGTGAGTGTCTGCACCAGCGTTTGGGATTGCAACACCAGCCGCGAGTTCTTTGATATCCATTGTCTGAGCATTAGCCTTTGCAGAGTCGCTGGTTGCAAGATCAACTATCCTGCGCTTCGGAGTCCGTCGTCGACGTGTGGAGCCAACATCATTCTCGCTAGCGACAGCCTTGGGCTGCGGACGGTCTTTTCTCAGGACAGCTGGCTCCTTGGGTGCATCGTAAATAATGGCTGGCTTGCTCACGTCCACGGCCGGAACTTCGGGAACAGGTGGCTTCACGACGGGGACAGCCGCCGGGATGGCTACACGCTCTACCAGGTATCTCTTCTCCGAATAGGTCGGGCCCGAGGCATCAATGATGACATCCTCGGTGAATCCAGGTGTCCTCCTAAACAGATTGAAGATTGTGATTCTGTAGTCGCGGTGTGTTCGGGTGAATGGATTGCCCTCCACCCAGATCTCCCGGATGTCCGGGATGCCAGTAAGGCGAGCCAGCTCCATTGGATCAGTAAGACGATTGTCCCGTAGATCCAACCTCTCCAGAGGATAAAGCTTTTCAACTCCAGCGATGGATTGGAGACGATTAGCACGAAGATTCAGAGCAGTGATGGCAGGCAGAGGATTCCGTGTCAGTGAATGCAATGAATCGATCATGCAATTGGACAGGTTCAAAGCACGCAGAGCAGTGAGTGTCGCCAAGCTGTCGGGGATCTGAGTGAAGAGATTGGTGGACAGGTCTAGCGAATACAATGTGTTCGCCAACGGTGCAAGACTGGCTGCAGAAACAGAGGTCAAAGAGTTGTCTGCCAAACTGAGATGCTTCAAGAAGCGCCATTTAGAGGCAGGCAAGACACCCATGCCCAGGAGGTTCGAGGCACTGTTCCGAGGGTTGTGCCACGAGTCGGACAAGCTGGAGTGCGAACTGCCAGAACCGGAGCGCCTGACCTTGTAGGATTGTCTGGATGTCGCGGGCGCAGTATGATGCCGAGAGCTGATGGGCCGTGGTGGCGAGTGACTTCGGGGTCGGCCAGACTTCGCCGGAGATCGCGGCTCCTCGGTCTCAATCCTGGCAACGGAAGGGCGGCGGCTGCCACTTGGCGAGGACGAGTCGGTACCAACGGAGCCCACCTGAAAGTCACCCAAAGAGCTTCTAGGTACGGGTGAGCCTGGTGTTGAGCCTGATCTATGCAATTCGGCGTATTGTAGCGTCGGGCTCCTACGGGGGCTCGGATTCGTGACGGTTGGGGAATGTTGCGCCTTGGATGTCCGCCGCCGCCTCTTGTCCATATCGTCAAGCACAATGTCAATCAAGATATCGGCAGGATCATCTATGCTGGCCCTTTTCAGGGTCAAAGACCGGATCTGGTCTGCAAGACGGTCCCAGCCAAAGAATTGTCTGAAGTCGATGCCGCTGATCTCGAGGGCTTGTAGGTTCTTGAAAACGTAGAGAGGGACAGCTGAGTCGAAAGGAAATTCCTCGTATCCTCGTATTAATCTCGCGCGCCAATCGGGGGCCAATCTGAGGCAAGGTATCTTGGTGAATGCCGAGTAGAGGTACCTCAAATCAGCAGCCAGGGCAGCCTTCTGCTTCTCCTCCCTGGCAGCGGATATACTCGATCCAATGCCAAAGCTAGTCCACAATGCTGACATGCCAGACATGACGCTTCTGACGCTTGAGACTGACCGAATAGAGACAACATCCGCACTGCGCGTCCGCTGGGAGGGATCGAGAAATGATACATAATTGGCCGAGCTCGAAGCGTCGTGGAGGTTCTCGAGGCGAACCTTCATAGGACCGACATTGATGCCCATCTCCTCGAAACGAGAAAGCAAGTAGAAGAGGTGGTGTGGTGTCAGTGCCAACTTCGCGGGTTTCATGTTGTGAGAAGTGAAGCTGAAGGAGCCGAGCGACAGTGCCGCTGCCAGACCGCCTGTAGAGGTTGAGGCAGAAGTTGAAGGGCGCTCGACTAGAGGAGCTGGTGATGGGGGAGTCGGCAAAGCCGACACACTTTGTGAGGCGCCATGCCTGGGAGCATTGCTCTGTCTTCGGAATTGTAAAGCGTTGGCCAACGCCTTCTCGTGCGTCCGCACAAAGTTGGCCAACTGCTTGACGAAGAAGTCCCCGTCCTCTGAGTCCATCATTTGAGTTTAGGAAGACATGAGGCAAGAGTCGTGTACGGTGATATGTTGTGGTAGGTGATGTAGATCTCAACGGTCGACAAGGCGGGGGAGGTCGACTGTAGTCTATTCTTTCGAGCCGGTACGAGAACAGATCGAGGCCTGGAGTTGGATGGAGTCTGGGGAAGCGATAATGTTAGTCGCGGGACATGAAACCTTGGTCTTTGGACCGAATGCATGCAACGTTGGTGGAGAGTGCTGGCAAGAGTCAACGACCCGGCGAAAGGCCGCCATACAGGTTGCAGATCTCTCCAGTCGTGTGCTGTCAGAAACGGCAAGTATGAATCGAGGCCGAACTGATCATGACTCGTGAGGCTTGGAGCACCCTCGAAATCAGCCCATCCAGGCCATCACGTCTTCTAGATCTGCGATTGCAGGACGTTATCGACATACGCGGTCGTGTCAGGCAGATGGGTCTCAACATCGAGCGACCAAGTCTCGCACTCTATCACGCACAAGGTTCGGCTGACACATTCACCGGGTGGACGGGCGGCGATTCAGAGGCAGGGGTAACGGGGTTCGTGGTAGGTAGCGCAAGGCAACGCAATCTTGGGATGCGATACAAAAAGGCAGTGTCACACTGAGCGCATAGGGCAAGATGTAGAAAGAGAGAAAGCACGAGGCAGGCAAAGTAAGCGAAGCCACCACGAAGCAGCGACGGCGGCAGTAGCAGCAGCGACAACAAGACAAAGGGGCCAGCACAGCATACATCTGGTGGTTTTGCATTTTTCGAGGATGTTTTGTACGTACCCAAGGTAGAAGAAAAAATGTATTATGAACCACGAGCAAAATAAGCAGGTGGTTTTTTTTTTTTTTTTTTTCGTCCAGATAAGAAAGATGGGCGTCGTTGGAATGCGTGCGAGGCACCGGGGAGAGGGTATCGTAGTATTAAAAGATAACCGGGAGGATGGGAGGTTTTGGATGGACGCGGCGAGGTTGAAGAAGAAGATGGTTCCCTATCCGCAGTTCTTGTATCCTTCTCTTTCTCAGCTGTCGCAAAGGCAGCGAAACAAGCAAACCACCGATATGAAGTCGGAAGAGTGATAGGCGGGGAGGATCGTGAGGATGGCCTGCGGCGGTTGGAGAGGGAAATATAACAAAAGACTCGAGCAGCGGGTCCGCCCCCCAATGAGGGTGCCCACATGGGCTTGCAACTTCTCGGTCACAAATGCTGGTCCCAGTATGGTGCACCCCACCCGCTGCACGGTCGACTCGGGGTGGATACTAAGCTTAGCGAGATGTGCAGTGGAGGCTGCTGGTAGTACAGGTACTTTGGGCGCTGGACTTGTGCGCCCAGCGACCGCCTACTGAGGCGGCCGTGTTGTAGTAACAGTGAGAGACTGCGGGTGGCTTTAGCGCACAAGTGGCTGTCCACAGCGCTGTGTTCTAGCGGGCTTCCATGGTGATATGCGCTGGAACGTGCTGGGCGCCTCCCGCTCGTCCAGGCGACTGCCAATGTAGCAGGACTTTGCATGGTCGCGCATGGGCGGCAAGAGTCAGATGGGACCAGGTTCGTGACCAGCCAATAGGTCAGCCTGCTCCCCCCAACAGGCCAATAATGGGCATCTGTCTCGTCGATTTTGGTGTCGCAGCAGCACTTGCAGCCCATCTGCTGCAGCCAGCGGGTGCATGATATTCTGAGTTGAGTAAGGCGTCCTTGATTTTGATACAGCATCATCTGCGCTGAGGTCATTGCCCTGCAGCCAGCGGAATACACTAGAACAACCATATGTGATATAAGAGTTTTTGCTTGCTTTCAACGACATGCTTCCGGCAGCCATGGTGTGCGTGTGCGTTGCGGATGTTTCGTCCCTACATGCTCCTCGCAGATTCCAGACGACGACCAGAAAAAGTCCCCGACTCCCCCAGCAGAATTGATAACCAAAATTCCACCGACAATGCTCCAGCAACCAGAGCCAGCAGCAGCCGCAAGGACCGGGACCCCATGCAACAAAGGGGTCCCGACCCTTTCACCACACAGTCCAGTCTTTTCTGTCTGTCTGTGAGAGGGTGTGGTGCGGCACCCACGCCGATAACGAGTGTTTCCTACAGAGGATGATGGCCTCTGACTAGTAAGCCTGGCCCGTCACCTTCTACCTCCCACATGGGACCTTCCGGGTTGTCACGATGCTGCTCAACCTCGCATCCTCGACACCTGCTGCCGCGACCACAAGAGAGATGCTGAAGGGGGCTCAGTGCCCACAAGGTCCTCATCTGCTCGTCACCACTCATTCTGCATTTACAAAGGAATGCCCAACAGTCTCGGCAACATGGCTACACATTACAGTGTGTGTCCACAATAGATAGATAGCCTCAGGCCCGTGCTTCATTTCAGGAAATTGCGAAAGCAACGCTGGGCGCGATGGATTTGCAGCTGAGCGGGTTCGCTCCAACGTACGGAATCGTACTATAGTAAGTATTGTATGGATGTTTACATTGTTCCCGCTTTATTGACATTTTCTGTTGGCGTTGTTTTGTTTTCTTCTTTTTTCTAGCCCCCGTCTCGGACATTACCTTTCGCGCATCGTCAATGCCCTGCGCGCCCACTATCAATGGATGGTCGTTTGATTAATTTGACGGGCGCCAGTCATCGCATGGTTAATACTAGAATCCCATGCCCGCTAGCGACAGATCCTAGCTCGGGAGCTCAGTAGGCGCAAAAGCACGGATTCTTTCGGGTGTCCGCCCTCTTGTCCGGCAATGCCATTCGATACAACGCAGTGTCGCATCGCCGAGTTCCCGTCGTCAGCATCTCTTCTCAACAAAGAGCGGTGTCTCTTCAGAAATGATGAGAGCGAATGCTGTAACAGGGACTGTTCTGTCGCGGATCAGCGAAATTATGACCCTTTATGCGGTGCATCCTCAGATTTTCAACGGTGAAGCAGGTACAGAACTCCCAAGACCTTTTAGTCGTTCGTAGCATTGGATCGTGAGGTAAGTACATCCGGTAATCAGCTCTATCCAAAATGGCGGTGTTTCTTTTACCTATCGGCCGACAGTTCATTTATTCATTCAGGAGACTGCTGGCTCGACTGGCTGGCTTGACTGGCTGAAGAGCTAGGTCGCTGCTCCATTGGGTACTGTACATAGTACCTTCACATCCCTGTAAACTCACCTGGGAATCTCAGGGTCTACAAACTCACCTACCCATCACTCTACGCTAGTCCATCATGGGACCCTTTCCTCTTCTCACCTGGTTCGGTCGCTGATCGTGACCACTAGGGTCGCCTGGAAACTCCCCCCCTCTAAAAAACGAACTCGCAAGAGAGAGGAAAGAAAGAGAGCTCATCACAAACAGCACCAATCGAAGAAGCAGCCCCAAGCTCGTGCTAATATATTTTGCAACAACATCTGCGCTACACCTCGGCGACAGCCTATCGTCAGAGGCCTTCTACCACTGCTACTTCCTGATCTAGATACTTGAGCTATATTGGCGACGGTGTACGGCAGACAACCAGTTCCACAGCTATCACCTGCAAGCGCCGATGATCTGGCTGAATTGGTCTGTCTGAATTTCACTTACTTTTTTGCCTCTATTCCTTGTCTCCTTCCTCCCGGGCCGCAGCACTCGTCGCCTCTTTGGGACGCGTGTCATTACACAAGGTTTGGTCCATTCCGTTTTCGCGCCGATCTCATGGGCGGATCTGCGCATGGCGACTGGGCTTTTGCTGGACCGTACGTATCCTGTTCCTGCTCAAGCTGCTCTGTGCTTTGTCTGAAATGGTCTCATCTGTTGGCTCTCGACAAGCTTTGCAAGCCAGAGAAGCTGCCAACTTTCTCAGCCGCCAGTCGACCACGCGCTTCTAGGGGTCCTCGGGCACCAACCACCGTGCCACTCTGGTGGGATTCTGTCTGAATGCCCATCTGAACCACTTGAATACCCATATATTCGACAGCTATGAAAGATTTACCCTGTCAACTCTGACAGTAATTATGTCATAGTTCCACCATTGCCTGGTGTGCGCTCATCTTTGATTGGCAGCCTGACTGATATACCTTCACCTGCGCCGGGTTCTGCAACTGGCCCAATAGTGAGCCGTCTCTGCCCGCTTTGTCCATTCCTTATTGCCCGATAACCCCCACCTGGCTCCTGCGCTCTTCTCTTGTCTCAAGAACATCTGTCAAATGGACGACAGGCCAGCGTGAGAGGCTGCCCGAACGGCAAATGGCGGGGCATTGGCAAGCATGTGGAGGGGTTGGCTGCGGGAGGGGCACTGATCTTTTGCCAAGTTTGACACTCTTTCATCCACCGCTTCGCCGAGAAAGGAAGACGACGCGCTCAACCTTGATTCGCAGCTCCCCGGTTCCCTGGATTACCTTGCGGTGATACTGACTCGAAGGTTTGAAAGAGAAAAAAAAAAAAAAAAAAAAGAATGGAGAAGTAGTACACTTTTCGATTGTCAGTTTACTCTGTTCGGCACATCCATGGCGATGTTCATTGGTCATGTCTCTTTCATCGACATGGCGATGAAACGAATGGGGCAGTTGCCATACAATCAGGCGAACAAGAACAAATCGCGACAACCACGCCACCCAACCGGTCGGTCACTGCAGGCACTGAAAACCAAGCAGTGGGCGTGTCCCTTTTTTTCTTCTTCACCTGGTTCGGCGTCGTTTTGAGCAAGTGTTGATCTTACAAACCCCGCCGTCGATCCAAATGTGTGCGTGCGCGTGCGGACAGCCTCAGCTCGACGTGCGGCATCATCAGAATGCTCACTACTTCGTACACTACGACCTACAATAACTTGGCATGAGCTGTCAATGAACAGTGGTTCGGAACACCGGCTTTGGCCAAGTTATATGATGAACGGCATCTAAAACTAGTTAGCCATGGCCCGGAATTGCATATTTTACAGCAGCAGTCGGGGCACTTGTTCTTCCAGTCTCCTATTCGTGTACTCTCAACTACTAGATGGCTATGAGCATCTTTTGAAAGACAGGATTGATATCCTGACTTTTTA